CAATTAATTTTTTTCTAACAGCTTTATTTTTTTTTTTTTAAAGATTTTATTTATTTATTCATGAGAGAGAGAGAGAGAGAGAGAGGCAGAGGGAGAAGCAGACTTCCCGCAGAGCGGGGAGCCCGATGCGGAACTCGATCCCAGGACTCCGGGACCACGACCTGAGCCGAAGGCAGACGCTGAACCATCTGAGCCACCCAGGCGCCCTCTAACAGCTTTATTGAGGAGTATTTTTTTTCTCTCCTTTTTTTTTTTTTTAAAAGATTTTATTTATTTATTTGAGAGAGAGAATGAGAGAGAGAGAGCATGAGAGGGGGGAGGGTCAGAGGGAGAAGCAGACTCCCTGCCGAGCAGGGAGCCCGATGCGGGACTCGATCCTGGGACTCCAGGATCATGACCTGAGCCGAAGGCAGTCGCCTAACCAACTGAGCCACCCAGGTGCCCTATTGAGGTGTATTTTATATGCCTTAAAATTCACATTTAAAATGTACAATTTGATGATTTTTAGTAAATGTACAGAGTTGTGCAAAGATCACCACAATCCAGTTTTAGAATTACAGGCAGAGTTCATTTTAAACAAAAGTGTCTCTCATCATTTTTGAGCTCCTTCTAAGTTTAGTAGTTTTAAAATTTTTAAATCAAAAGAGGCTCAACACTGGTACTTGGACCCTAAAATTTACAAAGATCAAAAAATGAAAATTCAATAATGTACACTATCCAATTAGAATAAACAAGTCAAACGAAATATAGACAACATAACTGGGTTTTTTGTTTTTTGGGTTTTTTTTAAAGATTTTATCTATCTATTTGACAGAGAGAGACACAGTGAGAGAGGGAACACAGCAGGGGGAATGGGAGAGAGAGAAGCAGGCCTCCCGCGGAGCAGGGAGCCCAATGCGGGGCTCGATCCCAGGACGCTGGGATCATAACCTGAGCCGAAGGCAGACGCCTAACGACTGAGCCACCCAGGCACCCCTAGACAATAGATCTGTTTTCTTATGGTAAAATATTCACTGCTAACAGAGCACATAAAAAAAGGGAATTCTATGTCCCTCCACACTAAATGATAAAAACCCACATAATGAAACTTGAGGTCACCATTCAACAGAGAAATCACAAATGTTCAAATATGCTTAACAAAAGCTATCACCTTGAGTTTAGCAGAAACTGATGACTGTCAGGGCAGACACAAATTCAACCTCACTTTATTTTTTTTAGAATAGCTCCACCAAAATGAAACACAGAAAAACACTTAAAAAATTCACATACCTGATTTCTTTGGAAACAGAAATTACAGGCCCAAAGTTTCGCTCGATAATCAACCTGACTGTGAGAAAGATAAATATAACAGCTAGGTACCATTTTCATTTGTAATGTAGAAAGCATTCAAATGTAAGCCTCAAGTTCAGTAAATCACATAGATATGTTTGTGTGTGTGTGCATGAATGGATGGAGGTATGTAAAATGTCCACTGCAGTTAAAGAGTTCTGGCTGTTAAATACACCAAAAATTTCCTTCCTACAGTGGCAATGAAGAATTAGTAAATCTTTTTTTCCTCTTTTCTAATTTCCTTGATAATATTTAAAACTTCATGATTTTATATAAATTACAGGTTATTTCCCTTTTACCCTATTATCTTAATATAATCTGTGTGAGTTTTCTAACATCTTTATTGTTCAGATATGTGAAACTACCAAATTTCAGTACTAAAAGCACATTTCATGCACAGGAAAAACCTGGCTGACTTTCACCTCACCGAGCTCACTTGAAAAAGTTGGGAGGCATGCTTCTGGGTGGATACACTTCCTAGAACTGGTTAAAGATACACTTCAGTTGCTTCTTTGTCCCCTTTCTACATTTAGAAAACAAGCAACGGCTATCTCTTCACAAGAAGAGCAGCAGCATCGTACTTATGGTTACATCAAGTAATAGCAAGGGCAATGCAGTAAAAAATGTTCCCTCATATAAAAGTATTACCTTTTAAAGAGTATTTCTGATACTCTTCACCTCTTTAAAATATTATTTCAAATAATGCCCACATTTAAGAGAAATATCATAGGTCACTATCTCAGGTACAAAAAATTACACTTAACAATCATTAAGAGTTGTGATTTCTTCTGCGTATCACTTCCTGCCATACAGCATCACCATACCAGGTAAGTATGAAAAAACTGTTTAAAGCTTTTCATTTTTGGAAAATGCTTTAAAAGGCACCCATATAATCTACAGTTAAGCCAAAAGCAAACTGAAATTAGCAAAAAAAAAGAAAAGAAGGGAATTTCAAATCATTTCCCTTTGCTTCCACCTCATTCCCGTAAGTTCCAATTTTATCTGGAGTATTAGGCCGGGAAGACTTTACAAGCATTTATCACATAAGAATCTCACGATGCACTTCTCTACTCAAATTTGATGACCTGCCCAAACTGAATCACTTTTATGAGAATCACGTAAAAGTCATAATTACTGTATTCCTCTTTCTCACTAGTTTTAAAAAGAATTCATACCAAAGTGGATTCAGAATGGCTTTGCAAGTTGTCCGGCTACAAAGCACAGGTTCATACTGTACAGGAGGCAGGTCTGGACGTTCTTTCAAAGGAGTAAGGAGACAAGCCAGGGGAACAACCATTCTCGTAGCCTCAAGACGGCTGGAAGGCCACACGTTCCAACTAAAGCGCACACCATCCCGTTCTTCATTCTGCTGAATGAACTCCAGATATGTTGCCATAGTCTAAAAAGAAACTGAAGATAAAGCTGTAATTTTATGTGAAATTCTCAACTAAACTTCAAAAAAGAAGATAGTCGACAGTCGTCTAACGCAATGTTTTTTAAACACTTAGTCCGGAAGAACCAGTCACTGTAGGATGACATTTCCCTTCCCTTTGATCCCCAAAAGCCAATTAACTTCACAGTTATCTTTGACTATTGTTCCTTTCTCAACTCTCTTTACCACTTAAAGAAATAAATAAAAGGTGTGGGGAGTTTACCATTATTTGATCATTTTTAAGCTGCAAGTAGCTGAATACTAATGTAAACCATCTCATAGGTCACTCTGTGTGACCTATGAGAAGGGAATTCTAATTCCCCTTGCCCAAGAGTAAGTCTCAAACCCTGTTTCAGCATCCAGCTACCTTCCCCCTTGATCCACTTCCTTCTGTGCTTTATTAAAGCAAACACCGTATTAAATTTTACATTCTAAGTGATTCCATTTTTGTGCCCTTTCCCCTCCTCTCTGTTAACTGTGAAGACAAAAACCGTATGTTGACGTGTGAATCCAATTCATAATCCACCACCAGTTCTGAGCCAAAGTATTTTTACTTGGGATCACCAAAATTACAACGCTAGGTTTGCTATCATGCTGAGTGAATCTTTCACCAGGACTTCTCTCCTCACCATGGTTGCTTATGCTCATGCCTCAAAAGATTCTGGTTAATAAAATAACCATTTAGACTAAGCTTTTCAAACCCCCACACTGCCAACTCCATTGAATGTTTCATACATCCTGTTTACATCCTAAAATCTAGGCTAAGGCTAACACACATTTCAGTCACTAGGGCTCAAGGGAACAAGCCCCTCAAGAAAAATGGAAAAACAGGCAAATTAAAGAATCTTCATTATTAGTAGCCTCTAGTGCTCACTTTATGCAGTGTTGAATAACTGTCTCTATGTTATTATGAGAAGTGCCACACATACTGTAAATAATGTGAACTAAGGAAATGGTTTTTATATGACTAGAAACGCAAATGAATCAATTAGTTTACTACACACAACCCAGACCACAAAAATTCCAAATGTTTGCTCCAACTGAAACTCTAAAGCATGTATTTGTTCTTTCCAGCAAAGGCAGGAAACTGAAGCACCCTTACACAGGACCCACTTCTGCAGCTACCTGAGTGGCAAAGGGATAACTCAGGTGGGAATAAAAGCATGTTCTAATATCACAATTCTCAGGAAGTACCTCTAAAGGTTTCATTAAATAACTTTCCCCATTCAAAACAATTCATTATTAAAAGGTACTGGCTCCATCCAATGTCCCCAGGCAGCTACATATTAAAACCTGCTCTTCCCACTGCCTCCTCCCCTCACCTCTTTTAGAGCACGGATTCTTAACTCTGGGCACAAAACCAACGGGGGACTTCAGAGGGTCAAAAAATCTTCTGAAATTGTATGCAAAATTGTGTGCATGAGCTAATGTGCATTTTTCTAGGGCGGTCGATTTACGGCTCACACCATATCCTCAAAGATTTTGTGAAGAGGTTAATAGCTGAATAAATGAGTGAATGAAAGAACTTTAAAGATTTTGTAGCAGTATCTGCCAAAAGAAAAAAAGACACACACACACACACACACGAAAAACTGAACCGCTCATCCCATCAAAGCATAACTTTTCAGGACACAGTAGCCAAGTTTAAGCAAAGTTTAATGCTTGAAGGGTAGTCGGAAAACCCGGGTCCTAGTTCCAGCTGCCACGAAGCAGAAGTCATTTCAGCCGCATTACCGGTTTCTTAACTGAAAAAAAGTTGAATCCTTCCGCACCCCGAGATTCTGGGGGTTCCCGAGCCAGAAGCCGGCCGGCCGCACCGCAAGACTAGGAACGCGTCACTCTCAGCAGACCCCTGGGTCACTGAGTCCCTCAGTTCCTCTGCCCGCCGAGAGAAGGCTTCGTTCCAGGAGCACCAACTCGGTCCTTACAGAGACTCTTGTCCGTGCCCTCGACCCCCCATCACCGGCTCTCCCACTCACCTGGCAGGAGCCGTTCACCTGGCCTTGTCCGCACCCACAGCTGCTAGAGCCCTGCTCCGGCTCCCACCGCCAAGTCCAGCTCAGCTCTCCCCCGACTGGTCAGCGCTCCTGTGTGTCACTCCACGGCGCCGTCCGCTGGCCAATCAAAGAGGGCCTCTCCGGCGGAGGAGCGGAAGCAAGACTTTCAGTGAAGCCGCGCCGCCATCTTGGAATAGGGCAAGACAGTCGTGCCTTGGTCCACAAAACCAAAACTCCTCAGATCCTAAGTTCCTCCACGTTCACCTCTAAACGTTTGTCCTTCAGAAAACTCCAGTGTCTGCCGGATTGCTTCCTAGGTGCTGCCTGCACGCCTCAGGGATTCGCCCTGATCCAACATAACTTCCGTTCACCTTAGGAAGTCCCTCTCATCGCCTTAGTTACCGGGAAGCGAGAATGATGACGTGTGGCACCGGAAAAAGGAGGGGCACCGTGCGGAGGAAACTGAAGCTGGCCGGGAAAAGGTATCAGCGCGGGAAGGGGCGGGGCGGAGGGACAGTGCGGCCACTAGCGCTAGATTAGGGAATTTCGACCGGTAGAGAAATGCTTCCTTAAATTAATACCAGGTTTCCTCCTTTCGTTCGCTGTGTAGGATTCGCGTTCTCTGCAGGGACTGGCAGTAGTGCACAGTTACTCTCTGCGTGTCTGTCCCTGTCATCCATCTACGAGAAGGTGAATAATTGAGAGCTGTCATATTCAAGCATCCTAGGAGACTAACAAAACTCCTAACTTTATAGAGCACTGCTTTCTACAACCATCAAAGGCATTATACACCTTTTTATAAGTGACAAAAATGAGCACATTTATTAATCTAATCCAGAAATACAGCCTCTCTGTAGTATATGAAAATAAGAAAGCTATATAAACTTAATATTATGCTTAGAATATATCTAGACATCCAAGGGTTACCATTAATTAGTTCAACTTAATGTTAGTACAAAATTTTAAATTACCTACAGAACACCAATTAGTTTTAAGTTGATGTACTATGAAACATAATTACTCTTTGTTTTTACATAATTACTCTTAATATAAAAAGTTTGTGGAACAATTATTCAGTTTTGTTGAATAAATTTATATTTTTCCAGTTCCTAAAACATTATGTCAGAGTAATGTTAGGTTATTTAATTATTAAACTTGAATAAATTTAGGAAGTTCACACTAATTTTTCTCTCAGTCAGGAAACAAACTCAATTAAAATACATACACATTTGTATTATGGTTTACACTGAAAAAGACAGCCATATTTTTTTAACCAAACATTAAAAGAATATCATTTGCCCAAGGCTTGCTTTGATTATTTGAACCTGGATTCTTTCAGTACTAGAAATTTATGAAAAGGATATTTTAAATACAATCTTAAACATTTAAAGTATTGGAAGGGTTTTTTTTTTTAATTTTATCTATCTATCTATTTATTTATTTATTTATTTTTGTGGGGGGCGAGGTGCAGAGGGAGAGGACAAGCGGACTCCATGCTGAGCGCGGAGCTCCTGGTGGGGCTGGATCCCACAACCCTGAGATCATGACCTGGACAGAAATCAGGAGTCAGTTGCTTAACCAACTGAGCCACCCAGCCACCCCTAAAGTATTGGAAATTTAATTTCTTTATTTTCTGGGAAGTGTAGAAATATTTGATTTATGTAAGTGTGTATTTATCTCAATAAGCGAATCAGAACATAACTCCTTTAAGAGATATAATCATCTAATTTATTAAAGCTCTCCAAACTTAGTAAACATTTCACACTCCACAGGATGTGAAGACCTTTCTGGATTACAGCCATAAAGACAGACGCACAGACACACAGAGAGTACAGCTTTGGTTCTACCACTTTAGTCACAGGTCAGAAGTGAATGCAGAAACACAAAAACTCACTAGATCAGGTATCAAAGAGCCATTCTCCTTCCCAGTGGGCATGGAAATCTTGACTGATCTGAGTTCATAAATAGACAAAAAAGGCAAACAAACAAACAAAAAACCAACCAGATTCTCTGTCTTCTCCTATCCAAAAGAGAATATATCTATGTAAACCATTAATTAACTTAATGAGATCACCAAATGGTCAGAATATAAAACCAAATTCCTAATTGTTGTTGCCATCAATGGTGAGAAACCTACCAGCTGTAAATGTATCGGAAACAAAAAGAAAAATACAAAATCAGTAAAGAGAAGAAACCTGGAGAAAGAGTCAGTCCATTGTTGTACGATTGCCACTTGCATATTCACTGTTCAGTCTGGGAGCCAAAAGCAAAACATGCCTGGGCTTAAGTAAGCAGCCCATGAGGTGCTCTTCAGCAACATGATTTACCCAGTTTTGTCAGGTGAATCCATTAGGATGTTGGTGAAACCTTCAAAATTGTTAAAGTTTCAGGGATGCTTGAGTGGCTCAGTCAGTTAAGTGGCTGCCTTTGGCTCAGGTCATGATCCCAGGGTCCTGGGATCGAGTACCACATCGGGCTCCTTGCTTAGCAGGGAGCCTGCTTCTCCCTCTTCCTGCAGCTTCCCTGGCATGTGCGTGCTCTCTCTCTCTCTGACAAATAAATAAATAAAATCTCCAAAATTGTTAAAGTTTCAAAAAGGTAAAATTCTGGCCCTCATACAAATATAAAATGAGCATGTGTCAAAGATTCTGCATAACTCATTCATTAATGAGGGAACAAGTAAGGATGTTCAGACTGGTTCAAGGAAGAATTTGATTTATAGATTCATATTTCCTAACACACAAAACCCACTTGCATTTCTGTGGACAAGACTCATTTGCATTGCTATGGACAGGAAATGTTTGCATTACTATTGTTGCAGGATATCTTTTCCTTCTGTGCCTGCAGTGCCGGTGGTTCTTGGTCGCGCTGCTCCCAAAAAGGAGGGGACCCAGAGGGTTGCCACCAGAGTTTCTAAGTCTAGGGGTTTTTATGGGCTTGTTGGCGGGCTGTTTTAATTTGATTAACCCTCCATGCACTTGTCATCCAATCAGGTTTTTGTCATCTAATGTGTGGGAAAGAGTGGAGGGCTCCTTCCAGGATGGTGTAAAATCCTTTTAAGGGTAGTTTCCTCTTAGGGGGGATGGGGAGCCTGTCCCTGCCTTCCTTTCTTCCAACTATTCTTCATCCCTACCTGTTTTCTGTAAATTAATTTCTGTCTCTACAGAGTTGTGAAATAGCTTAGTCAAAGATAAAGGCACTCACCCCTTACAATCAGATGACCCCAGGGATTCCTTTAAAAAATGCCCAGTATTCCATGGAAGTTCACCCAGTAAACTCTTGACTATTTCAAAATCTTTCACAATTTTCATGATATTATTCATCATCTATAATCTAATTTCTATAATTCTGGCTCATACTTACCTAACATGAGATTCATATATTCAGCAACTTGCTGGATGTCTCTGGGTATTCTTGGCACCTCAATCTCCATATGTCCTCTTAAGTTGATTGAACAAGAAGGCCATTAGACTGATGTGGCTCTAAGGCCATGGCAGCCTACATAAGCAAACTAAAATGTAAGCATATAAATGCTTCAAGGTTATGAAATCAAAACACTGAGGACAACCAATCACAAAGAGCCATCTAGACAATCAGTTTCTTCTCTTTGCTTCCATACCTTCTCTATAAAAGTGTTTTCCCTGACTCCTGTTGGCAGAGGGCTCCTAACCTCTTCTGGTTTGATGCTGTTTGATTCAAACTGAATTTTGCTCAGATAAGCTCTTATAATTTTAATATGGCTCAGTTTATCTTTTAAACTGAATTCACTGTTCCCCTTGCCCTAAACTAACCCATCTCTTGTACTTTCTATGTCACTGGGAGATACCATTCTTCTCCCAGTCAGCCTAGTAACTAAGGAGTTATTCTTGGTCCTTCCTTGTCTGTGATGTGGTTCAAGACACCTTCTTTTCGTCTAACCACACCCTTAAGTACACCCTTAAGGCCTAACTCTGCTTGACCTGCTCTAGAGATATGACTATGACCCAACTCTTCTCAAACATTTCCTCTGGGCTGGTCTCCCAGGACATATTCCCCTGCCTCTATGGCTAAAAAAGCAAGTCTTATGAGAGGTGGGCTTGCAGAGATCTACTCATCTTGCAGCTGCCCAAGACACTAGAGTCCTTTTAGTAAACCATCTCTTGTCAAGCTGGACTTACCAGGCTTTTTCTTTGGTCTAATGGCTCCTTCAGCCTTTGGAGGTAGTTTTGCGTATACCTCCCTTAGATGATGAGAGGAATCAAAATGAACAGGCCTTGCTAAGTGTCTTCCGGTTTACTACCCTTAGCTCATATCCTTTTTTTTTTTTAAAGATTTTATTTATTTATTTGACAGAGAGAGACACAGCGAGAGAGGGAACACAAGCAGGGGGAGTGGGAGAGGGAGAAGCAGGCTTTCCTCTGAGCAGAGAGCCCAATGCGGGGCTCGATCCCAGGACTCCGGGATCACGACCCAAGCCGAAGGCAGACGCCCAACGACTGAGCCACCCAGGCGCCCCTCATATCCTTTTATCCTATTGCATTTTCCTCACGACCTACCACTCTTCATCAAACCTAGCATAAAAAACAATCTGGTTTAACTGCTTTGTTGGGTTTTCATTTCCTTATGAAGGCTCCTATGTCATGTAAAACATACTTAAAAATCAATTTGCATGCTTTTCTCTTGTTCATATGTCTTTTGTTTCAGAGTCCCAGCCAAGAACCTAGAAGGGTAGAAGGAAAAGATATTTTTTTCTTTCCCTACATCTCTTGACACCCTAAACCTGAAACTAATAATGAATCACTTGGTCCTGTTGATTTTTTTATTCTAATTATTTCTCAATTCCATCTATCTACTTAGTTCAAGCCCTCATTCTCCTTCATTGAATTACTACAACAGCCCCACAGAATAATCTCTTTCCCCAAATTTTGTCAAACCCAAATCTCACTTTGATTGCCAGATAGATTTTTCAGAGTCACACATCTGACCCAGACCTTCTGTTGTTTAAAACTCTACCTGGCTTTCCATCACTCACAGGATAAAGTAGACGCCCCATCTTGCTGTACAAGGGCCTCCATGATCTACTTACCTCAATCCTACAGCACTGAACCAATTGTCTTTCCCAGCCTATGTTGCTGTGTCTCACCTCTCGCCCTTGTGCACACCCTCCACACTGCTAAGAACAGCCAGGTTTATGTGGGGAACAAAGGCAAAAGGAAAAAATTAAAATTTCCTTACTACTTACAGCCCATTGACAAGTCCTTGAAACAGGCAGAGTGACCTTCCTCTAGGAACTCAACTGCCTGGATGTTAATACTTTCCTAAGGGCAAAAGGCCATTTTAGCTTAACACTATCCCAACCTCCCAGATCCTTTAACATATAAAAATTCCTTTGGAAACTTCCTTTATTTCTACCCCAAGATCTATTTTAGCAATCATCCTCCAAGCATATGGCCCACTGACACATCCGAAGGGTCTCATGACTAGGGTTTTACTAGACAGTAATAACGAATCTTTTCCTAACAATACCTAGCCTCCTCAGGGTCCTGGAAACCTTGCTTCTGAAATTCCTTAGAGACTTACACTATCCCTAACCCCCTCCCAACTTGAAAGTATATAATCAATTGCTCCTCACAAACCCAAGGCAGCTCTTTCTGCCGATGGGTCCTGTCCCCGTGCTTTAATAAAACCACCTTTTGGGACCGAAGACATCTCAAGAATTCTTTCTTGACCCTTTGTTCTGAACTCCAACATTTCCACATCATTGGTTGCCTCTCTTCTTTTCTCACTTAACTCCCAGGTGTCCTTCAGGACTCCAAAGAAGCTTTCCTTATATTTTCCTTTCTTCTTATTGGTTAAAACAATAATACTATGTGAAAGAAATAGAAAAGGAACCACAGTAGAGGGTAGAATGTCTAGACAGTGAGTTTGGAGACTCAGAGGCAAACTGCCTAAAGAGAGATTCTGACCTGAAAAGAAAAGTTCAGGCAAAGGAAGGTGATTCAGAAAGAGAGCTGTAGAGGCTGAGGCTGAGTCTGTCAGAAAAATGAAAATGAGGGGCACCTGGCTGGCTCAGTTGGTCATGAGTTCAAGCCCCATGTTGGGTGTAGAGATTACTTAAAATAAAATCTTAAAAAAAAGAAAAGAAAAATGAAAACATCTTTGTCAAGTTCTTAAGAATGGCTCTTTCAATATTAGCAAATGATATACCAGACATAAATGTGCATTTTTAATTCATAAAAATGATGTTAGTTTTGAAATCAAGCTATTTCTTCTTTGTTAATGATAAGCTCAGAAAATGCTCACCCAAGAGATAGAAAGTAGAAAAAAAAACCAAGGTGGATTTATGTGTAAGTACATAATCTTTGCAAACGTTATCGACAAAAACAGTCTGAGAAAGGTGACAGTTGAGGCCATTACCTTATTTTTCTCCTTCTCAAGGGAAGATTCAATTATCTTGTGAGTGAGAAGAAAGACAAATCTTAAATCTTGAGGAAGGATAGATCCTTTTTCAGCCCACAGTTCCTGTTAATGGAGTGTCATTGTTTATTGAACGAAAACCACGAAGCAAGAAATCTCTAGGCTACAGGAATGCCTCTGCTTGTTTTAATTTATATTCAAATTTTAAACAGCTTCATCGTGGTATAATTGACACACAATAAGCTGCACATATTTACAGTGTACAATATATTAAGTTTTGACGTCCATCACCACAATCAGGATGATGAACATGTGTAATGTTTCCTTGTGCCCCTGGTATTTTCCATAGTTTTAAGTAAGTGGAATAATATGGTATGTACTCTTTTTTGTCTAGTATCTTTCACTCAGCACAATTATTTTGAGATTAATCCATGGTGTTGTGTGTCTCAGTTATTCATTCCTTCTGAAGTGATTAAGGTTACATTTAAAATTCAATAATATTGAATGAAGAAAAGAAAAATTAAAGGAAATTCAGAGTCTCAGGTTCAAGAAGAAAGACTATGTCTTGTTCTTCCTAAAGAATGTGGTAGTGGGGCAGTGTATCCTTGATCACCTGCTTATGCCTGTCCAAAAAATAAACTGCGTGAGAGTGTTCCTCAGTAACAGATGCTGAAACACCTGTGATGTACACAGTGAGTAAGTCAATGGGAGGGGCAAGGAAGAAGAAGCAGTTTCCTGTTCATTCCCATTTGCTTCTTTATTTTAAAAAGATTTTATTTATTTATTTGAGAGAGAGAGCATGAGGGGGCTAGGGACAGAGGGAGATGGAGGGACAAGCGGACTCCCTGCTGAGCCTGAGATCATGACCAAGCCAAAGTCAGCCACTTAACCAATTGAGCTACAGAGGTACCCCAAGTTTATTCCTGTTTGTAACCACACATGCCCACTTCTGCCCACCTCAATATAAAAGATTTGGATAGAGACGCCTGGATGGCTCAGTCGGTTAAGCGGCTGCCTTCAGCTCAGGTTGTGATCCTGCAGTCCTGGGGCCAAGTCCGGCATCGGTATCAGGCTCTCAGCTCAGCAGGGAGTCTTCTTCTCCCTCTTCCCCTCCCTCCCCGCTCATGCTCTCTCTCTCTCTCTCTCTCAAATAAATAAAATCTTTAAGAAAAATAAAAGATTTGGGTATATCTATGAGGTATGACTGGTTCCTAAAATTTCAGGACTGCAGTATTATAACAGGTGGTAAACCACTTCATTGCTACCTCAGTTTCCCCAGTCTCTAAATTGGTTTAAGTATGTTATTCACGTGCCCTACACCAATGGGGATACCTTTTAAGAGGACAGCATTTGAAGCAATGAAAAATAACAACCAGGGCTGACAGTAACTATTTTACTAACAACTGTTTTGAAATCAGAAGGAAAAGTAATAAGAATAACAGGAGTCCTCAACTATAAATAGGTGATTTCTGTATATTTGGAACTAAAAACAGTTTCCTATAGAAATACATCGTAATTGTAGTAAAGAGAGAACATATTCTGGGCATGTCACAGCCTGTCCTAAATAAGGTGGGGAGGGGACGAGAACGCTAGTAAAAGGCAAGTGAAAGGTGGTTCACATATGATGGAAACTCCCAGGTTTGCTTTGGCCACCTTGTGCGGTAAGGACCGCCGGCGCCCCAGAACTACAATTCCCAGAATGCCACGGTGCAGGCTCCTCGGCGGATGCAGTCTGGAGCTCCCGGTACTACAGGTTCGGCTGCTGGGGGACACTGGATCCTCTGGGCTCATGGCTTCCCCAAGCAAGGCAGTTATTGTTCCCGGGAACGGAGGCGGGGATGTGGCCACGCACGGCTGGTACGGCTGGGTGAAGAAAAGGCTGGAGCAGGTAAGAGACACGAGCGGCTGCGCTGGGAAGTCAGCTTGGAGCTGGAGGGGATGGAGGGGACTGAGGACTGAAGTTTGAACGTGTGCTCACCAGCCCCTACCCCACCTCAGCACACCCCCTTTAGTATAGCCCAGTGTGTTTTCATTCCTCTCCCCGCTGCCCTGTCTCAAACACTAGAACTAGTGGTCGGAATTTTGGTGGGTAAAACTTTCTGGAAGACTTCCCTGAGGGCTCAGTCGTTAGGGTACAAGGCACCACCTCCTAGAGCCCCGTCGGTCTCCCTGCATCTGGTGCTGGTTCAGATTTGGGACTTCCCAGATAATTGTACATCTTCCTTTTCTGCTCCCTGCTTAATATTTAATATGTAAAAAAGCTAGATGTAACATATATATAAATTATGAAGTACAATGTAATGAAAACCTGAGGCTCCATTACCAAACTAAAATCTGCAACATTAACAATACCTTCGAAGCCACATGTACCTTCCCCCCATCCCATTTCCCTACCATCCTGAAAATTTTTTCATTTGCTCCAACCGTTTTAAAAATGAACGTATTTTTGCAACCATGTGTGTATACTTTGAACAATATATAGTTTAATTTGGCTTCTTTATGAGCTTTATAAAAATGGTGACCAGCTGTAGTTGTCTTGTGCATCTTGATTTTTTTTTAACCTCTTCCATAACCAGGCAATAGGACCGCTTCCTGGATTTCCATCCTCTAGAGCTCTAGCGTATGTTTCTAGAATAAAGTTCCAGGGTTGTGGCTGAAAACCAAGGCCAGAGCTACAATCCAAAAAGATCAGGGCTGAAGCTGTCCAAGACGGTGGGATCTCCAACTTTCTGTACCATGTTTCTGTACCATGTTTTACCTAACCCCTGGTGCACAGTCTGTTTGACTACAGGTCAGTTTGTCTAGAATTGCATTCATTCATGATACCTCTGTAGATATATGCCTACAGCAATAAACAGAGATGTACAAATGAGGATTCAGGTCTCTGTATATAGATGCCTACAGAGCTGGCTGGATATAAAACTACAGACAGATGGAGTTTATCAGGAGGGATTGTCTGTTCATATGGCACTTAACCCACTTCATTTCATAATATAAGCAAATACTTATTGAATTGATAAAGATCATACCAGGTGTTTCATTTCTTATTAGCAAGGTATTAGTTGTAATTAAGCTCTTTATTATAGCTTTTTTTTCCCCTCATATCTTAGATACCTGGTTTCCAGTGTTTGGCTAAAAACATGCCTGACCCAAGTAAGTTTTAAACGTGTTTTTAAATAGTCTCATCTTTTGGGTTTTGATCTCGCCATTTTCCTGGTAGAGAACAAGAATATCATAGTAGAGAAGCCAAAGGGAATATATACCTAAGAATGAACGATGGCAAGTAGTTTGGGGAAAAGGGTGTAAACCAAAAAACATTCTAGAAAATTCTAATAAGGATCAAGAAAAGCACCTGGGCGGGCGCCTGGGTGGCTCAGTCATTAAGCGTCTGCCTTCAGCTCAGGTCATGATCCCAGGATCCTGGGATTGAGTCCCACATCAGGCTCCCTGCTCGGCCGGAAGCCTGCTTCTCCCTCCCCCACTCCCCTTGCTTGTGTTCCCTCTCTCACTGTGTCTCTGTCAAATAAATAAATAAAATCTTTAAAAAAAAAAAAAAGAAAAGAAAAGCACCTGGGCTTGGTAAAATTTAATTTTCAACTTTGCAAGCAACTAGATTTTCCCTTCTAGAAGTCAACATTATTTTCAGGCAAAATTTATGGGTATTTCATGTGAGACAGAGATATGATAAAACTTTACAGCACCTATAGGAGATCAGAATATTTCAAAATGTAACATTGCCACTTTTGTTCTGACTGTGCCTGTGACTTGTGTCAGGAAATTCTTCTTTGGAAAGAAAGAATATATATGCATATGAATTTGAGAATGTCACCTAGAGTTTTTTTCTTAAGTTTGAAAGTTTACATTAAAACTTTAGAGTTGTATTTTTATTATTTCTCCGATATTTTCTTATGAGAACATGGTGAAAGATGAAAGCAAAACCAGATAGATAGATGGGCCAAAACTATGGATTTGAGTCTTTCAAACAGCAATACATAAATCGTTGGCTCTATTAAAACAGTCCCATCTCCCATTTGGTCCTGCAGTTCTTAAATTGAGAAGTGCTGAGTAGTCATCGGTTAGAAAGGTGGGACAGCATTAGACTATAAGACTGTCCCTATCAAATGACACTCTTTCTTTACCCTGAACCTTAGTTACAGCTCAAGAGAGCATCTGGCTGCCCTTCATGGAGATGGAGCTGCACTGTGATGAGAAGACTGTCATCATAGGCCACAGTTCTGGGGCCATTGCAGCCATGAGGTGCGATCCTTGCTGAATTCTCCCCCCATTTGGGCTCCAGCTGGTTTGCAGACCTCATTGCAGTTCCTTGAACATGCCAAGTATGCACCTGCCTTAGGCTTGCGCTTGCCACTGTTCTACCTGGAATACTTGTTCCTAGATACTTGCATGGCTTTCTCTAAGTCTCTCCTCGAATGTCTCTTTCCACTAAGGCCTTCTCTAGTCACTTCAAATGAAACAGCAACTTCACCCCACTGGCTCATATCCCCTTTGTATCTTGGTATCCCCCTTTTTATCTATAGCACTTTTCACCACCTGATGTCCTGTTTATTCTTATCTCTGGCCAATAGAAATGTAAGCTCCGTGAGGGTGGGACTTTGTTCATTCTGACACTGAAACCTCAGTGCCTAGAAGAGTGTCTGGAATATGGTAGGTGCTCAGTAAATATTTGTTGGAGGGTGGAGACTGTTACCCCACCCTGCAACTCCCCCAGTCCTTAGGATTCATGGCGCTTCCCTGATGCTCTCGGTTAGAACATCATGTCCCTCCCTTTAGGCTTATAAGGCCTAGAGGATAGGATTTAGCTGATTGAGTAAGCATATTAAGGTTGGGTTTCTTCCATATTTGCTAAGCTGGATGACAAAGGAATATAGTTTTTGTGTAGCCCCTTCTCCCAAGCAGTTGCTCAGGATGCCATATGAATCGCATGTCAGAGAACTTTGCCAGATTCCATAATCTTTCTGCCACACCAGAGCTATGAGATAATGCTTCCCAGTGTGGAGCTGCAGAATTTCTGTACAGCCCTAGTGTTTATAAGCTGTTAGGGGTTGTCTGGAAAATGAAGGAATCCCTTTATGCTGAAATCTATACCAACTCAAGGCCAACTGAATTTTTCTCAGGCCATTGGCTATTAAAGGTGTGCCTTCTTTTAAAGATCCCTGAAACTTACTGCAGGATTGTCCGCAACCTTCTAAAAATTAACTTCTAAAGTTAAGGTAGGCAAGGAGAAAGTTGATGCCAAAACTATGGGGTATGAGATTGTAGGGGAACAGGATACTGATTTAGTCACAGAGGACCACCCCACAGATTACTTACTAATCACAAAGGGGACAATTGTGTCTTTACAGTGGATATCTGATAGCTGTCACCTTAGTAATCACACTTAATCTCACCAATAAAGGGAAACTGGCATTGTGTGTCTCTGATGTGATGGAGTGGGACAGACACATTGCCTATGCAGTATTCTTGCCAAAAATGTTTAACCTCTGTCTAATCATGAGGAAAACAGCCAAATTCAGTTTAGGGGATGATGTACAGGACAACTGGCTTAAACTCTGGAAAAAATGTCAATGTCATTTAAAACAAAAAATTTAAAAGTGACTAGAGAGTCATGAAAACAAAATGCAGTGATCTTTGACTGATCTAGGATTGAAAAGCAGTTTTAAAGAACATTTTTGGTAAAACTGGGGAAAAATGAATACAGATAGTATTACCATCTCCGTGTTAAATGTACTAGCTGTAATAATGGCACTGTGGAGATATATATAAGAGACAACCTTGTTCTTAGGCGATACATGTTGACATGTTTAGGTGTGAAATGTGGTAAAATGAATAAATCTAGGTGCTTCTTGTTCTTCTAACTTTTCTGTAAGTTTGACATTTTTCAAAACAAATGGTTGGGCAAAAAGTTTCGCCTGAAAACAAAATACCAACCCTAAATCTTTCCTGGCACCAAGGCCTCTGGAAACTATTACTACCCCACATCTTTCCCTAGCCTAGTCTTTGCTGAGTGAGGGAACTTCATGCAAATAGTTAGCTGAGTGTCTGCTTGCCAGGCACTGTACGGGACACCAGGGTCACAAAGATCAAGAAGACTCACACCTGCCCTTAAGGAGCTGAGGTTTATTGGGGAAGATAGATATAACACGACACAAACAAGTACTACAATGCAATGTAGAGCGTGTGGCAAAAAGAAGTACATTTCCATCGTGGTACAGAATTTCTTAATATGGTTCACAGATCACTTGTATTTGTCATCTGGGTTGGGGGAGGTGTCATGTCTTAAAATGCAGATTCCTGGGCCCTGTACCAACCCTCTGAATCAGATGCTCTGGGACTGAATCTGCAGGTTAACCAACAAAGCAATGCTGATGCATACTGAAGGTAGGTTAATAGGCACATCAAAGAGAATGATTACACTTTTTATGTTTTTTTGGAAAGGATTACCAAAGAGGTTTGGACTACCTTGAAAAATCAGTAGAAACTCATCAAATGGCCAAGGGTAAGCCATTAACCACTGGGCTTGTAGTTCTGCAGTTTCCTTCCTATTTTTCTTGCTAAACTCGACAGTTGATAGCACCTGCTTTCTGTAAGCTAAATCAAATGAGTTTTCAGGGTTTTGTTTTGACTTTTTGGCAGATTTAACATTAAGTATTAGCTGACGTCATTTCTCTTTCTCCAGGTATGCAGAAACACACCAAGTATATGCTATCGTGTTAGTGTCTGCATACACCTCCGACTTGGGGGATGAAAATGAGCGGGCCAGTGGTAAGTTTGAAGGCAGAAACCAGTACAGAAAAGCCCTTGCTCTAGTCACAGGGATGTTTGTTCAGGTTAAACAGCACTGGCTTTTGGATAGGCTAAAAAAAAACCTCTAGTAGCATTTGAGAAACATTTACTGCCCTTCTTTAGATATAAATTAGGCCCTTTGAGAGTGGATAGACCACTTTCTAATGCACTGAACCCTAACTTTATGAGCCATGTACTCCCCCTTCCCAAATGGTTATGGTATCAAGCTCTACAGATTTGAAAACTAAAGGACTTCTAACACTTAGGCTCTGATTCTTTGTATCTCTGCTAGATATTTTACAATGGCTAGAAGGGAAATTATCCATGGGTGGTAATAGATTATATATATATTTTTTCCCATAGGATACTTCAATCGTCCCTGGCAGTGGGAGAAGATCAAAGCCAACTGCGCTCATATTGTGCAGTTTGGCTCCACTGATGATCCTTTCCTTCCCTGGAAAGAACAACAAGAAGTGGCTGATAGGTTGGAAGCCAAATTGTACAAATTCAGTGACCGTGGCCACTTTCAGAACACGGAGTTTCATGAACTGATTAGTGTGATAAAGTCTATGCTGAAAGTGCCAGCATAGACAGGATGGGATTTCTGCTATTTTGCATTCCGGTATAGGGGTAGAGCAATTATCAGGTTATTAATAGATAAAAATTATCTGTGATCATATTAGTGGACACATAAAACAGGTCAAATTAAGTTCTGAAAAAAACAGAAGTTCAATGTTCAAACTAAGTTACAAACAGCATTTCCATTTTCCATAGGATCTGTATCTCGCAAACTGCTATGAACTAAAGCAGTATTTTTCCCATTTGAGTCAGGACATAAGGAGAGCTTAACTACCTTTATCTGTCCAAAGTGAATAAGCAGAAATGGAATCCAGGTTTCCTGATTCCCAGTCCAGGTTAAAATGAAGTAGTTTCGTGTAGGTTGTAAGAGTGGTACTCCTCTTTGAAATGAACCTTTTGTTATTTTGGGGGGAAAGAAAACACGACTAAAGGTCCAGAGTGCTGGCTTAGAGCTCAAACCACTAGCTATTTTGAGCTGGCCCAGGACATTAAACCTAGACTAGGGCCTCCCATCTTTGACACCCTGCCCTGGTCCTTCATGGATCTGAGTCAGGGGTCTGCCAGGTCAGACAGGGACTGTAAGCCCAGCCTGGACATATATACATGAGCATAGCCAACCAGATCTGTGCTAGACCAGAGTGGTGGGGATTAGGGTAACATGGGGAACTCATGTCCTGTCTAAATTGTTGCCATGTGGGAAGGGGGCAAAGTGTTGCCAATTTTCTGATTTTTCAAGGAAAAAATTTCATGCAGTGGTTTTTATATTTAGGGACTATATTTATGTTTGTATATACAGTTCATATGTATATGAGTTGTGTCCAATACATGTACATATGGATGATGTAAGTTGGCAACGACAGTTAAAAAAAAAAATTTACAAACAGTGCAAGACACACAAAGTCCAAGCCACCCATTTGTGACCTCTGCCATTAGGATTAACTTAGCCAGGTGCTTTAAATGATTCTCTATGAAGCCTGAGAAATGAACATAATGTCAAAGGATGCAATCATGGGAACAATTTGGATTTTGTTACAAAATCTTAAGTATTTTTTAAAAGAATCTTTCCATACCTCAAATTTTGTTCTGTAAAGAATTCTACCTTTTAACTTCCATGGTCCTTTGCCTCTCTTTTAAGCCTCATTCCATGATTTCTTTTCTGATCATATTCCCTCAAAAAAATGCTTTTATTTCCCAACATTTTTTGGCTATTATGATCCCTAAGTATTGCCTCAAACAACTTCCAGTGACTTCATACTTGGTGTTGCAGAACCTGATGTTTGCTGCAAAGATGTGAATTCCCTGTTTATGTCTAAAGGAGATTCAAAGCCATCATTTTAACCAGAAAAGTCTTGGTTTCTAAATGTGCTCAAAGAAAAAAGATAAAGACTCTCAACTTTTAATGGCAATTTCTTTGGGGAATAGGAATTTTAGAATATGGTGTGGTGGGAGTCTCCTTCTTATTTTGTACACCTGGGTATTATTTGAGTTTATTATAGTGAACATGTATTACTTTTATAAATAAAAAAATTAAGATTTAAAACAACTCATTTGACACGTTAGTGAAAAGCAAATTCAATAAATCAATTGAGTAATAATTTTCTTAAAGAGGTTGTTTAGCAATGATTTGATCAAGCCTATAACCAAAATTTGATTCTTTTTGATTTGGAATTAGTCATTGCTCTACTTACTCTCAGTCTTGTTTTCTGAAGTCCTTTGTCAAAAAATTACAAACTTATACAAATAACAGTTAATAATATTTTGTTGTCCTCTTCTTCCACAGAAAAGCAACAAACCTATACAATTGAGAAATAATTAATTTTGATATTCTTCATTCCTATAATTAATCTAGACCTATGACTGTTGAGTTGTGCTATCCAATATGGTAGCCAGTAACCACAGGTAGCTATAAAATTAAAATTCAGTTCTTCATTCACACTAGCCACATTTCAAGTCTTAACAGCCACAAGTGACTAGCAGCTACCTTATTGAACAGCAGATATGGAATACTGTCATCAAAAGTTTGGGGGACAGCAAGCGTCCTAGGGCATGTATTTTTATTCTCCCCTTACCCACCATGTAATAATAATGGTTCAAAGTAAAAGTCACTCAACTTGAAATTACTTGTTTGACTTGTTTACTCAGTTGATCACCATAAAAATCATGGCTCCATAAAATTTACTCCTCACCAAACCAAGCTCAGAGGAGTTTTATGGAAGAATCCCACATAAACTATCCATTTAAACCATTGAATCATGGTCTCTCATGATTATTTGACTCCCAACGGATCATTATTAAGCGGAATAGAAGGGCCCTAACAGACTCCAGGGAATATCTATTCTCAGGTGACCAAAATACCTTGTACTAAATGGAAATCAACTGTAAGGATTAGGACTTCATTCACAATTTGATTTTTTGGTGTCGGGAGTCTACAGCTCCATAAACTGTGGTCATAGTTTACTTCTGGTAGGTAAATATCCATTTAACTATATAACAGAGGTGCAGTACTTTTGTCTCTTTTCTCCTTCAGTTAATATTCAGAATGAAAGACATGCTGTGGGAAAAGCATTTAAAGGGTCTCTTTATTCTGGTGAGTCAGGGAACTTTTGTGGCCTCTGACTGTAAGCTTTAGAATCTTTGGCTATCAAGACACAATGCAAAGTCATGAACTGCTTCCTTCTCCCCACTTGTACCTCTCCCCCAAGTTCAGTTTTTTCATTAAATAAGACTAGTGCCTCTGTGATAGGCGAGGTCCCAGGGAGGACAGATAATGTTCTTACTATTCCAGCTCTCGCTGGGGGTGGTGTAGTTTCAGGCTCTATCTTCTGTACATCCAATACTTTGTTTCAAAATGCTAGTGTCATTGAACTCTATTTCTATAGAGCTGGCCACAGACTCCACCTGGTTCTTGGTTACTGAGCTGAATTTTATTTTATTGATCCCATATATCTCAAAATAACCCTTCTGATGTTTACCACTTCGAGTATATCCAAACTGGTGTTTGAACTCAGGCCTCAGTAGTAGCTAGCTTTGAATTCCTTTCCTTTGGTCTCATGCTTTTGGCCTGGACACAGAAATCATTAAGGAGAACTACAAAGTGAAAATACAACAGCTGAGATCCTAAAAAGCTAACTTCTGTGCAACAATACACCAAATTACCTAGGATTGAAGGTACCATTAGAACTGAGAACAATTATAATGGCTTTCTGTTTAGTTTAGACCAATTACACCATGATTTTTAAGAGAGTACGGAAACAAATCTAAAATAAGAGGAGTGGTACCCTGCTCACAATAAAGTGAATGGAGCGCAATGGATTATGGGGCAATTCTAGCAGATAAGGCAGTTGAGCTGCAGAGTAAGACTTGGAAGACTTTGACAAAGAAGGACCAGTGAAAACATTCTCTTTAGGATGAGAATAATCATATTTATGCACTGAAAACATCTTTGACAATAGTCATCATTTGCATTTGAGGTAAGTACAAAGGCATAATCCTCTGAAAGAATATTTCTGATGTAAAAAGGAATGAATAGTGTGTGGAAAGGGATGTTCCATTCTCTTCCCCACTCATGCCTCCAAGTGCTATTCCTGCCTCACCGCTTTTGATTCCTTCTCAATGAAACCACTGAGAAAAGAGAAAACAAATGGCAGTAGTGAACCAGATACAAAATTTTCCAATGAAGACCTTAATAAATAACTTTAAAATGGGCATTTTTAAACTTTAGTCATTACTGTAGTATATGGCAAATATGGATTTGTTGGCTTCTTTTTCCATGAACCATCAAAAGTCTTGAAAGCTTCAGAAGGTGGTCTTCCTGAAGTTCAAAGTATTTTATTTATTGAAGGATGGATTTCACTATTAGCCTTACCTGCTTCATATTCTGTTGGCTACTCTACCAATATAAATTTAGTCTTCATAGATAAAAAAATACTTTTTCATAGCAGCAAGTCTACCCATTATTGTGAAGTTTGCTTTCAAGGGAATTTGATGTTCCATCATGAGTTAAATTATCTGCTCCCAAAGTAACTTCATTTGCAAAATGTCAGGAAAGTTCCCAGTTCTCTATTAAAATTCGAGCCACTCTGTCATATAAATACAGTTAGATGGTGAAATCTCACCACCTTCATGGCAGTCATCAAAAACCTTTAAAAAAGAAAAAAATTTACAATCAAATGAGAGTTTTAAAATTACACTGTAGGTCTCAAATGTCACCTACAACTAAAATTTCTGTTAACAATGTATCCAAGACCCAACCATTGTTTTGGGGTTTTTTTAAAGAATTTATTTATTTGACAGAGACATAGCGAGAGAGGGAACACAAGTGGGGGCAGTGGGAGAGGGAGAAGCAGGCTTCCCGCAGAGCAAGGAGCCCGACGCGGGACTGGATCCCAGGACCCTGGGATCATGACCGGAGCCAAAGGCAGACGCTTAACAACTGAGCCACCCAGGTGCCCTGACCCATTTTTTAAAGCAATATTAAAAATAGAATTTTCAGGGCGCCTGCATGGTCCAGTTAGTTAAGCATCTGCCTTCAGCTCAAGTCATGATCCCAGGATTGGGATCAAGCCCCATGTCAGGTTCCCTGCTCAAAGGGGAGTGTGCTTCTCCCTCTCTGCCCCTTACCACTACTTATTCTCTCTCTCCCCCTCTCTCAAATAAATCTTAAAAAACAAAACAAAACAAAAAGTCTATTTAAAAATAAAATTTTCGGGGCACCCTCTCCCCCTCCCCCTGCTTGTGTTCCCTTTCTCGCTGTCTGTCAAAAAAAATAAATAAAATCTTTAAAAAATAAATAAAAGTAAAATTTTCAAAGTGAAAGAGACTAGGGCTGGGGCGCCTGGGTGGCTCAGTTGGTTAAGCTACTGCCTTCGGCTCAGGTCATGATCCTGGAGTCCCGGGATCGAGTCCCACATCGGGCTCCCTGCTCGGCAGGGAGTCTGCTTCTCCCTCTCCCACTCCCCGTTTGTGTTCCCTCTCTCGCTGTGTCTTTCTCTGTCAAATAAATAAATAAAATCTTTAAAAAAAAAAAAAAGAAAGTAAGAAAGAGACTAGGGCTGGGCGCCTGGGTGGCTCAGTTGTTAAGCATCTGCCTTCGGCTCAGGTCATGATCCCAGGGTCCTGGGATCGAGTTCCGCGTCAGGCTCCCCGCTCAGCAGGGAGTCTGCTTCTCCCTCTGCCTCTGCCTGCCACTCTGCCTACTTGTGCTCTCTCTCTCTCTCAAATAAATAAAATCTTTTTTTTTTTTAAAGATTTTATTTATTTGACAGAGAGACACACAGCGAGAGAGGGAACACAAGCTGGGGGAGTGGAGAGGGAGAAGCAGGCTTCCCGCCAAGCAGGGAGCCCGATGCGGGGCTCGATCCCAGGACCCTGGGATCATGACCTGAGCCGAAGGCAGATGCTTAACGACTGAGCCACCCAGGCGCCCCAAATAAATAAAATCTTAAAAAAAGACTAGGGCTGTATTTAAGAACATGCTATAATAGACCTGCTTTGTGATTATAAAGTTAGTGAGTGAGAAACCTTTCACTGTAGCACTAAGATGATCTGCTCACCTGCCCACTGGGCCAAAGGCTATCAGCAGATAACAGGAAAGCAGATCTACATACATCACTAACCAAAGGTTTCATGTTAGCTACATTCCTTTCTTTGAAGGGTGCTAAACAGAATTCCCAATATGCTCGCTGTTTTTTCTAGGACTTGAAACCAGCACACAGAGAGCTTAGGCATATAGACAAGGGCTGGTATAAGGAAATAAAATCTACACCAGCGGCCCAAGAATATAAATGCCCTGAGGGCAGAGGCAGTGCCTGTGCCACGCAGCTGGCATGCGCGAACTACATGGAACCGGATGAAGAGTGCTGGGGCGCACTGCGGGGGAAAGAACATGTTCGGGTTTGTGTCCTGGTTGTTACTTCGAAGCTGTAGCCCCTACAGCTTCCTTAGCTTCATGCTTATGCGGAAATAATACCGCTAGCTCCAAGGGACAGAAGTAGGATTACATGAGACCATAAATCTTCAAGAATATGCCTGGCCTGTGGTGGGTTCTCAGCAAATCTCATTTCCCTCCCTACTTAAGAGTTAAATGATCAGCCATCATTAAAAATTGTCCATTTCAGGGCCATGAGTAGAAAACACAAATTTCCCTAACCTGGTTATTCTAAAAAAGAATATAAAGCAATGACTTGTTCATCAAGGGCCCGTCATCAAGGTTACACAGAGGTCTGAGCCGCTGTTGGTCAACCCTGAGTGTCAGAAAACGAGTGTGCTTACTGGTAAGTTAGGTGGTATTTGCACTTGGTGGCAGTCAGGTATGAAGTGAAACCACTTTAACTCACCGGGCAGAGTCCACATGGGGCCCGGACCAAACCCGTGGGTGGGATGATTGGATTGACTGCTCTGTACAGTTTCATGTGTCCGTCTACACTGCCAACTGTGCCTTCTTTTGCAGCAATGATAGTCATCTCCACTTTCCCATCATAAATGAGTGTATTTAAGATCGTTTCAATGTCCTCCATGGACAACTCTACCTGAAAAGGGGATGCATTAGAAAGGACACAAAAAGCACAAGAAGACATCCTTTGGGAGAGTCTTTAAACTGTAAAGGGTCTGCAATTCCTTGGTGAAATGGGGAAGCATTATGCTGATGAGTCATTAAAAGCATGGGTTGAACAACAGCCCAGGTTAGCATAAACCACAGAAATGCTAGGGACAGAACTCTAACCTCATGCTGAATTTGACACTTTCTATTTGTCCACCCTCTTCAGTAAAATTTAGAAGTCTTTTAACATTTTGGGGGCAAGAATTTGATGGGGATTTATAAAATGTTTGAACAGAAAGTTATTTTAGACATCAAATAGTCCAAATGCCTACTTTTTTTATAAATGAGAGATCTAGGGTCTAGGAAATGAAAATGACTTGTCCAAGTGGCCACTTCAGTTTCTTCTTTGATGATGAAAAGCACCCAGCATGGTGTCTTTATGTATAGGTCTTCAAAAGCATATACTGACACCACTACTCATGACTTACAAGAGGGACACAATACCAATAAATGACAACGGATGTGATGACTGATATTTGGTATCTATGTTGAAATGTCCCTGAGAAAGTCAAGGGCTTGTCAACAGACTTTTGCATTTTGGTAGTGCAATGCACTGCCAGGCCTCTACTCTGCTACTCTGTATCACAAGCTGAGTACATACAGATCCCACAGTGCCTGATGGCATGACATTCACCTTTGTCTAAATGGCTTAAGACAGTGCTTTCTCAAAGTGGGTTCTGCAGAATGTTCATAGGTATCACCTGAAAAAAGGGTCTGGGTCCAATTATGTTTAGAATATACTGTAAACTACATTCCTGTGATGAAGAGTAACCTTTAAAAAATAAGATGAAAATTAAAAACTGTGCTCTCACCTTACTGATCCCCAATTCACAGATATACTTCCACACTTCATGTGATGAGGCAAATGAACTATTTCTTTGTATCATTGGATTCTGTTTGCTTTCCCGTGCTGTTTCTGCCTATAAGGGTAGAAACATAACTCTCAGCAAGAACACTGTTTTCTGAATACAACTATATAGCGTGAAATCAACAGCAGAATACATTGTTAAGTAAAAATTACTGATTTGAATATTTTCAAGTCCTATAAAATATGATATACAAGATTAAACATTCTTGATGAAGCAACTTTTAAAAAAAGATCTGCAGTGATGTTTCCTCAATTATGCCTCACCTTGGTTTGTAGGAATTTAAAACACTGTTGGTTAAGCACCTCTACAAATTCTGATTCAAAATCCTGGTCACTGTACCAGGCTCCACCAGTCACAGACCGGTCCGGTTGCACGTTATAGAGCATATATACTTTCTTTTTTGAGGCCTAGGAAAAAATGCATAGTAGATGTGGTTATAAGATAACCAAGTCTTCCGGGGTGCCTGGTTAAGCATCTGACTCTGGATCTCAGGGTCATGAGATCAAGCCCCCGGCTTGTGCCCACGCACTCTGAATGAATGAATGAATGAATCAGTCTATATTGGGAAAAAAAAAAAAAAGATAACCAAGTCTTCCAAAACTGAGATTTAAAAAAAACCCTTGGGGTGCCTGGGTGGCTCAGTCAGTTAAGCATCTGCTTTCAGCTTGGGTCATGATCCCGGGGTCCTGGGATCGAGCCCGCATTGGGCTCCCTGGTCGGGCTCCCTGCTCAGTGGGGAGCCTGCCTCTCCTTTTCCCTCTGCTGCTCCTCCTGCTTGTGCTCTCTCTGTCAAATAAATAAATAAAATCTTAAAAAAATAAAATAAAATAAAAATTTAAGAAGGGGCGCCCGGGTGGGTCAGTCGTTAAGCGTCTGCCTTCAGCTCAGGTCATGATCCCAGGGCCCTGGGATCGAGCCCCGCATCGGGCTCCCTGCTCCGCGGGAGGCCTGCTTCTCCCTCTCCCACTCCCCCTGCTTGTGTTCCCTCTCTTGCTGTGTCTCTCTCTGTCAAATAAATAAATAAAATCCTTTAAAAAAAAAGGAAGAAGGGCGCCTGGGTGGCTCAGTTGGTTAAGCGACTGCCTTCGGCTCAGGTCATGATCCTGGAGTCCCGGGATCAAGTCCCGCATCGGGCTCCCTGCTCAGCAGGGAGTCTGCTTCTCCATCTGACCCTCCTCCCTCTCATGCTCTCTGTCTCTCATTCTCTCTCTCGCAAATAAATAAAATCTTAAAAAAAAAAAAAAAAGGAAGAAGAAAATATCCAGACTCAATTATACTCAGGAAGAGAAACAGACATACTTCGGACCCTTTAATTTTATAGCAATAGTGTTACAGCGGAGATAGACCTATCTACTGAACTTATTAAAAACCTTGGGAACTCAGGCGCCTGGGTGGCTCAGTCGTTAAGCATCTGCCTTCCGCTCAGGTCATGATCCCAGGGTCCTGGGATCGAGCCCCGCATCGGGCTCCCTGCTCAGCGGGAAGCCTGCTTCTCCCTCTCCCACTCCCCCTGCTTGTGTTCCTGCTCTCGCTATCTCTCTCTCTGTCAAATAAATAAATAAAATCTTTAAAAAAAAAAAAAATTTAAGAAAAAACCCTCAAAACTTTTTTCTTTGGAGCCAGGGGTGGGGGAGGGGCAGGGAGGGAGAGAGGTGGGTAGAGAGAGAGAGAGACTCTTAAGCAGGTTCCACACCCAGCATGGAACTGATGCGGGGCTCGATCTCACAACCCTGAGATCATGACCTGAGCTGAGATCAAGAGTCGGATGCTTACCTGACTGAGCCACCCAGGCACCCTTCAGAACTTTATATTTTAGAGCAATTTTAGATTTACACAATTATTATAAAGACGGTACACTTATCTCGTGCTCAGTTTCCCCTCTTAATATCTTATATTAGTAGGATGCATTTATTACAATTAATGAACCAATATTGATACATCATTATTAACTAAAGTCTACACCTCACTGAGGTTTTCCTTAGTTTTTCCCTAATATCCTTTTTCTGGTCCAAGGACCTAATCAGGATACCGCATTAAATTTACTTGTCATGTTTCCTTGGCAAATTCTCAGACTTTCCTTGCTTTTGATAACTTGCCAGTTCTGAGAATTACTGGTCTGGTATTCTGTAGGACATCCCTTGACTGGGATCTGTCTGATGTTTTTCTCATGACTAGACGGGAGAAAGGACACGGAAGAAAAGTGCCCTTCTCATCACATCCTGTCAAGGGCACTTGATTGTCACCAAGTGATGACTGATCACCATCAATATGACTTCTCAGTGTTGAGGTTAACCTTGATCATGTGGCCTGAGGTAGTGTTTCTCTGTTTTCTCCACTGTAAACTGACGTCCCCCCCCCCCCGAGCCTTTCCATGTATGGAAGGACATCACTATGCAGTCCACACTTAAGGAATGGGAGTTACATTCTACTTCCTTGAGGGTGGAGTGTCCACCTAAATTACGTGGAATTCTTCTGCACAGGAGGTTTGTCTATTCTGCCTCTATCTACTCATGGGAAGATCTGTCATTTATTTACTTATTTGAGAGGGAGAGAGAGCAAGTGAGTGCAAGCAGCAGGCGAGAGGGACAAGCAGACTCCGCACTGAGTGCGGAGTCCGATGTGGGGCTTGATCTCACGACCCTGAGATTATGACCTGAGCTGAAATCAAGAGTCGGACGCTTAACTGACTGAGCCACCCAGACACCTCGATCTGTCATTTATTTAAACATTTACATCTGTATGGACTCATGAATATTTATTTTATAGTCTGGGTTATAATCTAATAATACTTTAGTTTGAAACTTTGAAAACATCATGTAAATGAAAGAAACCCGACCCAAAAGACCACATAGTGTATGATTCTGTTTATACGAAATGTCCAGAGAAGGCAAATCTACAGAGACAGAAACTACATTAGTGGTTGTCAGGGCCTATGGGCAGGGAGGCTGGGGAGTGACTCCTAGTGGGGTCACATTTCAGGGGTGATGAAAATGTCCTAAAATTAGAATAATGTGATGGATGTGCGACTCTGTGAGTATACTATAAACTTCCAAATTGTACATTTTAAACATGTGCATTTTATGGCACGTCAATTATCTCAATAAAGCTGTTATTAAAAATAAAGATGGAGAATAAGGATTGGCAAAGTGAAACTGGGTGATTGGTATGTGGGGACTTGTATTATTTTCTCTACTCTTGTATATATTTGAAATCATCCATTAAAAATGCTGAAGGGAGATAACGTTCTAAATTAGGGACTGGGGGGCGCATGGATGGCACAGTTGGTTAAGTGTCTGGCTATTGATTTTGGCTCAGGTCATGATCTCAGGGTTGTGAGATCGAGCCCTATGTCAGGCTCCACGCTCAGCACCAAGTCTGCTGGAGATTCTCTCTCTTTCCCCCTCTGCCCCTCCCTGTGATCATGCTCCTCTCTCGAAACATAAATAAAATCTTTAAAATAAATAAATAAATAAATAAGGGTGTGGTAAGTTAAAAATATCATTTGATAAATAAAATCTCTGATGAACATCAAATTCTTATTTGCTGAAATCCGTATTCAAGCAAACTTTAGTTTAGGGGAATCTCGGGTCTTCTTCCGCCTAGGTCAGTGAGGTTAGCAGCTGGTGTTCCTGATGGAGCCAGCTCTGGAATGGCAACCCTTGAAGGAGGTCATGGGGTGGGGGGAATGGGACGAGGAGGACGAAAAACACCATGTCTTGGAACAGATGCTCTACCAGGGCAGAGATCTTTCTCTGGCTTGTTCACTAATGTAGCCCAAGCACCCACAACAGTGCTTGGCACAGAGCAAACACACAATAGGTATTTGTTGAATGAATAATCTAACATGCTAGAATGAAGTAAATTATCTTTCATGCTGAAAATCCAGGAAAAATGTTCATGATTCCAAAAATTCCTTACTGAAGAGTATAGTAGTTTTAGCTTTTCGAGTGGGTGAGACACAAAGAGTTAATTAGGCAGTGATAAATCTAAGCAGTGTCTCCAAACCAATACAATATGGACTAAATTTTTTAAAATCTTTTTGACTAGTAGTTTTAAATCATGACATAGCTTAAAGAACAGTAAGATCTTGAAACATACTTGGAGCAAAACAATACAGTGAACACTTGGGGTAAGGAAAGAGAAAACTACTCACTGCCACAGACTTAACAGCTTTGATAAGCTTTTTACTTTCCAAATTCTTTAGAATTTTGTTAATTTCTGTTAATGGCAAGTTACTTTTGTATCGGATATCTCTGCTCCATATTCCTGTAAGAAAGTAAAGTAAAATGAGTTCAACACCATAGGATTTGTGTCTACAGTCCTACTGCTTACATCGCAGGCTAAAACTAGCAAAATATGTATATATGTATACATTCCTAGCACATAGCTATGGGAAAAACAGTGACTTAGAGTAAGAATCTCAGGTAACAACAAAAGTATGCAAAATGATAAAGAAGTTAGGTGCTTTATCTTCTAACCAGAAATTTCTTGGAATCCTAGTGTGGCACCTTTTTAAAAACATGTGAAAAAGATACTTTTTAATGGAAGAAAAATCTTGAATGTTGCTGAATTAACTTACATTGTGTCTTCCATCCCCTCCTACACCCCAACTTCTGTTTCCTATTATTTTTATTTTAGATTGTATTTAGATTATAACTTCAGTTTGGGCCAAGGTCAGCTACCACTGTCAACGGAGAGCAAAAAAAAAAAAACCTCTTTATGTAAGCATCTGTGTGCCTGTATACCCATTATTTATACCCTATATTTAGGAGATGAAAAATGAAGATTGAGGTTCTCACAGCCATAAGCCCTGTGCAGGAAGCCAGGATTTCTCTTTCAAAGAAGGGTTGTATGTGGAATTTTATATTAAACATGTTACCTTATTTTCTTCCCAGCAAAGAGGCGTAATGAGATAGGAAGAATTAAAAAAAAAACAAAAAACAGAGAATGGCTTTTGTCATATGTCTATTTTTAAAGTATTACACTCCTAATAATATAAGAATGATGGGGCGCCTGAGTGGCTCAGTCGGTTAAGCGTCTGCCTTCGGCTCAGGTCATGATCCCGGGGTCCTGGGATCGAGCCCCGCGTCGGGCTCCCTGCTCGGCGGGAAGCCTGCTTCTCCCTCTCCCACTCCCCCTGCTTGTGTTCCCTCTCTCGCTGTGTCTCTCTCTGTCAGATAAATAAATAAAATCTTTAAAAAAAAAATATATATAAGAATGATATATGATTTCAATTATATCATTATTGATACATTGTTGAAACTAATATCAGGGAATCAAATAGATCCTAAAGTGTAATAATAGCTATTTAGATAAAGGTCTATAAGAGGGATAGAGAAAACCGAAGTTGCTGAGGGACCTCTGTTGGGACACCGCCACACTGCACTGGACATCCCTCTGGTTTTTGCAAAAACCAGAGAGATGGTATTATCCACAATTTACAGATAAAATGAAGAAATGAAGGTCTCCAAAGTTTAGAAAGTGAGGATTGGAAAAAAAAAAAAAAAAAAAAACCTTAAGTTTTAACTGATTTATTTTGAAATCAATAGTACATTCCAATGCTCAGAATTCAGAAGTTTCTTTCCATCCCGGGCAACAGCCACCTAGCTCCTGCCTCCTGTGAGCTAACAGCAGCAGCATCACACCTGGGTGTCCTTCAAGCATATGCACAGTACGTATTTCTATTTCCTCTCCTTTTAATATACATGGCAGCATTTTTTATACACAGATCTGTACCCTGGGAAGCCAGCGCTCAGTCCCTATTTCGGGTCCTAAAGACAATGTTTTTTTCCTGTTTCTTCCTTCACATGCTTACCTTTATTTCCTGCATCCTCTATGATTTGATATACTAGTTTTTCTTGGTTATCTGATCCTTTCATTTTACTGCAGGGGAATAAAATAGAATTAAAAAGGCAAAGAGATACAGGATAATCTAATAATCTACATAACTACTTTAATGAATTAGTAGACAAGGTCATCACATTGACTTATTTACCAAAATAAGAGCTTACCTTAAAAAGAATGAGACAGGGCTGTATGTACCAGAATGAAAAGATGTCCAAGATATAGTAAGTGAAAAAAACAAGTTGCAAAACAGTATGGATAGCATGATCCCATTTTTGTTAAAAAAAAAAAAAAAAGAAAAAGGAAAAAAAAGAAAAAAAAGAAAAGAGATTATATATATAGTATATAAATATATAATCATTTCTATATATTTATATATATACCTAAAAGAAAGGACATATACCAAATTATTAAGAGCAGTTATCTCTGAGAAATGGAACTCATGATAAGAGGTGGGGATGGTATGCAGGACAGGTTTACATTATGCAATTCTATATTGACATTTCCCCCCAAAACATTTATTACATTTGTAATAATTAAAATTTCTTAAAATAAAAAATTGGGGCTTACCCAGCATTCTGAGAATCCTTTATTCTATACAGAAGTCCTGTATTGCTCCTTAAGAGATCCAACTGACCCTAAAGTTTGTTTTGTTTTTTATAGAAAATAACAATGAATTATTTTGGAGATATTTCAAATCAATCACAAATGTTAATTTTTTTAAAAAATTTTACACAAACCAAAATATCCTACCCTGCACAGTTGTTAGTTCCTCACTTAAGACTTAAGTTTTTGCCTACATATCACATGTAATATATTTTTGAAAACATACATAGCTTCTTAGTTTGTCATTTTCCAAAATATAAATACCTAACAGTTTCCTATATGCTACATTCTGACTTTGTTATATGACCAATGCATAATGAATTCTAAAAAAGCAGCAGCTTTAGAATAATAAATAAAAATCCACATTCAAATTCAAACAAATTCACTAAGTATATATAATATAAACATAAAAATGAAAATATAATTTGTATAAATAAAAAGTTCAAATAAAGACTAACATGCATAAATATTCTATAACATGATGATCAAATAAAATTTGCAATGTTAATAGGACATTTACTGATTTGTGTGATTTCTATTGTATTACATGGACAGTTAGGCAGAAAGATCAAGCAATGAATCAAAGATGCAATAGTTTTGGTTTTATATAACAAGTCAAAAGTAAAGTAAAGCCTGTCTGATGTGATTTGGAAATTCCTCGGGTCTGAACTCCGGAGCACTCAGGTGGCTGTACCACTGGGCTTCTGGCAGTTTGGGGAACCCATGATTGAGAGGCCCCATTCCCATGAGTTAAGACTGGGATGACACATGCCTTGCAAACAGGTTTACATATGGATGAACAGCAATAACTTCCTCCCCGGACCCCACTAAGTAGCAAAATTGAAACACAAAGTTCCATTTGGAGGTTGTTTAATTCAGCCTATGAATGTTTGCTGAACACCCGTACTGTGATATATGTTTCGGGGGACCAACATGAATTCTAAAAGAGAATCACACAGCTAATTTCAACTATCTGGTTGGCATTAACATAGAGGTAAGTAAAGAGTAGAACAGGCGCTCAGAGCAGCAGCTTTGGCCCAACCTGGGGTTCAGGGAGGCTTTCTGGGAGACAGAAAGCGGAGCTGAGTCTTGAAGGATAATGAGGAGTTAGTCTGTGAAGAAAGGGAAGAAGGGCGGTCTAACCAGGGAAGACAAAGGACCTGAGGCATGAGGCGCAGGGAACCAAAAACAATCCATTCCCCTGAAACTTAACTTTTGAGGCAGAGTGGTGGCAGATGAGGCAGGTGAGGAAGGTAGCAGCTCAGTGTGGTAAAGCCACGAGTTTGGACTTGAATCTCTAGTGCTGAGATTCTGGGTCAGAAGTGACTTGGCTAGATCTGTGTTTAAGATGATCAGGCTACCTTCTCTAAGGCAGACGGAGCCAGGAGAGCGGGTTAGAATACACTCTAATAGTCCAGGAGAAAGCCAAGACCTGAACACATGCGGGAGTAGTAGGAATGGAAATGAGGGGGCAAATCTGAGAGCTGTTTAAGAGCTAAAATCAGCAACACTTTGTGATTTACTAATACTTATTCCCTTAAAATTCATCATAGCTCCACCACCGCTTATATCCTCCAGACAACAGGACTGGCAGTGGATGGGGCTGCAGAGGTGGAGAAAGAGAGGGGGAGATATTGAGGATGATTTTCAGACAGAAAGCAAAGGGCTGAAAGGGCAGTCAGAGGACAAAAACAGTTTCCCTTGCCACAACTTCCAGCATCCCTTCCACTATCCCTCCTAGAGCCAAGTCCTTCACCAGGGTGAACTGATTAGAGATCACCAATTGTTTGAGTACTAAAAGAGAGGTCAGCAATCTGGCCCACTGCTTGTTTTTATAAATAAATTTTACTAGAATGCAGCCATGCTCGTTTGTTTATATACGGTCCATGGCTTTCTTGCAGAGTACTTGTGACAGAAACCACATGGCCTGCAAAGCCTAAATACATACTATCTGGCACTTTATAGAAAAAGTTTTCCAGCCATTAAGCTAGAAGGTTGAAGGGAGTAGTTTAACAGAAAGTTCACCTGTCCTCAAATTTCCATGAGTCCTTAGTGTAGAAATCTTTTTCCCAGTTTCTACTACGATCAAAGTGAAATGCTTCCAAGACAGGGGATCTTTGATGTAGGGGAAATGGAAGGAGAAATAGGTAGACTTAGAGGATGGGGTGCCACAAGGTGGGGTGTTTTTGGACAGTGGACGAGAATGACACTAAGGCCCCAGGACAAGAGAAGAGGTAAAAGCAGGTAGAAGGGCTTCATTGAAAAACCCCATTGTAGTGTTACTGGACTCATTCCTGCTTCCTGAAATGCTCAAAGTGAAATTGTGGAGAGAAACCCTAATGAACTGACTCTGTGATAGCTGGCAGAGGGCATATTTCATAGAGAATGGTCCAACATCAGCAGCAAGAAGCAAACAGAAGGTGAGAGCAGACTAGCCCTATGTGCCCTGTGTACACGATGACAATTAGGTCAACAAATACAACGGTTAAAACAAAATATATTTATTTTATTCATTTTTAAAAATTATTTATTTGAGAGAGAGGCAGCACACGGGTGAGGCGGGCAGAGGGAGAGGGACAGAGAAAATCTCAGGCAGACTCTCCACTGAGCACAGAGCCCACATGGGTCTTGATCCCAAAACTCAGAGATCATGACCTGAATGGAAACCAAGAGTCAGATGCTTAACCGACTGCACCACACAGGTGCCCCTCATTCATCTTGTATAATGATGTGTAATTATTTCTTCTTTCCTCAGTTCAGGCAGCCTGAGCCGCTTCCTGGCTTGGAGTCTTAACCTAAGACACTTTCGAATGGTTTCACATACTAGGAAGTAATGACAATCACAGCACATAAATGATTACATGAACTAGTTGAATTTGCCTTACCATGGACAGCAGTCTATTGATGGCCACTGCCCGCTGCTGGGCTTCTATATGAGGCATTTCATTCTGAATTACTTGGTCTGTGATTCCATGAGGGAACTGGTGACATAATTCTATAATCCTAGGAAGAAAGGCAGTAACAATATTATTCATGTTTTTACCTATTTCAAGAGGTGGGGGGGCAAGGATACAAGCAGAACAGTTTGAAATTGTGCCTTTAGAATGAAATCTTGCCATTTGCAACGACGTGGATGGAACTGGAGGGTATTATGCTGAGCGAAATAAGTCAATCAGAGAAGGACATGTATCATATGATCTCACTGATATGAGGAATTCTTAATCTTAGCAAACAAACTGAGGGCTGCTGGAGTGGTGGGGGGTGGGAGGGATGGGGTGGCCGGGTGATAGACATTGGGGAGGGTATGTGCTATGGTGAGAGCTGTGAACTGTGTAAGACTGTTGAATCACAGACCTGTACCTCTGAAACAAATAATACATTATATGTTAAAAAAAAGAAGATAGTAGGAAGGGAAAAATGAAGGGGGGGGGGAATTGGAGGGGGAGATAAACCATGAAAGACTATGGACTCTGAGAAACAAACTGAGGGTTCTAGAGGGGAGGAGAGTGGGAGGATGGGTTAGCCTGGTGATGGGTATTAAAGAGGGCACGTATTGAATGGAGCACTGGGTGTTATATGCAAACAATGAATCATGGAACACTACATCAAAAACTAATGATGTAGGGGCGCCTGGGTGGCTCAGTCGGTTAAGCGGCTACCTTCGGCTCAGGTCATGATCCCATGAGCCCCGCATCAGGGAGCCTGCTTCTCCCGCTCCCTCTGCCTGCCTCTCTGCCTACTTGTTCTCTCTCTATCTCTCTGTCAAATAAATAAATAAAATCTTAAAAAAAAAAAACCCTAATGGTGTAATGTATGGTGATTAACAACATGATAAAATAAAAAAAATGCTAAAAAAAATTCCATTTAAGGTTCCAAGTCTTAAAAAAAAAAAAAAAGAAAGAAAGAAACTGTGCCTTTATTCACATTTGGCAGATAATCTGTTTGTTTTTAGTGGGAGGTTTAGTGGGGGGGAGCGGTAAGGAGGGAAGGGCAGAGGGAGAGGGAAAGAGAATCCTAAGCAGGTTCCACGCCCAGCACGGAGCCCAATGTGGGGCTCAATCTCGCAACCCTGAGATCATGATCTGAGCTGAAATCAAGAGTTGGACGCTTAATCTACTGAGCCACCCAAGTGCCCTATGCTAAAATCAGATCATCTGGGTTTCTATGATGGTTCTGAATCAAAGCATGTTAGACACTGGGCAAAATAAAGTACATGTTTACATTATTACTATTATTTAAGAGGACTGTTTCTTTTTCTCACTAATATGAACTTTAAATTAGAACAAAAGTCAAATGAAAACACAGAAAAAAATATTAAAGCTGAGGCTTCAATGTTCTCAGATGGAACAAGTATGACAAAATAAATATTCAGTGCGTTGGGCAGCCATAAGTCTGCAAGGAGGAGGTAAATCAGACACTTCCAGTAGGAAGGCAAAATTTGTTATGACAAGTCACCATAACTGGGGCTTGCTTTTGGAATTATCTCTACCAAACAAAAATAAGCCCAAATATCCACCTTTGTCATAGGATCATCATACGTGTTTTCCTAAGTCTGAGAAAGTTAAGGTCTTCTAAAACTATGTGATGAACTAAAAATAGTGCACGGATAGCGAACTTAAAATTAGGAGAGGCTTGATGTGACCTAAAATCTTGACTTAAGTACTGCACAGAAACCATTTGGCTTAATGTCTCTTCAAAAACCACAAACTGCATCCTAACTTCGCCCAAATGTTCTGTCTAGAGAATTCCCTTAGCGACAAGAGCGATCCTGGATGAGAATATGTAGCTACAAGTACTACGGAAAAAACGCCGAATCCTCTCTGGGCGTAGATCACCTTAATGCAGGAAGGAAGCACATCATCACAACTTTCAGAACAGCACCGGGGCAAGGGGAGATACAGAAAGTTACAAACTGTCAAACTCGCTCGGAACTTCTTAAGAAATCTACGTTCCACGGATGGGAGAGGGGTTCCAAATCCCCAGTCTCCTTCCTGCGCGCGCGGGTATCTACCGAGGGTCCCGGGAGAAGGGGTCCGGCTGCCCAAACGTCCGGCCGCCTGCGGGGGGCTCCAAAGCCGGGAAGCGAGCCTCACTGGTTTTACCTGTTTTCTATTTCGACCGGATCCGCGTCGGGCGGCTGCACCTTCACTTTCACCTCAGCCATGACTGCCCAGTTCCCGGCCCCTGAGGGGAGAGACGCTCGGGATCGCCAGATAGCCAGTCGGGGAACCGACGAACCGGGAAGAGGGGAAAAACGGCGCCCGGCTTGGGCAGGGGCCTTCTTCCTCGTGTCGCAGCCGGTCCTTACTTGTTCTGTCGGCTTGAGGTGGCCAAGGCACGCCTGATCCGCCTCACTTGCCCGCGCCACTACATCTTGGTTTTCAGAATGTCAATGCCTGTCGGACGAACGAGCCTGGTTCCCTCACTCTGAGTTGGGACGCCACTTCCGAGCACTTTCCAATGTCGGTGAAGGCATATTCTCAGAGACCTGACGTGAAGCCTTAGGAAAGGCGCTCGAGGCTGGTACCAGTCTCCGGACCTAGCGGCAGGGGCGGAGCTGGTTGCTAGGAAGGCATTTTCCGCCAATCACCTGCTCGGCTCTCGTGGGCGGGGCCCGACTGGCAGCGTCTGTGGAAACCCAAGGAGGCGGCCGAGGAGAGGGCAAGAGGAGGTGAGAGGTGGGCTTCCTGACTGGGGACCGTGGCGGTACCTCGGGGCTCCAATACAGGTCCCGGTGGCCGGAGGAGGAGGGATGGAGGAGGAGAAGGGCCTCCCTCGCTCCAGCCGAAAGGAAGCGGGCGTCCCTGTTTGCCCCTGATGGACAGGGACAGGGACCGGATGGGGTTCCGGATCCGGGCGGCGAGGGGGCGGTATTGATGGAAGGAGTTAAGGGGTTACGGCTGCTGTTGATCCCAGACTGTCATTTGGGCCTAGCATGTCGGTCTACTTCTAGATTCTCTTTGTTTGGGGCCCACTGGCCGCCCCAGCCTCCCAAGGGTAGCTCCTAATTACGGCGCGTATTACTCTCCTATTTTTTTTTTTTTTGGACTAATTTCTCAACTATTTTAATTTTAACTGCCTCTTACTTAAATGGAAAAATGAGGAACAGCACCTTCTTCTTCCCTCTCTCTCCCTTCCCCGAGTCCAGCAATCCTTCTGTACAGGCTATTACTCTAAAATCAGTATCTGCAATTTAAATTCTTAGCCTCTGACCTGGAACTATCCAACCAGGCATTAAATTCACTTCTTAAATTTAGTTATCCAACTTTAGGGAATGTAGTCTGTGGCAAAATTAAAACCAGAAGTTGTTCAGAGCAACATTATTTAGAATTGCACCAACCAAAATTAAAAAGAAACTAGTAATAGCCTAAATGCCCAACCACAAAATAATAAATAAGATGATATAAGTATGTGGAAAATTGTAAATAAAAGAGTGAGGGTGCAAGAAGTACACTATAAAAATTGAATGAACATATAGATTATAACTGAGTGAAACTTATGTATCCATAATTGTTAAAATTTGAAAAGGCTGCATAGAGATGTAAATGGTTTTTGTATTAAGGTGAGGGTTCCTTCCCCCCCTTTATCCTTTATGCATTAAGAATTATACTCCATCCCACCAAAAAAGATCAGTAAGGCCTCCATACTTATACTTAATTATTTATAAACAGGAGGTAGAGTGGGAGACTTTTTGCTTGTTGCTCACTGTTTAAATCAGTGCCAACTTTCGGCTGAGGCATGGTATTCTGCAGCTTTCAAATGCAAGAACCACTTGGCGACAACAGCAGGGCCTTGAACCTGGAACTTTCCCAAGGGAGTTGGCTCTAAATTAACATTTCATGCCACATACAGAGTTACTTCTGTTCCTCTTGGGTGACCACTTGCCCTGAAGCCAAGAGAGGTGGCATGTTAACAAGAGGCAGGAAAGGGTGATAATGATTTAGGGGAAGCTCAGATCAGATCAGGACTGTTGGTCTCTGTTCTGATGTACAGTAGTCTCCCTTTATCTGCAGTTTTGCTTTCCATGGTTTCTCTTACCTGCAGTCAAGTGGGGCCTAGAAGCAGATGATCCTCTTTCTGACGTCAGAAGGTCAGTGGTAGCCTAATGCCACATCACAGTGACTAGATCGTTCGCCTCACTTCATCTCATCATGTAGGCATTTGATCATCTCCCATCATCACAAGAAGGGTGCGTACAGTACAATAAGATATTTTGAGAGTGGGCGCCTGGGTGGCTCAGTCGTTAAGCGTCTGCCTTCAGCTCAGGTCATGATCCCAGGGTCCTGGGATCAAGCTCCACATCGGGCTCCCCGCTCCACAGGAAGCCTGTTTCTCCCTCTCCCACTCCCCCTGCTTGTGTTCCCTCTCTCGCTGTGTCTCTCCCTGTCAAATAAATAAAATCTTAAAAAAAAAAAAAAGATATTTTGAGAGAGACCACATTCACATAACTTTTATTATAGTATGCTGTTGTAATTGTTCTATTTTATTATTGTTGTTGTTAATCTCTTACTGGGCCTAATTTAATAAATTAAACTTTATCATAGGTATATATGTATAGGAAAAAACAGTACATATAGGGTTTGGCACTATCTGTAGTTTCAGGCATCCACTGGGGGTCTTGAACATTTCCCCCATGGATGGGGGGGGACTCTTGTATTCATCTAATTTGTTCATTTAAAATAATGTCATTTCCCCATCCCATTTGTTCATGCTCTTTTCCCAGATGTGAGGTAAGTATTTAGATAATCAAAATCCCACACAAGACCTCAACAGCAAAAATGCAGCTGGAATCAGGGAAATCCAAATCAAAACCTCAATGAGATACCACCTCACACCAGTCAGAATGGCTAAAATTAACAAGTCAGGAAATGACAGATGTTGGCGGGGATGCGGAGAAAGGGGAACCCTCCTACACTGTTGGTGGGAATGCAAGCTGGTGCAGCCACTCTGGAAAACTGTATGGAGATTCCTCAAAAAGTTGAAAATAGAGCTACCATATGATCCAGCAATTGCACTACTGGGTATTTACTCCAAAGATACAAAAGTAGGGATCCAAAGGGGTATGTGCACCCCGATGTTTATAGCAGCAATGTCCACAATAGCCAAACTGTGGAAAGAGCCAAGATGTCCATCGACAGATGAATGGATAAAGAAGATGTGGTATATATATACAATGGAATATTACGCAGCCATCAAAAGGAATGAGATCTTGCCATTTGCAACGACGTGGATGGAACTGGAGGGTATTATGTTGAGTGAAATAAGTCAAAAAGAGAAAGACATGTATCATATGATCTCACTGATATGAGGAATTCTTAATCTCAGGAATCAAACTGAGGGTTGCTGGAGTGGGGGGTGGGGTGGGAGGGATGGGGTGACTGGAATGATAGACACTGGGGAGGGTATGTGCTCTGGTAAGTGCTGTGAATTGTGCAAGACTGTTGAATCTCAGATCTGTACCTCTGAAACAAATAATGCAATATATGTTAAGAAAAAAAAAAAAGAAGAAGAAGAAGGTAGCGGGAGGGGAAGAATGAAGAGGGGGAAATCGGAGGGGTAGACGAACCATGAGAGACGATGGACTCTGAAAAACAAACAGGGTTCTAGAGGGGAGGGGGTGGGAGGATGGGTTAGCCTGGTGGTGGGTATTGAGGAGGGCACATTCTGCATGGAGCACTGGGTGTTGTGCACAAACAATGAATCATGGAACACTTCATCTAAAACTAATGATGTAATGTATGGGGATTAACATAAGAATAAAAAAAATGCAGCTGAAATGATAATTATTTGAATTAAAAATAATGTTTTTGGTGGCATTCTCTTAGTTTTTACTAGTTTTGCTGTACTTAAACAAAGCACTTCTCTTCAACTTTTGTGTTCAAAAAGGTGCCCATTGGAATTTATTTTCATCCACTTTTTTTAATGTAAGGAGGGAAGATGACTGCAGGCTCAGTGTGTGTTCCTCAGATCATACCATTGCGAGTGCCTCCCCCCGGAAAAGCCAACCATGAAATTGATAACAATACACTTTTGGAAATGAAATCTGGTAAGAATCAAATGTACTTGAAAGCATGTAAAATAACCTTGCCATACTCTTAATGTTCATCGGGTTGTTGATTTATCACTTTGCATGCTTTCTATAATTAGGCCTTGGGAATTTTATAAAAGTTCCAAATTTTGAAACAGGGTTGTACTTGGTGATTTATAGAGTGGTATATATTTGGATTAAAGTGGTTGGCTTTGACTAACTTTTCATTTGTAACAGTAGACAGTTGCAGCAATGCCTTGACTCACATTAGCCAAGGTAAGATGTCCCAGTTCTTCCCTGCGCTATCCCAGGATTCTTGTTATTTTGCTGGGATAGTAATTTGACCTACTAACACAGGCTTTCCAGTCAGACATGCTGGAGATTAAATCCTGCTTTTGACAACTTCTAGCGACACATTACTTAGCCTTTCTGAGTCTCAGTTTTTTCATTGTTAGTGAGAATACTGTCTGCCATTTAGAGCCACTGTGAGAATTAAATGAGTTGACATGTTATGTGAGGTACGCAGTGTCTGGCACATAGTAATGCCAAAATAAATCTTAACTATTATTACAGAAAGAAAGCAGTGAATACATATCCTGGTAATGACAGGCGTGTATATATATATATATATATACTAAGAGAGGAGATCTTAAAAGTTCTTATCACAAGAAAAAAAACTATTGGTGATAGATGGTAACTACATTAATTGTGGGGGTGACTTTGCAGTATATATAAATATCAAATCATTTTGTATTTGATATTTGTATATCAAAATGTATACATTTGATATACATTTATAGACAACATGTATATATATAGTTAACATAAGGAGAAGAAAAAGCTTTTTTTTTTCTTAATCTCTGTGCCCAATGTGGGGCTCGAACTCATGACCCTGAGATCAAGACTCACATGCTCTACTGACTGAGCCAACTTGGTGCCCCAGGAAAGCTTTGTAGATAAAACATATGAACAAATACTTGTTTAAAAAGACTTTGAGGGGCACCTGGGTGGCTCAGTCATTAAGTGTCTGCCTTCGGCTCAGGTCATGATCCCAGGGTCCTGGGATCGAGCCCCACATCGGGCTCCCTGCTCCGCGGGAAGCCTGCTTCTCCCTCTCCCACTCCCCCTGCTTGTGTTCCCTCTCTCGCTGTGTCTCTCTCTGTCAAATAAATAAATAAATAAAATCTTTAAAAATAATAATAATAATAAAAAGACTTTGAGGGGTGCCTGGGTGGCTCAGTCGTTAAGCGTCTGCCTTCAGCTCAGGTCATGATCCCGGGGTCCTGGGATCGAGCTCCACATTGGGCTCTCTGCTCCGCAGGAAGCCTGTTTCTCCCTCTCCCACTCCCCCTGCTTGTGTTCTCTCTCTCGCTGTGTCTCTCTCTGTCAAATAAAATCTTTAAAAATAAAAAATAAAAAAAAAAGACTTTGAAATTCCAATTATATATATATATTTTTTAAAGATTTTATTTATTTATTTGACAGAGAGAGCGAGAGAGCACAAGCAGGGAGAGCAGCAGAGGGAGAGGGAGAAGCAGGCTCCCTGCTGAGCAGGGAGCCCAATGCGGGACTTGATCCCACAACCCTGGGATCACGACCTGAGCCGAAGGCAGACACTTAACCATTGAGCCACCCAGGCGCCCCCCAATTATATATTTGATAGTTAATGTGTAAAATCTATATCTATAAATCTGGTGACCCCTGTGCTTCCTAGACAAATTCCAGCTAAGAATATTGTGTAATATACTATATCTCCCTTTATCTTAAAAGCTAGTAGTATTTTTAAAAATTCTCAAACCAGAATACAAATTTTAATGAATATGCCCATAACTCTTGGGAGAAGGTGGATTATTATTGACAAATGATGATATGAATGATAAAGTATCCAAATTGCCTAATATTTAAAATGTTTAATAAATAAAGAGGTTCCGGGCACCTGGGTGGCTCAGTTGGTATCTGGAATCGAGCCCAGGGTGGGGCTCCACGCTCAGCAGGGAGTCTGCTTCTCATTGCCCTCTGCCCCTACCTCCACTCGTGTGCACTCGCACTCTCAAATAAATAAATAAAATCTTTTAAATAAATAAATAAATAGATAAATAAATAGGTTCTACAATTCAATACCAAAAATAATAGTAACCCAATAGAAAAGTGGGCAAAAGATGTGAAAGGACATTTTATAGGAAAGGAAATATAAATGTATTTTAAACATAGGGGAATATACATCTACCCATCCCTTTACCTACTAGCTGAGCAGACCTTATCCCCTGCTTTATTTACTCCCTGGCATTTAATTACCACTTGATATAATGTATATACTTGTTTGTTTTGTTTACTGTTTGTGTGTCCTTCCTAAAAAGAGGCTCCCAGAGAGCCGGGTCTTTGGTCACTGGTGTATTCCCCAGTGCCTAGAACAGTGTCTGGCACAGAATAGGTACTTGATAAATATTTGTTGAATGAATGAATGAATCTTACTCAAAAATGTAAGAAATATGAGCTAAAACTATGAGTTTCTTTTTACACCTAGGAGATGGCAAAAATAAAAGAAAAATTAATACCACACTATAGGGGTGAGTGTGGGGGAACAGGCACTTTCATGCATTGCTGGTAACAATGTAAATTGTTTCAGTGTCCGTGAAGGGAAGTTTGACCATATTAGCTAAAATATCTTTTGACTGAGCAATACTAGTTCTACATATTTTACAGATTTTTTTTTAAAGGTTTTATTTATTTATTTGACAGAGAGAGACATAGCGAGAGAGGGAACACAAGCAGGGGGAGTGGGAGAAGGAGAGGCAGGCTTCCCGCGGAGCAGGGAGCCCGATGCGGGGCTCGATCCCAGGACCCCAGGATCATGACCCGAGCGCAAGGCAGACACTTAATGACTGAGCCACCCAGGTGCCCCGCATATTTTACAGATATTAAAAGAACTTCTTGCAAAGATATTCATTGCAGTGCTTATGATGGCAAAAGAAAAAGAAAGAAAGGAAAAGAAAAAGAGCCTAAATATTCACCTGTAGGGAATTGGTTAAATATTGGTTCATTTGTATAGGGATAGAACCCAATACAGACATAACAAAGAGTGAGGACACCCTGTATACCAGTATAGAAAACTATCCAAGATAATATTGTTCAATGAAAAAAGAAGTGTGTGGAACAGGATATGTTATGTCACCATTTGTATTAAAAAAGAGGGGAAAATAAGAATATATACATGCTTGTATGGATGTAAAATATTTTTGGAAGGATACTCAAGACACCATTGATTGCCTTTGGCCATCTGATTGATGTCAGGGGTGGGAGAGGGTTTTAATTGTATATCCTTTTTTGACTTTTTAAAAAATTGAGATATAATTAATGTATAACTTTATGTTAGCTTCATGTATACAATGTAATGATTTGATATTTATATATACTGCAAAGTCACCCCCACAATTAATGTAGTTACCATCTATCACCAACAGTTTTTTTTCTTGTGATAAGAACTTTTAAGATCTCCTCTCTTAGCAAACTTTTTTGACGTTTTGAACCTTGAATTGTATGAGTTTATTACCTTTTAAAATTTTCCAAGAAGTGTGGGAATCATTTACCAAGCCCAAATAAAATATAATAAAAGCATTTCTTTTTTTTTTTTTTTAAAGAGAGACACAGAGAGAGAGGGAACACAAGCAGGGGGAGCGGGAGAGGGAGAAGCAGGCTCTCCGCCGAGCAGGGAGCCCGATGCGGGGCTTGATCCCAGGACCCTGGGATCATGACCAGAGCCGAAGGCAGATACTTAACGACAGAGCCACCCAGGCACTCCTTAAAAGCATTTCTTTTTAAAAAGCATTTTTTTAAGTAGGCTGAACTCACAACCCTGAGATCAAGACCTAAGCCAAGATCAAGAGTTGGAGGCTTAACCGACTGAGACACCCAGGCGCCCCAGTAATAGCATTTCTGAAGCAATGCTCAAAAAATAAAAAATTAGGGATGACAAATAAATAAATAAATAAATCTTAAAAAAAATAAAATAAAAAATTAGCTTCTGCTTTCTAAATGAGTGCTGTAGTCTTAAAACGGAGCCCTGCTCTACTTGCCTCAGTGCGTTATTGGAACGGCACAATAGCATCGTGATTCAAGAGCATGGGCTCTGGATCCATAGCCAAAGTGAAACCACAACTCTGCTGTTATCGAGCAACCTTCTTAACCCCTCTGGGACTCAGTTTCCTCATCTATAAAGTGGGTATAAAATGGGACCTGTCACACAGGGTTGTACACATGCGTTGAGCTAATTCATACAAGGCACAGTGCCTGGCACAGAGAAAGAACTCACTTATTGCTAGTTATTGTTATTCATTCCTATGATGTATAAAAAATCTCATTAATTAACTGACCCACAGAGACTGTGCTACTTTAGTGTTAATTACAGTTACCCTGTTTTGGTTTTTTCAGACACCCCTGATGTCAACATATATTATACCCTGGATGGCAGCAAACCTGAATTTCTAAAGAGAATTGGTTATGGTGAAAATAATACATTTAAGTATACGAAGCCTATTACTCTGCCTGATGGAAAAATACAAGTTAAAGCTGTTGCAGTCTCTAAGTAAGTTAAGAGCATGGTGATGAAAATAATTGGTAATATAATGACGTTACATTTTAATTTTATTTATTTCTTCCTATGAGAAGAAGTGCTGTATTAGAAGGGCACTAAAGGCAAAGTTATTTTAATTTCAACATATCTATAACTTTTGGGTTTTGTTTGTCTTTTTCCAGGGTATACTGTAAAGTGCACAAATCACGAGAGTACAGCTTGATAAGGTGTAATGTATATTAAGACTGTTTTTCTTCTGACTTCCACATTGGGATTTGGGGAAGGAAGAGCCTTTTTAGGGTTTGAGACCTTTGAAGTGATTCATCCAGCTGTGAAGAAAATACTGGTTTTAGTGGATGGTCCTTTTATTCCACAGGACATGACCTACAACCACTACCATCATTCTCTATTGTATTTTGTATTGACGTAATCGGTCTTCATGGCTACTGTCAATTTAATTTGTTGGACATTAGCTCCTTTATCCGTTTCTTTGTCCTTTCTTTTCTTCTCAATGACTTTTCCTAATTTTCAGAGACTCTTTTTTTAAAATTATTATTATTTTTTTATTATGTTCAGTTAGCCACCATATAGTTTTCAAATATAGAAACACAACTTAACTTGGAAACCTTGTGTTGTAGAAAAAAAAACCCAAGTGCTTTGCACGTCTGTGTGTCTGTGATAGAGGAATTATTCTGCACAGCAAGACAGGTTTAGCCACATTTTTGGAACACCTTAAAGCCCCAAACCAGTAACAGGCTTTGAGCAGGTACTTTAAAAAAAAAAAAAAAAAAAAAAGTCTTCCAGGCTCCCCCTGGTGGCTGAACTACTGCATGGCTTTTGAGGAGAACTACAAATTCTACACAGATGACAGCTTTGGCATTTGAAAGTTTTAAAAAAGAACAAAATAAAAATGAAACAAACAAAAATCCTAATACACATTATTATTCTTTATTAAAAATTGGAAAAAATTGGCTTTTTTCACTTGCCAAACCACTTCTGTCAAAACAAGTCATCTCAATTATTAAAAATTAACAAGCAAAAGACTTCAGTGCCTAAGGCTGTAAGGCAGGCCCTTTTATAACTTGCAGGTAGTAGTAAGATGAAGTAATAATTACTAACTATGTAATTCAGAGGAGTTAGTACAGTTTTCAAAAGAGTCTAAAATAAGGTCCTTCTTTATGCCTCTCACCATCTTGCTCTTTGCCCACTTAGTGTCTGTTCTGAAAGCACTGATAGGAGTTCAGGTATGCTCAGCTCAGGGAAAGTACTTATACAAAAATGTTTTTGAGCCTTCAAGACAGAAAGATTTGTGCTTCTATACATTAGTGACAAACGTATTTAAATGCAATAAATTTTCTTTATGGAAATTATACTGCTTCATTCAAGCCTTTTTCTAGGTACTTACAGTAATTAATTTCTTAATGAGGAGAAAAGGCTTTGAAATGAGAGTGTTAAGGCCACTAACATGCTAAGAGGAAAAATTATGGTCATGAAGTTTTGAGTGATTTGGGAAAATATGATACAAGTGAAAACAAGTTAGGATATATGAGTGCACTATAGTATTTTGACATTGTTTAAAAATGTGTCAGGACAGGGGTGCCTGGTGGCTCAGTCGGTTAAGCATCTGCCTGAGGCTCAGGTCATGATCGCAGGGTCCTTTGATCGAGCCCTGTGTCGGGCTCCTTGCTTGGCGGGGAGCCTGCTTCTCCCTCTCCCTCTGCCTGTCGCTCCCCCTGCTTGTGCTCTCTCTCTCTCCCCCTCTGTTAAATCAATCAATCAATCAATCTTAAAAATGTGTTAGGAGAGAACTGAAGAAGGGCACCGACCAGAGGCAGCCAGGAGTGAGTGAGTGGAGGGCAAGGAGTGCTCATTGTACGGAGCCAGCCCTCTCCCCCTTCCCTGAGCTAGATGGCCAGGGACATTATGGCTGTCTTTGTTTCAAAGGGGTCAGGTTGAGGGGCAGCCCCCCAGTCTCTTTCTGTCCCAGCTCAGTTTGCAAAAGGTACTAACATGTAATTCTTCTCTATTGTAAGCTTTCCTTTTTAAAAAAAATTTGTTTAGGGGCGCCTGGGCGGCTCAGTCGTTAAGCGTCTGCCTTCGGCTCAGGTCATGATCCCAGGGTCCTGGGATCGAGTCCCGCATCGGGCTCCCTGCTCTGCGGGAAGCCTGCTTCTCCTCTCCCGCTCCCCCTGCTTGTGTTCCTTCTCTCGCTGTCTCTCTCTCTGTCAAATAAATAAATAAAATATTAAAAAAAATTTTTTTTAATTTAAATTCAATTAACATAAAATATATCATTAGTGTCAGAGGTAGAGTTCAGTGATTCATCAGTCTTATATAACACCCAGTGCTCGTTACATCCTGTGCCCTCCTTAATGCCCATCACCCAGTTACCATCCCCCATCCCCCTCCCCTCCAGCAACCCTCAGTTTGTTTTCTATGATTAAGAGTCTCTTAGGGTTTGTCTCCCTCTTTGATTTTAGTTTGCTTCTCATGATTAAGCCATTTGAAAACAAAACAAACAAACAAGCCCAACTTTAGCATTCATTGCCTCTGGTGATTCAGTCATGGTTTGTGTTGTTTGTGTTGATAATTTTTGTAGCTTCCAAAATTTAACGGTGAGCTTTGCTTTTGTGATAAATAAATATAAATAATAAAGAATCTCCAAACTTATTATGTAACCAGTGCTTCTCAACCTTGGCTGCTGAATCAGTTGGCTATTGCTGTATAACCAACCACCCTGACATTTAATGTCTTAAAAGAACAATCATTTATTTGCTCATTATTCTGTCAGCATTTTGGTGTGCATTCAGCTGGGTACTTGTTCTCCTGGTCTTTCCTGAGGTCCCTGACCTGGCTGCAGTCAGTTTTTTGGCTCACCTTGAGCTGGAGAGTCTAAGAAAGCTTGAGTCACATTTCTGGTGGTTGGTGCTGGCAGTTGGCTGAGCCTTGGTTCTCCAACTGGGTCACCTGAATTTTTTCATTCAGTTCCAAAAACTGTAAGAGAAAGGGCAAGCCTGGATATGCAGATGTTTTTCTAGTCTCTGCTTGTGTCATACTTGTTAATGTTTCACTGGCCAAAGCAAGTCACATGGTAACCCCCAAAGTCAATGTGTGAGGGGATTCTGCAAGGGCACCAGGGCACCAGGGCATGCAGATAGATAAAAGACATAATGCCTCAGGGACTGTGATTGTAACAATCTACCACAGGTTCCTATCAGAAATCACCCAGGGAGCTTTGCAGAATCTCCAGGCCCAGGTCATACACTCCAGACCAACTAAATAACATGTCTTGGGGTGGGACACAGGCATCAGTATTTTTAAAGTTTCCTGATGATTCCAATATGCAACCAAGGGTGGCAACTGACACATTAATGGGGGGGAAAAGATGTTTCCATTTAGAGACATTTGACCAATACCACTTTTTTTGAAATATATTTTTATTAAAGTTTGATATTCTAGAATGAAAGAAAAGGAATAAGGACACTGTCATATGTGTGCTTTCATGGGTCCAAATATATGTACATGAATTTTCACATCAGAGCATGGTCAGTAAAGAACACAGATGAACGGGAGGAGTCGGGAACTTGGGAACATTTCAGCAAGCAGGAGTGGTGTTGGGGTTGTTTTGTTTTATCTTGTCTTGTTTAAGTAGGCTCCACCCCCAGCATGGAGCCCAGTGCGGGGCTTGAACTCACAATCCTGAGGTCAAGACTTGAGCTGAGAATTAAGAGTCAGACGTTTAACTGACTGAGCCACCCACACACCACAGGTGTTGGGTTTTGATGGTCCATATTGATGGTCCAGTCCAGGGTCTGTAAACTTTCTGACAACTGTCTTGTTTCTTTAAAAGCTACCTTTATGGTCAGGAACTTCCTATCTTTGATATCATTTTATAGTGTTTTGACAGTGAACTTGCGTGGTTCTCCCTTCTCTGTCAATTACCTTATATGGTGGTCAAGATAAATTGAGCTGGGCTGAGGTAAAAGTTGTCTCAAACTGAAGGTAGGTAGCTGGGAGAGTCAGAGTCCCCTGAGAACAATCATTTTTCTTTCATGGGGGGACTTTCCAGTTTTACAACAATGGTTAATAAACAGATTGGCAGGTTACCAGGCCATCTCACGGGCATCCATCTGCAGCCCCATGCAGTATATAATATGTGGAGGAGAGATCCAGATGTCATCTCCATAAGCAGCAACAAAGGCAAGAAGAGCACTGCTTTGAGAGGGGTAGTTTGGAGTGTGGGACAGAGGATGGAGTTTGTTGGCCTTCAGATCTGGACTTTAATCCCAGTTCTCTTGCTCCTCACTGAATAAGAGGAACTTATTAACTTGAATAAGTTGTGATTCTCTGTTTTCTCATTCGTTAAATGAGGTTAATAAAACTTAGTTGGCAGCCATTGTGAATATCAGAGGTAATACACTTAGTATACACTTGGCATTGCACGTGTAGTAGCTGTTATTATTGTTGTTTGTTGTTATTCTAATTCTTTTTTTTTTTTTTTAAAGATTTTATTTATTTATTTGAGAGAGAGAATGAGAGACAGAGAGCATGAGAGGGAGGAGGGTCAGAGGGAGAAGCAGACTCCCTGCCGAGCAGGGAGCCCGATGCGGGACTCGATCCTGGGACTCCAGGATCATGACCTGAGCCGAAGGCAGTCGCTTAACCAACTGAGCCACCCAGGCGCCCTGTTATTCTAATTCTTAACAAAGGGGCTAACCGGTTGCTGTTGTGTGACCCAACTCAAAGGGCATGCCTGTATTTGAAAAATCTATGGCTGCATGAGTAGGTGGGTTCTGCTTGACCCCTTCATGTTCCTAAACCAGAAGTTCTCAGTTGGGCATAATTTTGCCCCAAAGGCGACATTTGGTCATGTCTGGAAACATTTTTGGTTGTCACATCTGGAAGTGGGAGCGTGCTAGTGGCATCTCCTGGGGGGAGGTCAAGGATGTTGCTAATCATCTTAGCACAGGATAGCCTTCCACAACAAAGTATTATCCAGCCTAAAATTTCAGTAGTTCTCAGTAGATTGAGAAAACCTGGCCTGGACAAGTTGCAGAATTCTTACAGATCCAGCTTCTTAACTCTTACAATCATCCAAGTAATTCTGCTGTTTTATTGAGAGGATAGTGATCTTTGTGGGGCTAGAGCTACATGTAACTTTTTTTATGTCGAATGCACCTTATATTGCTATTCCTAAATATATATATTTAAGGCCTCTGATTTCAATCCTAGCAAAAATTTATGTGTGTTTATTTATTTATTTATTTTTAAAAGATTTATTTGTTTATTTATTTGACAGAGAGAGGCACAATGAGAGAGGGAACACAAGCAGGGGGAGTGGGAGAGGGAGAAGCAGGCTTCCTGTGGAGCAGGGAGCCCGATGCCGGGCTCGATCCCAGGCCCCTGGGATCATGACCTGAGCCGAAGGCAGACTGAGTCACCCAGGCACCCCAATTTATGTGTGTTTAAATGAGATTTGGGCTGAGTATGATTTCTAGCTCCAACCCTAAACTTAAGCCTTTTTTGATATCACGATCAGGAAATCCTTCTACTTAGCAGGCAGTTGAAGCTAGTTTCTGGGCTCCTCATGGAGGGAACAAAGTCCATGGGTGAGAGCCCAGGCTGGGTCCCCATGGAAGGGGCCAGATGTGGTTGGGGAGACAACCTGTACCTTCCAGGAGTAGAGCAAGTGGATGGGAGTCAGGCTTCTGCTCAGTGTGATGGTGGGGCTAGAAGCGCACATTTCAGGGAGCCCCACAATTATCCAGGAATTAAAGGATCCCTGGATAGAGATGTTTGTGGTGTCTAGGAAGTATGCTAGCAAGGAGGACAACTGTATCTTGGATGACAGACCTGGGACCTGGGACCAAAGATGAACATTTAGGTGAGATGGATGTTGAGGTGAATGAGTTAAGTAAGTAGTTCATCTAAAAGATCATCTGTATCTGCATCCAGATTTCTGTAACTGTAAAACTGGTTTTGTTATTAAGAACAAAAAAAAGGAAAACAAAACATGTGCTTCCCCAAAGTTTAGCCACCCATAAATCACTCCAGCCAGTGAACATGCAGTTTAAATATTGTTACACACTGATAGATAATGGCAATTGAGATGAATTGTGTATTCCTGATCATTTTTTTTCTTCTAGAAATGTAGCTTGAAACTTCCTTATTGCTTAATGTTAAACATTTCTCAACTGTTTTGGAATTGATGTTTATGCATTTATAAATATTAAAGAATGTTAAGTATTTTAGGACACTTATTAAAGCTTCAAAATTTTTAAGAAATATTAAAAATCTGACATGTAAGAGATCTGAGAAATTGCAAAAGAAAGGCTAATGAAACATGAAATGTATCAGAGACCAATATGAAAATCAATAAGAGCAAAGCAGACAAAGAACACAAAAGAAAGAAGAGAATGGAAATGGAAAAAGAATTAAGTGCCTGGGCAGAATAGAATTCACACAGAATCACCTGTGTTCCAGCTGTGAGCTTTCAACACAAATTAGTGGGCATGAGAGTTAAAAATATTAAATCTGACGTATGGTCATTATGACCATTGGAGGCTGGTGGCTGTCCCCCAGTATCTGTCTTTCCCTTCTTCCAGAATAATAGAGCCCATGATTTTTAGCTAGACACATGGTTGCCTGGAAGAAAGATATTTCCCAATCCTCCTTGCAACTGGCAAGAGCCGTATCACCAGGTGTGGCCAGTGACATGTATGTGAAAGTGATGTGTGCAACTTCTGGATTGTGCCCTTAAAGGGGAGAGGTGGGCCCTGTTTCCCACTGGCTGGAATGTGGATGTGGCCAGCCATGTTGGGTCATGAAGACAAGTTCAAGGTCCTAGAGCTGGAGCAACAAGGTGGAAACTTGACACCATGCCCCCATCACCATGGCACCTCTGTACCAGCTCTGGGCTGATTACACCCTGTTGATTCTCTCTAGTTTAAGCCACTGTTGTTTTTATTCTGTGTTCCAACAGCCAAGCCTATATCCCAATACTCTAGGGACACAGCACAAGCAAATGCCTACAGAGAACATAATCAAGAGTACAGGTGATCAAAAAAGGCTGACAATATCAAATGTTGATGAGTATGTGGAGAAACTGGAACCTTCAGATAATGCTGGTGGGAATGTAAAATGGAGCAACCACAGTTTAGCAGTTTCTAAAAAGTTAGAGATACCACATGACCCAGCAATTCCTCTCCTGTATATCTATTCAAGAGAAATGAAAACATGTCCACATGAAGACTATCGTGTGCTGGCCTCAGCCCATCAGTAACCAGTGTGTGGCTAGACTGGCCCTTGTGGTTCTTATCATGGCTGCAAGACATCCTCAGCAGGAACCACCAGGAGACTCTCAGAGACAAGGTTTATTACTTACAGGTCTTGGAAATTACATAGCATACCTGAGGCCACACAGCAAGGTCACCAGTAGAGAGAGTGAGAGAGAGTTCATGGGCCTGGGGTTCTGCTTTTATTGGGGTTGAGGGTGGGGGCTTAGGGTCTCTTGGTCTCACTCTTTATTGGTTAATTTAAAACATAAGAGCAGGAATTTCAAGCTTGGGAAGAGAAAAACAAATAAACAAACTAGGGGCCCAAATGGTAATTTATGGAAACCAACCAAGGAGCCTCAGAGTGGGGTTGTGGTGGGGGTTGAAGGTGGTAGTGGCCTGGTTTTTTATCAAGTGGTGTGGCTGGCAGCGTGGTTATTCAAGATAGCCGTCTTTTCTTTGAAGCTTCGTGTAACACTTTTTCTATTTTGAATAATTTTCAGGGACTGCAGACAGAGTGGCATTGTAACAAAGGTGTTTCAGGTGGGCTATGAGCCACCAAATACAGTCTCTTCAGAAAACCATGTTGAAAATGTTCTCAAAGATTCTTCCAAGCAGGCAAGTAATGAAACTGTAACACTTTCAGATGGTCACCACATTCTTGGTTCCTTCTTTCTCAGTGATTCCCATCTTCTCTTTCATTTCATCACCTGTGCTCCTTGGTTCTTATAACTGGGGTCAGTAGCCACCATGGCAAAGTGATTTCCTGCCTGTTGGTCAGTCCATCCTGCACAGTAGAAATTCCTCCCCAGCATCATGGCCCATGTTCCATTGTCTTCAGTGACCCCCACTTACTATTGAAGAAAGTGATCAGTTTCTGTCTTCAGTCATCCTTTCTTGCTCTGTGACTCCCCTGTACATTTCTCCAGCCAAACTACACTATGTATGCTGTGTTCTATCACTGCTCCCCCATCATTCAGGCCTTCTCCATTTATATGGTGCTTTGAATATGTGATTACTTTGCTCATCGTCTACCTTCCCCATGCAGGGTAAGTTCTAAGGTGGCAGAGAGCATGTCTGCCATACTCATTGCCTTGCACAGAGGTAAGCTGGAGAGGGCAGTGAGTGTATATTTGTTGAACAGATACATCAGACTAGTAGAAACCCTCTGTGACCATAGCCATTGATTATGTTGAAATCTTCATCCCTGAAAAGCTCAAAGCCTTGCCTCTCTGGAGGATGAACTAGACTTATCTACAAGGATGTTTGAAACTTCAGTCCCTGGGCTTTGAGCACCAGTGAGACAGATCCGAGGGCCAGAGGATGGGCTAGCTCATGGTAAGGCAATCAACCAAAAAGTCTCAGTCATGGAGGTCTTGATGGGGATGACCAGAAGTTTGGGAGGGGATCCCTTTAGCCCAAGGACGGGCCAGAGTCCAGAAGTGGCTGCGGGACCAGAGCAGTGGGTACAGGCATAGTGTGGGACTCAAGTATGATCAGGACAGGAATCTGCCATGGGCAGGGGTATCCAGCAGAGGCTGAGCCTACTTGGGTCAGTAGGTGCTCAGGCTTGAATCAGGCATAAGGGACTGAGTCCATGGGGAAGAAAGTCCATGGAGAAGAGTATAAGGACTGTGCATGGGCAGGTAGTGTGGTTAAGTCCTATCTTGGTCTGACCCCACCTTTTATTTGCCTCCTGGATCTGGTGGTCCCTTTGTTATTCCCCGGACTCCCATGACTGTAACATCCTGCCTTCGTGTCCTGCTGCCTGCTGCTTGACTGGTGGAGCCTACCAACCAGACATACTACCAGCCAAGCGGCCCAGATACAAAGCCGTGTGTTTCCAGAGTAAGGTGAAACAGAGGTCATTTTGTAAAAACTATTGTAAACCCTTTCAAGTAAGAAGTGCACACTATGACATTGTCTCTACCTGGCAACTTTTCATTTTCACATTGCAAATGGGTGTAATCAAGTGATTGATATGCGATCTCTTCATTCCTAGGAATTGAAAAATGGATTTGTGGGATCAAAACTATGGAAGAAATATAAGAATGCTGAAAATAAACAGAATTGGAATGTTAACCTTAGAAAGTCTGCAGGTATGACATGGAAGGATGAAGATAAATTTTAGTATTCTAAACAACCAAACAGGTTCACTACTCGTGTTCTTGTCTGCAGAAGGGTTGGAATAAGAAACACTGGAATAGAAAAGTAAGTTATAATCTTAGTGCTGTCCTCGCTAACAGCTTAAGACCAAGAGGGATCATCAAGGAGTCCAACAAAGTGAGATTTGTTGACTCGTTGCAACAAGGGAGACCACCCTGCAGAAGAACCGTGGGGCATCACACCAAACAAAGGAAAAGACAAGGTTATAGGGCTTGGGGGACAGGTGGAGTCTGGGTGAAATTTAAATGAGAGCAGAGTTTTGACAGACTCGAAGCAAAGCAGGGCTGCATGTGAACTGGCACCATCAGGTATGGATTGCAAAGGGAACCAGGGTTTTGTTCACCTTGGAAACTACAAAAATAAATGTGGAAACAGTAGCCACTCAAAGAAGGGGGGGGTCTGTTATGACATTTTACAGCTACAGTGTGTCCTTGGGAGAAGTAATGTTTCCTGCTAACCTTGCCATTGGATTTATCTATTTTCTCAGCCTGATGTGGAATGTTATAGAATGTAGCAGGGCAGATTTTTATTTTCTCAGTCCGGGCTAATTTTTTCTTTTCTAGGGCTAGTTCACCAAGTGGGGGCTTCTTTATATAGTTGCTATATCTAGTTAAAGATGTGATGACAGTAGTCCCTAAAAAGGTTTCTACCTATGAAGACATATTTGCATAATTACACATAGAATTACAGATGTTCTTGGGCACCTGGGTGGCTCAGTTGGTTAAGCGACTGCCTTCGGCTCAGGTCATGATCCTGGAGTCCCTGGATCGAGTCCTGCATTGGCTCCCTGCTCAGCAGGGAGTCTGCTTCTCCCTCTGACCCTCCCCCCTCTCATGTGCTTTCTCTCATTCTCTCTCTCTCAAATAAATAAATAAAAAATCTTAAAAAAAAAAAAAGAATTACAGATGTTCACAGAATGATTTTTTTTTTTTAAATAATTGTAGACCTTGGCGTAGGTGAAAGAACTGACTCTAAAACATGGAAAGATCTTCGTTTCTCAGAGAATCCACTGGAAATCCCACCTTACCATGAAGAATCAGGTTCTAGACCACCTACCCGCCAGTCTCAGGTAACTTCTAAAGAAAATCTTTATGGTACTAAATACCTCCTATATTCTTAATCTTCCCATGAAATACTTTTAAGTCTGTATCCCCCAGCCTTTTCACCATGTGCCAGGCACCGTTTTAGTGCTGGGAATACTGTGTTGGACAGGAAAGTCCCCTGTACTCAGAAGCTTACATTTTATTGGGAGTGGGGCATGCAGATAATAAACATGTTAAGTCATCTATCAAAAATTTTAAAATAGTGGGCACCTGGGTGGCTCAGTCGGTTAAGTAATCTGCCTTTGGCTCAGGTCATGATCCCACGGTCCTGGGATGGGACCCTGAGTTGGGCTCCCTGCTCAGCGGGAAGCCTGCTTCTCCCTCTCCTTCTGCCCCTCCCCTCCCAGCTCATGTGCATGTACGTTCGCATGCGCGTGCTCTCTCTTTCTCTCAAAAAAATAAATAAATCTTTAAATAAATTAAATAAAATTCACCCACAAGTGATTCTAATGGACAGGCATAGTTGAGAATCACAGATGCTAGGATCTTGAGGCCTATAGCAAGGAGTTTGGATTTTCTTCTAATTGTAAAGGGAATCTATTTGGAAGAGATTCCAGCTCAATCCCATCTGAAGCATACTTCAGCAAACATCAGAATTAATGATGCTGGGTATTACAACATGTCAACAACCACCAGGGAGACAAGATGTCTCTGAACTAAGCATCTGACCTGGGGGCGCCATTAGGGGCTAGGCAGCAGAGTAAATGTGTTGTAAAACCTGGGTGGAAGATAAATGACAGCTGACACAGGGCTTTAGTTTCAGGTCCTGAGTCAGGGGTTCTCTGGCAACATGGAATGCCTGAGTCAGCTCAATGGGTTAGTTATCTCTACTTAGCTCCAGTCAACTATGTACAAGAAGGCCTACAGACTCAGTGTTGCCACATCTTATGATTTTGCAAGAAAATCCAGAAACCTGCATCTTTATGTGTTATAACCTAATTTTAAATGTTAACAATTAAATCAAATTTTTAAACGCTGTGTGGACCAATATATATGGGCCAAATGAAACTCAATGGCAGGCCAGATTTGGCCAGTAGACCACCACTTTGTCCATGCCATGTTGGATCTGACACAAAAGCAACTCAAAACCTCTGACTGCTCCCCATTGCCTGAAGCATAAATTCTGGAGTCTGTAGCCCATAGTTATTGTGGTGGACAGGGACCCTACTGGGGTCAGAGAGGCCTGGGTATGTGAGATAGTTCACATACTGTTGACATGACCTCAAGCAAGTGACTCAACCTTTCTGAGCCTCAGCATCTTCATCTCAAAAATGGGGATGATGATGATTATTTTTAGTTTCAGAGGTAGAGTTTAGTGATGCATCAGTTGCATATTACAATGCTCATTACATCAAGTGCCCTCCTTAATGCCCATCACCCAGTTACCCCATTCCCTCACCCACCTCCCTCCAAGAAAAATATTGTTAAAATGTCTATGCTATCCAGAACAATCTACACATTCAATGCAATCCCTATCAAAATACCATCAGTATTTTTCACAGAGCTGGAACAAATAATCCTAAAATTTGACTAGAACCAGAAAAGACCCCGAATAGCTAGAGGAATGTTGAAAAAGAAAACAAAAGCTGATAGCATCATAATTCCAGCCTTCAAGCTCTACTACAAAGCTGTAATCATCAAGGCAATATGGTACTGGCACAAAAACAGACACATAGGTCAATGCAACAGAATAGAGAACCCAGAAATGGACCCTCAGCTTTATGGTCAACTAATCCTTGACAAAGCTGGAAAGAATATCCAATGGAAAAAAGGCAGTGTCTTCAACAAATGGTGTTGGAAAAATTGGACAGCCACATGCAGAAGAATGGAACTGGACCATTTTCTTACACTATACACAAAGATAAACTCAAAATGAATGAAAGACCTAAATGTGAGACAGGAATCCATCAAAGTCCTAGAGGAGAACATAGGCAGCAACCTCTTTGACCTTGGCCTCAGCAACTTCTTGCTAGACATGTCTTCAAAGGCAAGGGAAACAAAAATGGGGATTATATGTGCCTCTTGGTGTAAGGCACTGAGATGGACATAATATCATTTCCCTCATATTTGTGCCAAAATGCATGCCTGAATCCAGTAATGAAGAAACATCAGACAAAACCAAATTAATGGAGATTCTACAGATTAAATGACCCATTACTCTTCAAACATGTCAAGATCATGAAAGATACAGACAGACTGAGGAACAATTCCAGGTTAAAGGAGACAAAAGAGACTTGACAACTAAATGCACAGCGTGACACTGGACTGGATCCTAGACCAGGAAAAATAATATATAGTGTGAAGGACATCATTGGTAGGAACAATGACATTTGAATAAAGATCTGGGGATTAGATCATAGTATTGTGTAGCCATTAACTTTTCTGGTTTTGATAATTGCATTGTCATGTAAGAGGACATCCTTGTTCTTAACGTCGTGCACACTCAAGTATGTAGGGGCAGAAGGGCATTGTAACTGCCGCTCATTCTCACATGATTCAGGGAGAGAGAGAGAGAAGGTGCACTGGCAAAATGTTAACATGAAAACCTGGTCAAGCTGGGTATGCAGGAGTTATTTGTACTCTCTTTGCAACTTTTCTGTAAGTTCAAAATTATATCTAAAGAAACTATTACAAAAAAAATTTTAAATGAGGATAATATTATCCACCTCATAAGATCATTGTGAAATGTTAAGGAGGTAATGACTACGTAATACGATTTTAGCAGGTGTCAGACCCTTCCTAAGTGATAGCTCCTCCCCTCCATGTTCCTTCTCCAGTTACTCAGACGTCTAAAGCACGTCACACCCCTGAGCCCCAGGATAGGCCAAGCACTGCCCTACCACTGTGCCTTTGCAAATGGGTTTCCTCTGCTTGGGAATCCCATTGTCTTGTGTCCATTTGACAAATCTTTTTTTACTTTCCCAGGCCCAGCTCAGGTGTTAGCATCCTGGGAAGCCTTTCTCCCCTGGAGCAAGTGAATGTGATTATTTTCTCTTCTAGGGTCCCATGGGACTCAACACAAATGCATTACTATACTGAAACCACAGTGTTTCAGTATTTTGTGTGTCCACCAGTTCAGCTCCTAAAGGGTAGGGACCGTGTAATATTTATCTTTGTCCCCCCTCCCTGTGTCAAACACAGTGCCTGGTACAAAGTGAATGCTCAAATAAAAATATATCAAATGAGTTAAATGTTTTTGGATAACAGCAGACAGTTGCTGCATATGTTCTTTTAGGTGAATCTTTGATTTTCCTGGGGATGTAATCTTTGAGAAAAATGGAGGGCAACTTAGGTTTTTAAATTCTAAACTCTGGTCTGTCTGATGGTAAATTCAGATATCTTTTCTTGTAAACTCTGTTTTTAGTGAAATATACATATCTAATCATGATAGCACTCTAATTTTTTAATGTTGGGTCCTAGGGTAATCATTACTTATGATTCTCCCGTCGTGGTTCTCAAAAGATGAGTGCTGGATATGATAAGACAATATATTAAAATGCAATTTTACTGTACATAGCTTTTACTGTGATTTTATATGTATCCTTAATTGTAGCTCCCTAGTTTTGCACACATAACTGGCCAGAAGAGTTTAACAAGCACGGAGATCATGAGAATTCAAAGAGAGACAGACTTTCTCAAGTAAGTATTACATTTTCTTTACTATTTCTTAAATCCTACTGAGACATTGTCAAAAAAATTTAAGGATGAGACATAAGAATGGTGTTTTCTCACCCAACTGTCTTTCATTAAATTTTTATAAATTTTCAAAGTATATTGATATACAATAAAACTGTACTTATTTAAAAAGTACAGTTGACCCTTATGTATATCACATCGTTATGTACAATAGCGAAGACATGGAAACAACCTAAGTGTTCATCAACAGGCGAATGACTAGGGAAGATGTGGTATATTTATGCAGTGGAACATTACACAGCCATAAAAAGGATGAGATCGTGCCATTTGCTACAACATGGATAGACCTAGAGGGTATTATGCTGAGTGAAATTAGAGAAAGACAAATACCATATGAATTCACTCATATGTAGAATCTAAAAAACAAAAAAAAATGAATAGACAAACAGAAGAATCAGACTTATAAATAGAACAAACTGATGGTTGCCGGAGGAGAGGGGGTTGGAGGGATGGGCAAAATGGGGGAAGGGGAGTGGGAGATATAGTCTTCCAGTTATGGAATGAATAAGTTACAGGAATAAAAGCATAGGGAATATAGCCAATGGTAATAGCATTGTACGGTGACAGATGGTAGCTATACTTGTGAGCCTAACATGTAAAGAAGTTGAATCACTATGTTATACAACTGAAACCAGTGCTTGTGTGGTTATACAACTGAAACACTGTGTGTCAACTATACTCAAGTAAAAAAATTTTTTAATTCATTTTGCAAAAAAAAAGCTGCAATTGACATGTGCATATAACCTTGAAACTATCACTATAATTAAAATGAACAAGTCCGTCACCTCCAAAAGTTTCCTGCGCTGTACCCTTTTGAAGTCCCTCCTTTGTGCTCCTCCCTATCCCAAGGCAACTATTGATCTGCTTCTCGTCACTGTAGTTTTAGTTTGCATTTGATTCCATACATAAATGGAATAATTCAGTATGTGCTCTTTTTGCCAAGCTTCTTTCATTTTCCTAGTTTTTTTTTTTTTAAGATTTTATTTATTTATTTGACAGAGAGAGACACAGCAAGAGAGGGAACACAAGCAGTGGGAGTGGGAGGGGGAGAAGCAGGTTTCCTGTGGAGCAGGGAGCCCGATGCCAGGCTCGATCCCAGGACCCTGGGATCATGACCTGAGCCGAAGGCAGATGCTTAACAACTGAGCCACCCCGGCACCCCATTCCTTTTCCTAGTTATTTTGAGATTCACCCACGTTGCTGCACGTATCAGGTGTTTATTTCTTTTTATTGTTGAGTAGTATCCCATTGTATGGATACATCGCAATCTGTATATTTAGTCATCTATTGATGGACATCTGGGTTGTTTCCAGTTTTGGGCTATTACAGGTAAAGCTAAGAACATTTGTATACAAGTCATAATATGCATATATAGTTTCATTTCCCTTAAGTACATATCTGGAATGAAATGCCTCGGTCATATGATAGCTGTACGTTTAACTTTTTAAGAAACTGCCAAGCTGTTTTCCAAAGGAGGTGCACCATTTTACATTCCCAGCAACAGTGTATGAGAATCCCACTTTCTCTACATCCTCACCAATGCTTTAATTTTTATGTTTGGCCATTCTTGTGAGATGGTGCTTGTGGATTTCATTTGCATTTCCCTAGTGACTAATGACTTTGAGCATCTTTAAAAGTGTTTATTTGCCATCCATATACCTTCTTTGGGAAAGTGCCTGTTCAAACGTTTTGCCCTTTTTAAAAATTGAGTACTGTATCTCCTAATTATAGAGTTGTACATGTTCTCTTTTGTTAATATATGTTTTGCAAATATTTTCTCCCAGTTTTGGCTTGTTATTTGCTTAAGAAAGTTTTTTTTTTTTTTAAAGATTTTATTTATTTATTTGAGAAAGTCAGAGATAGTGATAGAGAGCATGAGTGGGGAGGAGAGGGGGAAGCAGGCTCCCCGCCGAGCAGGGAGCCCGACGCGGGGCTCGATCCCAGGACCCTGGGATCACGACCCGAGCCGAAGGCAGACGCTCAACCGACTGAGCCACCCAGGTGCCCCAAGAAAGTTTATTTTTAAAGAGCTAAAGTTTTTATTTTTGATCAAATGCAATGTATTTATTTGTCTTATACTTAATGTTTATTTTGACATATTTAAGAAGTCTTTCCCAAACCAAAGACATATCCCACTCATAAGATTTTCTTCTATGTTTTCTTCTAGAAATTGTAGCTCTTATATTTAGGTCTGTGATCCATATTTAATTATAGTGTGAGGTTATTCCAGCACCATTTGTTGAAAAGATTGTCCTTTTCTGATTGATTACTTTTGAGATTTTGTGGGTCTGTTTCTGGACTCTGTATTCTGATCCACTGATGTTTGTCTATATTTATTTACTACCACACTGCTTGATTGCCATACCTTTATAATAAGTCTTGAAACTAAGTGTTACACATTCTTCAACTTTGTTCTTCTTTTACAAAAATAGTTTGGCTCCTCTCGGTACTTTGCATTTTCAAATAAGTTTTAAAATCAGCTTCTCAACATCTACAAAATGTCTGCTAGAGTTTTGATTTGGATTGCATTTAGTTGATATATTAATTTAAGAAAAATTGATGTTATTAACAATTTTGAGTCTTTACAGTCCAGAAAAATGAGGTTATCTCATCGTTTATTTAGTTCTTCCTTAATTTCTTTCAGCAGTGTTGTATAGTTTTCAGTGCTCAGGATTTACATATCTTTTGTCAAATTGATTTCTAAGTATTTCGTATTTTTTGATGCTGTCATAAATGGTATTGCTTTTAAAATGTAAATTTTTTAAAATATAAATTTTAAAATGTAAATTTAAAATTTTTTGCTTTTAAAATGTAAATTTTTTCATTTTCTACATGGATCCTTCCTTCCTTCCTTTCTTCTTTCCTTCCTTCCTTGTTCCTTTCCTTCCTTCCTTCCTTCCTTCCTTTCTTCCACTATAAACTGATTTATTTAAAAGTTACAAAAAAGCACAACAAAATAGAGATGATCCTTAGAATTATTCATGCTTTGTTAAAGATCAGGTAGGATTAGAGGGTAAGAAATGGTATTGGGTGGGGCGTGCACCTGCCTTAGTTACAGTGCAGTTGATTACATATTAATTCAGCTGTTACATCCTGGGAGATAGTAGTTGGGGGATCAGTAATTTATCTACAGGGAACTCCTACACAAATTAGATCCATCCAGACCTCCCCTGTGCCATCCTTCTCTACTCCTCAGGACCCTAAAGCCACCTGGATGGCAATATTCCCTATTCATATATTCTTTCCTCCCCTGAGGTGCTGTGCAAACCGAAAACAGTCTGATCTCTATAGCTGGAACACATATACAGATCCCTTTTCTTTGTTCTTTTTTTCCCTTGACTTGTTGCCTTGGCCAGACTTCCAGTAAATTTAGAATAGAAGTGATGAGAGTGGACATTCTTGCCTTATTCCTGAACTTAGGGAGAAAACATTCCATTTCTTAACATTAAATATGATATTGGCTGTAGATTTTTTTTGTTGACCTTTCAGATTGAGGAAATTTTCTCCTAGTCTTAGCTTGCTGAGAGGTTTGTTTTTTTTTTTTAAGATTTTATTTATTTATCTGAGATAGAGAGACGAGCTGGGGGGCAGAGGGAGAGGGAGAAGCAGGCTCCCTACTGAGTAGGGAGCCAGATGCGGGGCTGGATCCCAGGATTCTGGGATCATGACCTGAGTCGAAGGCAGACACTTAACTGACTGAGCCACACAGGTGCCCCTAGGGTTTTTTGGTTGTTTTTCTTTTAAATCAGGACTAGATGTTGGATTTTGTCTATAGCATTTTCTCTACCTATTAAAGTAATATGGTTTTTCCTTTTTTGTTCATGTGGTGAATTACAAAGATTGATTTTCAAGTTTTATTTTAAAGATTTTGTTTATTTATTTGAGAGAGAGAGACAGAGAGAGCATGAGCTGGGGGAAGGGCAGAGGGAGAGGGTGAAGCAGACTCCCTGCCGAGCATGGAGTCAGGCGCAGGGCTCTTGATCCCAGGACCCTAAGATCATGACCTGAGCCAAAGTCAGACACTTAACTGACTGAGCCACACAGGCACCCCTGATTTTCAAGTTTTATTTTTTTAAATATTTTATTTATTTATTTGACAGAGAGAGAGAGAGAGGGAGCACATAAGTAGGCAGAGCAGCAGGCAGAGGGAGAGGGAGAAGAGGAAGCAGGCTCCCCACTGAGAAGGGAGCTCAATGTGGGGCTCAATCCCAGGACCCCAGGATCATGACCTGAGCCGAAGGCAGACGCTTAACGGACTGAGCCACCCAGGTGCCCTGATTTTCAAGTTTTAAATCAGCCATGCATTTCTGAGATAAACCTCACTTGAAGTATTATCTATTTTATGTAATATTTAATTTGATTTGCTAAAATATAAGGAACTTTTTGCATATATGTACATGAGGGATATTGGTCTGTAGTTTTCATGCCTTACAGTATCTTTCTCTGATTTTAGTATCAAGGTAATTCTGGGTTCACAAAATAAGTTGGGAAGTATTCTCTCTCCTTTAATTTTCTGAGTTTGTTTAGAATTGGTATTACTGGGTGGTAGGAGGGTTGGGGTGGCTGGGTGATGGACATTGGGGAGGGTATGTGCTATGGTGAGCGCTGTGAATTGTGTAAGACTGTTGAATCACAGACCTGTACCCCTGAAACAAATAATACATTATATGTTAATAAAAAAAGAAAAGAATTGGTATTATTTCTTCCTTAGGTGTTTGGTCAGGTACACCAGTGAAAGCACTGGGGTCCAGAGTTTTAAGGAAGACTTTAAACTACATATTAAGTTTGTTTAATAAATATAAGTCTGTTTATCTGTTTCTTTTTTAGCGAACCGTTAGTTTCATTTGCTCTTCTTTTTCTTTTTTTAAGATTTATTTATTTGTTAGAGAGAGAGAAAGAGAGCAGGAGCAGGGGGCAGAGGGAGACTGAATGTAAAGCAGACTCTGCACTGAGTTTGGAGGTGGACATGGGGCTGGATCTCATGACCCATATGAGATCAGGACCTGAGCTGAAACCAAGAGCTGTTTGCTCAACCAACTGCGCCACCCGGCGCCTCTGCTCTTCTTTTTCTAATTTCTTTAGTATGTGGAAGATGAACTCATTCATTTGAAGGCTTTCTTCGTTCTAATATAGGCATTTAGAATTCTGCAAATTTTCCCCGAGTACTGCGTTAGCCCCTAATATTAGTATGTTGTGTTCTCATTTCATTTTTATTTTTAATTTTTTTAAGTAGACCCCATGCCCAGTGTGGGGCTTGAACTCATGACTCTGAGATCAAGAGCCACATGCTCTATTGACTGAGCTAGGCGCCCCTGTTGTGTTTTCATTTTAATTCAGTTTAAACTTTCTAACTATCCTTGTCGTTTCTTTTTTGACCCATGGGTTATTTGAAAGTATTTTATTAAATTTCCAATATTTGGGGATTTTCCTTATATCCTCTGGTACTTATTTCAAATTTAATTCCTTTTTTGATCAGAGAACATATATTGTATGATTTGATTGGTGAATGTTCCATGTACACTTCAAAAGGATGTACATTTTGCTAGAGTGAGTATTCTGTAACTGTCAATTAGGTTAAGTTGGTTGATGATATTATTTAACTCTTCTCTATCTTTACTGATTTTTCTGTCTATTTCTTAATCAGTGATTGAGAAATCTGTGGCTATAATTATGAATTTGTCTCCTTATCCTTGCTTTCTATTGGATTTTGCTTCATGTACTTTTAAGCTCTATTATTGTGTATAAACCTTTTGGATTCTTATGTCCTCTTGCTGAGTTGACCCCTTTATCATAATGAATAACCTTCTTTAACCCTGGTGATACTCTTTGCTCAGAAATCTATTTTGTCTGAAAAAAAAAAAAAGAAAGAAACCTATTTTGTCTGATATTAACACAGCCACCCCTGCTTTCTTCTGCTTAGTGTTTGCATGATCTAACTGTTTTCATCCTTTTACTTTTAACCTATCTGTTTTTCTTTAAGTTTTTTTAAAGCAACATCTAGTTAGATCTTGCTTTTTAAAAAACCTGACAATTTCTACATTTTAGTTGGGGTGTTAAGAGTATATTCTGATTATTGATATGTTTGAATTTAAATCAACCATCATGCTATTTGTTTTCTGTTCATCTTATCTGTTCTTTGTTGCCTTTTCTTTTTTTCTGCCATCTTTTGGATTAGTTGGGTATGTTTCACGATTCCATTTTGCTTTATATGCTTTGTTAGCTTATTAGCTAGAACTTTGTTCTTAGTAGTTGCTTTGGTTTCTAATACGTATTTTTAACTCATCACAGCCCATCCTCAAGCAGGATTAGGCCACTTTGTACACAGCATAGGAACCTCATGATCCCATACTTCCAGGCGCTGAGTAACAACAGCCTTTGTGCTACTGTGGTCACTCATTTCACTTCTGCGAATATTATGAACCCCATAATACATTGTTACATTTATACATATTATACATATACATCCTTACATTATTACTTTTATTTTATATCGATTATTTTTGAGGCCCTTTACACTTTTATTGTGGTAAAATATACGTAATTAAAATCTACCACTTTAATGATTTTTAAGTGTACAATTCACTGGCATTAAGTACATTCACAATGTTGTGCAGCCATCACCACCATCCATTTCCAGAACTTTTTTGTCATTCCAAACAGAACTCAGTTCCCATTAAGCAATAACTCCTTCACCTAATCCTTCCAGCCCCTAGTAACCTCTGTTCTCCTTTCTGTTTTTATGAATTTGCCTATTCTAGTTACCTTATGTAAGTAGAATCAGACAATATTTGTCCTTTTGTGTCTGACTTACTTCACTGAGCATATTTTCGAAGTTCTCATGTTGTAGTCTGTATCAGAATTGCATTCCGTATTAAAGATGAAAAATATCCCATTATGTATACACCACAATTTGTTTATCTGCTCATCTGTTCATGGACACTTGAGTTGTTACCACATTTGACTATTGTGAGTAATGCTGCTGTGAACATTGGTGTCCAAGTATCTGAGTCCCTGATTTCAGTTCTTTTGGGTATTTACCTAGGACTGGAATTTTGATTTTATGGTAATTCTTTGTCCAACTTTTTCAGGAACTGCTAAACTGTTTTCCACAGCAGCTGCATCATTTTACCTTCCACCAGAAATGCACAAGGGTGTCAATTTCTCCACCAATACTTGTTATTTTCTGTTTTTCTAATAGTCATCCTAATAGATATAAAGTGAAATTTCATTGTGGTTTTGATTTGTGACAAATCAAAATCAAAATCAAAATCAATGACAAGTGACATTGAGCATTTTTTTCATGTGTTTCTTGACCATTTGTATATCTTCTTTGGTCAAGACGTGGTCCTCCTCCAGGCAAGACCTGTCACAGACTGAGCTCAGAGGTCAGGTAGGAAGTCAGAAAATTGCAGTTAAGGTAGACTTTACTGGAATTCTCGGGGATCACCCTCACGCATGCCAAATCCAGTGTCATAGGATTAGTCAGAAGTGGGATCAAGGCTGCTGATAAACTTCTGCCAAACGTTGGGAAATAAGGTAAGCCAGGCCAGGTGAAGGACCAGTGGGTCCAGGTGGAAGGCCACTTTGTAATAAAATGACTGGAGAAGCATCCCCTGTCTTGAACTTGTTCCATAGCCTTTGAGAGTGGTCTGCTCTTTGTTTTGTTTTTTTATTTTCTAAAATGTTTGCACACTTGGAGATTTTCATCTGACTTCTTAATGTGAACCCATCAGAACATGGCCAGTCAGGAACCTATTTTGTTGTAGGTGTGCCCACTGCCTGGCCCCCCGCCCGTCTGACCCCTTTGCTCGCTTCTGTCAAGAATGTGGCTCTCCTGTACCACCCATATTTGGCTGTCGTCTCCCACCCCCAGAAGGAGCTCAGGTGAGCAGCAGAATCTTTAAAAACTTCTTTCATTGGTTTATTTGATCTTTAGTAGAGCAGTAGCATAGACCTGGCACTCATGATCCACAAACATAAACAGTGTTGAAAAAATTACTGGCAGTCTAATCTCTTATTGCCCAGTCTCTTACTTAAAAATGGAAAACCTTGTTTGCAATGCCATTTCTTTTGGTGGCCTTACAGAAGCACAGGCTCAGAAGGATACTGAAATCTTATTGTATTGTTTTTTTTTTTTTTAAAGATTTTATTTATTTATTTGATAGAGGGAGAGAGAGAGAGAGCACGTGTGCACAAGCAGGGGGAGTGGCAGGCAGAGGGAGAGAGAGAAGCAGGCTCCCCGTGGAGCAGGGAACCTGATATGGGACTCGAACCCAGGACCCTGGGTTCATGACCTGAATCTAAGGCAGACGCTTAACCAGCTGAGCCACCCAGGTGCCCTGAAATCTTATTGTTTCAGTGATATGTGCATAGGTAAATATATATTTCCTACTCAGATGATACTCAGTTTATAACCTGGGTACAGTAATATTTCTATTCTAGAAATAAATGGAGAGAAGTACTAATTACAAGTCTGTATATCCTTAAGATACATCATTTTGTCCAAAGATGCTATTGGTATAAGCTATAGATTGATCAATTAAAAAATTTTGGCTGTTAAGTATAGATAATAATTGGTATAAGCCTACTAATGAGTTTATAGTTAGAAAAGATACTCAGCTTACTAAAAATCAAAACCTTCACCAAAATGTGTCATCTTTTATGCACTTGAAACTTGGGTATTTTTATGGAGTAGGGTTTACAAAATGAAATAAAAGGATCTATGATGTTGACTGAAAGATAACCATCTTTAAAAAGATAGTCACTAAGAAAAAGCCACTAATTCAGTGTGTTTAAGTCTAGAGTTCTAGAATTGAGTTATACCTTCAAGCAAAGGGTGAGAATCTAAATGGATATCTTTTTTACAATTTATTCCAAGGTATTGCTCAAGATTGTTGTAGAAATTAATTTAATTTGCTATAATGTATTTTGAACTTCATAAAGAAGATAATACAGAAAATAAACTATGAATAGATCCCAGCAGTTTGGATTTTCCCTGCTTATATTCATTCATTGGTGCAGTATCAAAATTATTTTTTACTTGCCTGAAAACAGATTTTCAAAGATTTTATTTATTTAATTATTTTAGAGAGAAATAGTGTCTGCAGGGGATGGGGCCAGGGAGAGGCAAAGAATCCCAAGCAGACTCTGTGCTGAGCACAGAGCCCAGTGTGGGCTCGATCCCACGACCCTGAGATCACAACCTGAGTTGAAACCAAGAGTCAGTCGCTCAACCAACTGTGCCACCCAGGCACCCTGGAAAACAGATTTTCAGAACTTTCTTTGTTCTTTTAGGGAGGAGAAGTTATCAAAGATTATAAATATTTTATTTATTTTTATTTATTTTATTTGTTATTTTATTTATTATTTTTATTTTTTATTATTTATTTTTATTATTTTTTTAAAGATTTTATTTATTTGGGCGCCTGGGTGGCTCAGTTGGTTGGGCGACTGCCTTCGGCTCAGGTCATGATCCTGGAGTCCCGGGATCGAGTCCCGCATCGGGCTCCCTGCTCGGCAGGGAGTCTGCTTCTCCCTCTGACCCTCCCCCCTCTCATGTGCTCTCTCTCATTCTCTCTCAAATAAAATAAAATAAAAAAATCTTAAAAAAAAAAAGATTTTATTTATTTGTTTGACAGAGAGAGCACAAGCAGGGGGAGGAGCAGGCAGAGGGAGAAGCAGACTCCCCGCTGAGCAAGGAGCCCAATGCGGGGCTCGATCCTAGGACCCTGGGATCATGACCTGAGCCGAAGGCAGAGGCTTAACCAACTGAGGCACCCAGGCGCCCCAAGATTACAAATATTTAAAGTGGTAAACTTAATCCAAGACACTCAGAGTCTCATTAGATAGATGGAGAAGTGCACCTTACAGCTCTAGATCCACCCTTCATTGCCCTGCCTTGTGGGTCCTGGAGCTGGACCCTTTTAACATTTCTCCTGTGCCAGCTAGCTAGATGTTAATTGTGTTAGTAGAGGAACATTGCTGCTGGAGGGACACTGCAGGAGAATGGACTTGGCCTTTCTTCCTGGTTCTGGTATGCTTTCCTCTCTTTTTGCTCTGACAGTGCTCAGCTAACCTGCAGGAACCCAGTTCTGCTGAGCCCCATTGTGTTTTGGTAACATCCCACGAACAGCTTCTCAGTGAGTTTCACTGGCACCTCAGCCAGCTCCCAGACAGTCCTCAGGCACCCCAGTGGGCAGTTTGCTGGCAAGTTATAGCAGCATGCCTGTACAGCCTTCCCAGCATGTTCTACCAGCTCCCCAGAGGGAGATTTCCAAACAGGTTTCATTGGACCCAGGTTTTTGCTTTTTGCTTGCCAGTTCAGGTCTACGTCACCCCAGTTGAACTTCTTTGCTATCCAATGGTCAACAGCCATACTCCTTTTCCTCCCCATTTATTTATCTTTTCTGTAATATATATCATCATATATATTACATCTATATATGTAATAAACTGAAAATGCAGTGTTATATGATCTTATGTCATTTAAAGATAAGAAAAAATGTTTATGTACTCATTTATATTTACTCACATATTTATTAAATCTGGTCTCTCATTTCTTCATTTCTTTCCTGTGAACTCAGGTTATCATCTAGTGTCACGTAGTTTTAGCCTAGTGGACTTCCTTTACTAAAGGCACATCTGCTAGCCATTTCTCTCTGTCTTTGTCTATGATAATATTTATTTTGCATCCTCTTTTGAAGGATAATTTTACTGGATGTAGAATTCTTGTTTGACAGTTATTTTTAAGGATTTATTTATTTGAGAGAGAGACGGGAAAGGGAGGGGCAGGGGTAGAGGGAGAATCTCAAGCAGGCACCCCACTGAGCATGGAGCCCGATGCAGGGCTTGATCTCACAACCCTGAGATCATGACCTGAGCTGAAATCAAGAGTGAGACGCTTAACAGACTGAGCCACCCAGAAACCCCTTATTTGACAGTTATTTTTAATTTCAGTCCTTTGAAGACATTATTCTCCTACCTCTGGTCTCCATGGTTTTTGATATGTGATAAGTAGTTTTTTCTCTTGCTACTTTTAAGACTTTTCTCTTTCTCTGACATTCAGCAATTTGACTATAGTGTGCCTAAATGTGGATCTCTTTCTGTTTATCTTTCTTGGAATTGATTTTCTTGGAGCTATAGATTAATGTTTTTCTTCAAATGTGGGAAGTTTTTGGCTATTATTTCTTCAAATTCTCTCTCTTTTTTTTTTTTTGCCTTTTCTTCTCTCTCCCTTCCTTCTAAAACTCCTATTACATGTATGTTGATATGTTGTCCCACAGGTGTTTGATGGTTTATTTTCTAACATCCTTTTTCTCTCTGTTCTTCAGATTGGAAAATTTCTGTTGAACATATTCATGTTCACCAGTTCTTTCTTCTGTCAATCTCTGATCTGCTATGGAGTCCCTCTGGAGATTTTTTTTTTTTCCCATTTCAGTTATTTTAATTTTAAACTCCAGGTTTTGATATGGTCCTTTTTTTTTTTTTTTTAAAGATTTTATTTATTTATTTGACAGAGAGAGACACAGCGAGAGAAGGAACACAAGCAGGGGGAGTGGGAGAGGGAGAAGCAGGCTCCCCGCAGAGCAGGGAGCCCGATGCGGGACTCGATCCCAGGACCCCGGGATCATGACCCGAGCCGAAGGCAGTTGCTTAACCAACTGAGCCACCCAGGCGCCCTGATACGGTCCTTTTAAAAAAATAATTTCTATGTCTTTATTGAGAGTCCCTATTTTTTTGAAACATCACCACCATACTTTATCCTTTAAACATGGTTTCCTTGAGTTCTTTGAACAGTTTTATAATAGCTGTTTTGAAATCTTTGTAAATCCAACATCTGGGGATACTATATCTATCAGCTGTTTTTTTTCTCCCTGAGTTTAGGTCACAATTTCTTGTTTTTTGTGTGCCTCATAATTTTTTTCTTTAATTCTGGACATCTTAGATGATACATTGTAACAACTCTGGATTCTAACATTTTCTTACTTTTTCTTTCTGCTGTTTTTATTTTTGTTTACTGGGATTAATTTTTTTCTCATGTTTGTCTCCCCTGAAATGTGTGGCCACTGATATCAGGTTTTTTGTTCTTGTTTTTATTTTTAAGCCTGGGGTCACCCCTGAGTCTGCATAGCTTAGTGCTCAACTGAGGATTGGCCAGAAGTTATACTCAAATACCTTGGTCCAGTAAGCCTTCCACTCTCTGCTGATGGATCTATGTGTGGGCTGGGTTGAACATTCAAGCTTCAGGCTACTTACAAGTCAGCCTCAGCTTTTACTTTATACTGAACTCCCTTGCATCTCCATGTGTAGCTTCCATCAGCCAGCGATGTATGAGTGGCTTACTCCCACTCTGGTTTATGCTATACATGTGCATATCTTCCAGTCAACTAAAGATATGTGGGGAGCTTATCAAGCACCCTATATTTGACTTAGCTCCTGGAACTTTCTGTTAAATCCCTGACTAGTTGCCTCAAACAGAATGCTGATTTCAGGCTTATAGAGCCACTGGCCCTCCCTGTTTTCTTGCCACTGAGATTGTCATCTTAACAGTGCCCCAAATCAAGTGAGCCCTGCCCAGCAGCAGCTATGAAGCTGCTGGTTTTCACAGCCTGTCCTGCCCCAGTGAGGCTGCCACACTGACAGAGCTAGAGGAGGATGGGTACAGCCTCAAGCAGGAACCACATGGACTTGTAGTGTTCTTACCTGAAATTGGTGACTTTCAGAATCTGGAATGGTTTTTTGAATCTGAAATGACAGTTTTATCCAACTTTATAATTGCTTTTTGGAGAGAGGATTTGTGGGTTTCCTTACTCCATTGTCCTGTAAGATATTTTTTCTTTCTTTTTTTTTTTTTTACATTTCTATTTTCCACAATAAACATGTTCTTACTCACAATATAAAAAAAATAAGAATAAAGGTAATTATTTTTAAACATTTTTTACAAAAGCAAATTAAATCTTTTTCTTAAGATTTTATTTATTTATTTGAGAGAGAGAGAGCACAAGTGGGGGGAAGGGCAGAGGGAGAGAGAGAAGCAGACTCCCCCGCTCAGCAGGGAGCCCAATGCGGAACTTGATCCCAGGACTCCGGGATCATGACCTGAGCCGAAGCCAGATGCTTAACTGACTGAGCCATGCAGGCACCCCAAAAGCAAATTAAATCTTATATTCGAAGATCTACTTATACCTTCAGTTTTTGCATCCCAAGACAAACCTCTTTCTTTGTGCAGATGGGCTTATGTGCAGAATGTGGAAACATGGTGCCCATGAACACTCCCATCTGTGTGGTGTGTGAGGCCTCTCTTATCCTACAGCTGCAGCCACAGGCCAGCCTCCGCTTGAAGGTAATGAAATGTGATTCTGTAAAAACACGAATAAAATATATAGAAAGTGGTATGTAAGCCATTAAATGTCTTCAGCTGATGAAGTTGGTGAACAATTGATAAACTAATATCTGTGAACAAAATCCACTCTAATTTTTGGGAAGGTAGGCTGCCCAAGAATTTTACTTGCCAATAAGATCTATAACTGTTAAGAGAGATACATAGAAATGTGTTCCCTGAACATGGATTTGGAGGGCATGGATTTGGAGTTGACTGGAAGAAAACTTCAACGTTGCAATTAATATTGCAGTTAAGAACTTTTAATCTTGTCCTTAAAGTTGTTTTATGCTTTTATTTGATTATGGATCTCTGTTATGTAGAAAAGAATGATTATAGCTGGTCACATGGATGAAAAAGTTAAGTATCAAAAAAAAAGAAAGAAAAAGTTAAGTATCATCATCATATATATTCAGAAAACTTTGCTAGACAATGTCATACCAAGAAAATATTTTTGGTAGAATCTTTCAATGTACAGCTGTATCTTTTACCCATTTTTCAGTTTACAGTCCCATTCAGTTCCTCTTTAATCTCAAGTAAATGTCACTAAAGGATAAAATAGATTTAGAATTTGAGACATAAAACAGCAAGAGTTTTTAGTAATAAGGAATTTAATGTACAACTGGGACTGTAATACTCCTAAAACGACTTTGTGGGTTTTCATATGAGCAAACTGTATTGAAGTTTATGAGAGAAAGGGGACGTCCACTTTTTCTTTTACCTCCAAGCTCCTCTTCACTCTGAAACGTTTTTAAGTATTCCAAGCAATGTAAGCCTTCAGAAATGAGACTTTGAAGAACTGGCCGGGCCAAGGTCAGGTAGATGAAAATTTACTAATCGTTTTGTTAGATGGATGGAGCAGGGAGTGGTATGAGCCTGAGGAATCGTCTCTGGATACCCACTTTAGAGTCCCTTGAATAGGGAAGATCGAGGGAAGGGGTCTGAGGAAGGAGTGGTCTCTAGGCCCGGCCTCTAGGATTCACAGCCACTCGGGCCTAGTCTGGCATCCCTCATGATGGTGCAGCCATGAACCTTCCTTCAGCTTCACCCTATTTCTCTGGGTTCTGCCTTACACCTCAAGTGTGAACCCTCAGGTGCTGAGGGAATTTTTCAAAGACACCTTTGATGTGACTTTTCCCAGCGTGCTGCTTCCTGGACCACTCTCTGGGCCTCTGCACCCTACATTCCCTGGACTCTGATCCCTAGACCCACTGCCCCTGATCCTGCCCACACTTGCAGCAGTGGAGGTAGCAGTCTGGTGGGTGGGTGGGTGGGGGCACAGAGGAAGAATTCACTAACTCTTATCAGGGGCTGGGGCCAGGGATAGCTTTGAAGATGGGGTGTCACCTGATGGATATTGTGGGATGCACAAGCACATGCCAGATGGGGAAGGAATGGGACAAAGAAAAGTTGCTTATGTGTATGTGTGGGAGGTCAGGGGAGAGGTTGTTCCAGGAAGATGCACAGAGACTGGAAGCGTTGTAAGCAGTTTGGTTTTGCTGAGCAGCAGAAATGCTGGAGGTGCTGTGGGTTGTGCAAGATGGCGCCTCTCTACCGTACTTAACAGCTCCGATTTCTCCCAGTGCACCCTGAACAGCGGAAAGCAGGGACAGGATTTAATCAGACTTGATTTTTTAGAGAGACTTTTATCACCATGACATCTGATGTTGAAGGGAAATGCCTGATGCCTGATTTTTACGGCCAATCAGTATTGCTGCTTCTACTCACAGAAGGACACCTGTTTGGAAACCCTGGGCTGAGAATCTTTATCCCAATGGCTTTCCCAGGTCTTACACGGGCATAGATTTTTATTTTTTTTATTTTTAATTTTTTTAGATTTTATTTATTTATTTGACAGAGAGAGAGACTGTGAGAGAGGGAAACAAGCAGGGGGAGTGGGAGAGGGAGAAGCAGCTTCCCGCCAAGCAGGGAGCCTGACGCGGGGCTCGATCCCAGGACCCTGGGATCATGACCTGAGCCGAAGGCAGACACTTAACGACTGAGCCACCCAGGCATCCCACGGGGGTAGATTTTTAGATAACATTCTCACCCAGAGAGGCACCTCTGAGGTCAGTGGGAACACCTGTTGTTCTCAGAAGCCAACAGACTTACCTTCCCCAAGGCACCAGCAGGGCCTGCTGAAGACCTTCTTGCTGTTTTTGTGTTGGTCTCCATCTCACTCCACATAGCATACAAAGCACCATCCATCCTCTTCCTGCCAACAGTCCACTGGTGCAAACTTATCTTCTGTTAATTTAAAGGCCATGTCAAAGCTGAGGAATTTTGCTCTATCAGATATATATTTTTTTGCTGCCAGGATTGGAAGTTATAGTAGCCGAAGTTTCTCCTTTTACTCTCTGGCACAGGTGCCTGTATTTCAGGAGAAGAGAGGATTTTGCATTTTCAAAAATTCTCTAATTTTCTGTAACAAGTGAAATAGTCTAAAGATATACAAAGAAGTGTGTAATTTCCCCACCCACCTCTATTTCTATCCTCCTAAAATAACTGATGATAGTGAATATCCTTCTATGTATTTTTCTGGATGCACAGAAACATGCATATGTATTCACACATTTAGATTGGTTTTATTTATTTATATTTTTAAAAGATTTATTTATTTATTTGAGAGAGAGAGAGCACATGTGAGGGGAGGGGAGGAGCAGAGGGAGAGTGAGAGAGAGAATCTCAAGCAGACTTCCTGCAGAGCGAGGAGCCCAAGGCAGGGCTCAATCTCACCACCCCAAGATCATGACCTGAGCTGAAACCAAGAGTTGGATGCTCAACCGACCGAGCCACCCAGGTGTCCCAAGCTTTGTTTTGGTTTTTAAACAAATGTATTCCACTGGCCATTTTCTAAAGTTGAAAATTAATCTGAGCATCTCTCATTTCACAAGAACACATGAATTCTCCTTTACCAAGAGATCATCAATTTCATTTGGGCTCTAACTAGCACATATAGTATACCCCCAGGTCTCCAGTCATATTGGGTTCCTAGAATCTGACAGGCTTAAGGCTGGTATCCTCTTGAAGTCATTACTGAAAAAGATCTGATTATTCACGTGACTGGGGCAATTACCTCCTTATGAGACTCCTGCTGTTCACACAGTGATTTGGGGCTAAAGCCAGGGTAACTGCAACTCTGCATCAAGCAGAACTTTAGCTTGGTAACTTACAAAATCCACTTTGAGATGAAGTTTGCAATGACCTACTACATTTTCCACACTTCATTTTGTGAGAGCTTATCATTTGGGAGATTAGAAAATTGTTTTCATCTCCCAACTACCTTGTAAGGAAAAATGTTACCCCAATAACTAAGTTGGGTCCACTAAATTGCTTAGAACCATTCAACTAGACACATTGCAAATGCTATGGATAAGGTAGCAAATGAGGGTATTTTTTACTTTATCTTATTTATTTATTTGACAGAGAGACAGCAAGAGAGGGAACACAAGTAGGGGGAGTGGGAGAGGGAGAAGCAGCTTCCCGCTGAGCAGGGAGCCCGATGCGGGGCCTGATCCCAGGACCCTGGGATCATGACCTGAGCCAAAGGCAGACGCTCCACGACTGAGCCACCCAGGCGCCCCAGCATATGAGGGTATTGACTTTTTTTTAAAGATTTTATTTATTTATTTGAGAGACAGAGGTCGAGAGAGAGCACAAAGTGGGGGACAGAGAGAGAAGCAGACTCCCCACTGAACAGGGAGCCAGACATGGGGCTCAGTCCTAGGACCCTGGAATCACAACCTGAGCCAAAGGCAGATGCTTAACTGACTGAGCCACCCAGGTGCCAGAGGGTAATGACTTTTTTAAAAAAAGGTCCTCATCACAGATGTTTAGCATCTTCTTTAAGGTAGTCTGATAGTGGCCTCAATCCCAAGTCATCCCTATGGACATCTATGATTGTAGTGATTATGATGTAAAATTATTTCTATCTGTGGATCATGGCCACTGCTCTTCAAGGAAGTAAGCCATGACATGGTGTCAAAAAGTCACCAAAAAACCATTAGAAATGCCTGCTGGCCAAGAAGGCTGTGTTTACTGGACCTGAAACAGTACGTAGACTGCCACTTTGACTGTCTTGATAGTATCTCAGAACAGAGAAGTCAAGGAAAGGTGTTTATAGGGTTTTAGTGATGCATGTGGGTCATTTTTTATTTTTTTATCTTATTTTATTTTTCTTAAAGATTTTATTTATTTATTTGACATAAAGAGAGAGAGAGAGACAGAGTGAGCACAAGCAGGGGGAGTGGCAGGCAGAGGCAGAGGGAGAAGCAGGCTCCCCACAGAGAAGGGGGAGCCCGATGTGGGACTCGATCCCGGGACCCTGGGATCATGACCTGAGCCGAGGGCAGTCGCTTAACCAACTGAGCCACCCAGGTGCCTGTGGGTGATTTTTTAAAAAGAGTTTGACAAGAGTGAACGCCAGGGTCAGTTATGACTTTGGGTGATAATGACATGTCTGTGTGGGTTCACTGGTTGTACTGAGGGTACCGTCCTGGTCTGGGATGTCAGCAGTGAGGGAGATTATGTATGTGTGGGAACAGGGAGTAAGTATATGGGAACTCCCTATAATTTCTGCTCAGTTTTGATATAAACCTAAAACTGCTCTAGAAAATGAAGTTTATTAGTTAAAAAAATTTAAAAGGGAGTTTTGCAAGGCAGGATTGGGATAGGGCAGAGTTAGTTTAGATCGGGCAAAGTTATGACATGCTAGCTTTAAAAATAGTTTACTTAAGGGCGCCTGGGTGGCTCAGTTGGTTAAGCAACTGCCTTCGGCTCAGGTCGTGATCCTGGGGTCCCGGGATCGAGTCCCACATCGGGCTCCCTGCTCAGCAGGGGGTCTGCTTCTCCCTCTGACCCTTCCCCCTTCTCATGCTCTCTCTCTCAAATAAAAAAAAAAAAATAGTTTACTTAAATAAAAATTTAAAATATTTAAATAAAAAATTTAATAATTTATTTAAATAAAAATTTTAGCCACTGGGTGGCTCAGTCGGTTAAGCATCTGACTCTTGATTTTGGCTCAGATCTGATCTCAGGGTGGTGAGATTGAGCCCTGCGTCAGGCTGTGTGCTATGTGTGGAGTCTTCTTAAGATTCTCTCTCTCCCTCTGTCCCCACCCCTGCTCACTCTCTCTCTCTCTCTCAAAATAAAAAATAAATAAAAATTTTATATGTTTAAGGTGATGATGTTTTAGTATACATGTACATAGTGAAATGACTACTGCAGTCAAGCTAATTAACATATCCATCTTTGTATACCGGAAATTTGCTGAGAGTAGATTTTAGGTGTTCTCACTACACGTGCATGCGAACACACATGTGCGTGCACACACACACACACAGAAATATTAACGATGTGGGGATATACTAATTTTGGATTGTGGGACCTGCCAGCATGAGGATCCTGAGGTAAGCTATTGGACTGAATAAGTAAGCAGCCTTACTGGTTTACAGTCTTTCCAGAATATTTCCTGCAGCAAACAGCTTTGTTATTTTTGTTTGATCTCAGTATTTTTTTTAACACAGGGACAGGATATTTGACTCACTTCTCAAGGAGTGTCTTGAGTGTCACCAGATCTTTTCTGAGTCTCCAGGAAGACCACAGCCCTAAATCTCACAGAAAAGCTCTGGCAGTTGCAGATTATGCTACAGAGACTTTAAGCAACTTTGAAGAATGCTGGAACCAGGGAGTGTCAGGATCCACAGAGAGCGAATCTGTGATACTCTGATATTTTGAATAGCAGTCAGTCGGCCATTTGCACTTTAGGAGTTCTTTGAGTTGCAAGAACTTGGAGTCTTTTACTAGAGTGAAATTAACCAGACTTGGAAAGGCCAGGGACTTCATAGCCTACCTAGTGGCATTGGAACTACAATCCTGGGAGTTGGACTTTCTCTTGATCGTCTTCTTTGCCTCTACAGCTTCAGAACATACGGTGTCAGTTTCAGGACACCTGGGAAATGTAGGCACTGGAGTAGAAAGGAACACTGAGTGTCACTGACCATTGATAAGTGAAGGGGATAGTATCCTGATAGTGCAGAGTAGTCCAGCGACTGAACAGGTTTTACCAAACCTCTAATAATTGAACTCTAGTTAGACTATTTTAATATTCCTCCCTCCCTTCCTTCCTTTCTTCCTTTCTTCTTTCCTTCCTTCCTTCCTTCCTTCCTTCCTTCCTTCCTTCCTTCCTTCCTTCCTTCCTCTCTGTATTGCTACTTATCCTCAGTTTCCTAACTTGGAAAGTTGTACTTACCATTTATTTTCTAAGACAGTCTTTTCATTTTTGCATTTCTGAGTGAGGAACTATAGAGTAAACCTAAATTCATTAACATGAAGCCCCATGGGCTGTTTACAAGATGACTTGTAAACACATAGGTAAGCTTTTGCTAGTCTTGGACTTTTCTGTTTATTGTTCAGGCCGTGAGATGAAGAGCCTACCATCATGTTTTTCACTGGGGGAAAAAAAAAGTAAAAAACTCATACATAATCAGTGCAAAATTTTTTATTTGTCTTTCTGAGGCCAAATGAATACCTGTTTTCAGTTTGTTCATTTTGAGTTTTGTTTCTTTGGGCAGGGCCAGGGGAGTTTCTTTTAAAATGGTTTTTATTTGTCTGACACTATGTTGTAATCATTCCTAAACCAATCCAGTTTCAGGGTCTGGGTGTTAAAATAGGGTCCATAGCTGGTTGATTGAAAAGACTGCTTGATGATTTCTTTGCACGATTGTTTGCTCAGAGAAAAATGTATTTCTCGTTCTTTGTTTTCAAGGAGAAAGTAGTCTGCCGCACCTGTGGCACAGGGAATCCAGCTCACCTGAAATACTGTGTCACCTGTGAGGGGGCCCTGCCTTCATTTCAAGAGGTAGGTTGACAGCATGGACCAGGCATCTATTTGGTGGCTGCTAAATGTCCAATTTCAATAATAATGAAGAAATATAATCTGCAGAGGAAGGAAGAAGTGGGAGGTTGGAGAGACATACTGAAGGCAACATTTCTAAATGTGGAGAGGACTTTATATATTCACCAATACAAAATAGTTTTCAAAGTCTTAACTCAGTAAAATCAGCAATTTCTTACAATTTCATTTAATAACTTTGCACAGAAGGCTGGTGGCAGCCAGCAGAGAAGTAGACCCACTTGTATTTCATTCACGGTCAGGTATGTCTTTATGACTGGGCCATGCTGTTGTTTGAAATTGAGAACATGGTGTGTACCCACTTCTGGATTTTCTACCAGCCTATTTGGAGTATTTAAAGTGAGGGAATAGGAGTACATGCAACTGAAATTGACGTTATTACCTGTCAGGGATGTAGTTGTCTCTGGGTTTCACCTATCAGCAAAACTGTTCCAGGAACAATTACAAAATTGAATTTGTTTTCAGGATTTGATTTCTCTTTGAATGGTGTATCAGAGTTTGGATGTTGCAATGAGAGTATATATCACTGAAGTGCCATAGAAGTAACAATGTGTATTCAGTCCGATAGCTTATGTCTTTTCTTTGTTTAGCAGCGTTAATATGAATGGAAAAAAATACCTTTTCTTTCTTTAAAGCAATGTTATGTTTAAAAAAATCCACTTGAACAGTAGATGCATTTATTTTTTTAAAAAGATTTTATGTATTTATTTATTTTTAAGCTTTTATTTATTTATTTGACAGAGAGATAGAACAAGTAGGCAGAGAGGGAGGCAGAGGGAGAGGGAGAAGCAGGCTCCCCGCTGAGCAAGGAGCCCGATGCGGGGCTCGATGCGGGGCTGGATCCCAGAACCCTGGGATCACGACCTGAGCCGAAGGCAGCCGCTTAACTGAGCCACCCAGGTGCCCTTATGTATTTATTTATTTGAGAGAGAGAGGGCACAAAAATGGGGGAGGAGCAGAGGGGGAGGGAGAGGGAAGGAGGAAAGAATCTCAAGAATACTCTGCTTTGAGCGCAGAGCCGGATGCAGGCTCAATCTCACAACCCTGAGATTATGACTTCAGCCAAAATCAAGAGTTGGATGCTTAACCAACTGAGCCACCCGGGCACCCTGAACAGTAGATGCACTTTTTTAAAAAAAGGTTTTATTTATTTGACAGAGAGAGACACAGCGAGAGAGGGAACACAAGCAGGGGGAGTGGGAGAGGGAGAAGCAGGCTCCCCGCTGAGCAGAGAGCCGGTCGTGGGGCTCTATCCCAGGACTCTGAGATCATGCAAAGTGGAATGTGTCTTCTTTGTACGAATTTATTAATTGGTGAAGTTCATCGTAGTTTTACTCTTTGGGGCAAAAATACCTTATTCCAGGGTTTGCAATGATTTCGAGCTTTATCCCCCTGGATTCAGAGGGAGATTGCAGAATATAGTATTAATCTGCCTATTGATAAAAGCCATTGTGTTCCCCAGCGCATGCGCGGTGGAGATAAAGCCCCTCCTTTGTCCACTCAGAAAGGGGAGACCATTTCCTGCTCCAAGTGTGGTCGCGGGAATCGCCGGGAGGCTTGCTTCTGTGACTGGTGTGGATCCACGGTGGGTATTTTAAATCTGAGCTTCTTGGTGCCGAGGCCTCACCACCACCCTAGAGAGAGCCAGTTTCCTCCTCTTCCCCTGCCTTGCAGAAATCACTTCTTGGGATTTGAGTACTAGCACCTGTTTACCTAAGAATCTGGGGACAGAGATAATTGATTCTGTTAAATTGAGAAAGCTCTGTTATTGTTTTGCTTTGCATTTCTTTGAGGTTAAGCTTTTTCAATCATTTATTGACTCTTGGTATTTCTTCTTTTATGAATTGTCTATTTATCTTTAGAGAGACAGAAAGAGAAAGAGCACACCAGTGGGGGAGGGGCAGAGGGAGAGAGAGAATCCTCAAGCGATTCCCCACTGAGCCCGGAGCCCGAGATGGGGCTCGATCCCAGGACCCCAAGATCATGACCTGAGCTGAAGAGCCAGATGCTTAACCCACTGAGCCTTTACCAGGCACCCATTGCCTTTTTAATGAAACACTTAAAGTCATTTCTTTGAGTAAGTGTCGCATGTAAATAATATGGCAGGTTTCATGTGAAGGGTTAATCTCCCTTCTCATCCCAGGCCCACAGCGCCTATCCCCAGAAGCAATCACCGTTACCTAGTGTGTGTGTTCTTTGAGCCATTCAATGCATTAATAAGTAAACTAGTAGTTTCATAGAAACACTAATTCTGTTCCTTTCACCTAGCAATGTACCTTGTTAGTAACTTCCTCATTCTTTTCAGTGGCTCTGTAACATACCGCCATCTGTCTGTATCATGATACATTTAAGCCATCCCCTATTGCTGGACATTTAGGTTGTTTTCCAGTTATTTTCTCTAAAACCACAATGCTGCAGGGAATGGTCTTAAATATACTTCTCTGTGTACTTGTCCGTCAGGAGAATAAGGTCTAGAAGGTAGACTTGCAGGGTCAGGGGTATAGGCATATGTTATTTTGATGGCTGGGGATTGTATGGTATGAGAATAATTTACGTGGGAAAATTAGGACTCTAATATTTATGAAAGTGTGAAAATATTTTCTGTCCTCTAGCCGGGCATTTCTGCTTGCTACTCTGTTTGCCATAAATGTGGGGCCAGCAATCACCCATCTGCCCGATTCTGTGGTTCCTGTGGTATTTACGTGAAGTCCTTGGCAAGACTTAGCCTGGACAACAGCCTGGCTCTAGCTGCTGGAGAACTTGGCCCTTTTGCTGAGGTGAGGCCTCCACTGTAGGAAGCACTGGTGCCAGGGGGACGAGCTTAAGACTGAATTTGTTTCCTCCACCTTGTGGATCAACCCGGGGAAAGACAGCCGAAACATGTAAACCTTTCCTTTGGATTTTCAACTCGATGTGTAAATAAATTCGATCAATTTAGGCTTTAAACACTTGAGTGATTTCTTCAGAATTCAAAGATTTATCTATAGTAGATGGAGGTCTAATTGCATTTGCAAGACTAATAATATAAATAATGGAAATCAATACAATGTCATGAGGGAGAAATGGATTTAAAATACATGAGACAGGCATACTTCTTTTTTTTTTTTTTTTAAGATTTTATTTATTTATTTGAGAGACAGAGAGAGAGAGAAGCATAAGCCAGGGGTGGTGGGGCATGCAGAGGGAGAAGCAGACTCCCCACTGAGCAGGGAGCCAGACACAGGGCTCAATCCCAGGACCCTGGGATCATGACCTGAGTGGAATAAAGACACTTAACTGACTGAGCCACCCAGGCGCCCTGAGACAGACATACTTCATGAATCTCTTATGTAGCCTACCAGGAACTTTGCTCCTGCTCTTTTATATTTTAGAAAACTTACATCAAGCATATGAAATTGCTTTTGCCATTTATAACAACAGCACACAGTTTAAGGAAAATCTTACAGGATTATCTTCAGAAGGACTTAATCTCTAACAAGCTTGGCGTTAGCCTTTTATAAATTTCTCTAAGCTACATAAAGGGTTTTCAGGTTTCTTTATAGCTCTTCATTATAAGAATTTGGAGATTGATAGTTATTAGAGAGAATGCACATGCACTCAGCAACTTTGCATTTATTTTTAGGGAGTTCATGGCCTTCTTAACCCAGCCTGAGACTTATGGATCCTGGGGCTGCCAGTAGCCCATATAGAACCATATGCAAGTGAGACAAAGGGTTCTTTCCTCAGGACACTTGACTTCGATCTTTTGGAAATTGATTGTAATATACTAATTTTGTTAGAAAGACATTTTCTTCCATCTACCAGAAAAATTGTCCTAATAAATATGCAAATATATAATGCTCACCATGTGAATGGTATCCCTTTAGATGCAGTGATGTTGTGCAGTGCACAACCTACATAACGTTACATGATGGTCCCCCCAGTCCCCACATCCAGATGAAGGAGTATCTCAGAGAAAAGACTGGTGACTAGTGGTTGACTGTGGATGAGTAGTGAAGTCTATCTTCTATTGGATTGTAGAACTGAGAGATTAGATTTCTTTCAAGCCTCGGGCAGCAAGGCAGAGAATATCAGTTCAGTTGATTGGCCGAATTTGAGATAGTAAATGGCCAAGCAGATGAGGCTGGTTTTATAGATCAGGCTGGGAATTGCTGAGAGACACAGAAGCAAGGAAGGTGAGGCAAGGGCTGAAAACCTCTTTTTAGTTCAAAGTACAGTTTCTTGGAGATATGTTTACTTCTGATTAGAATTCTTTTCTATAAGTAATATGAAGAATTAATTAAATTATATTCTAGTATTTTATGTTTTCTGCCTTGCTCTTAGCCCCAATCTGCCTGGCAGTCCCTAAATGTTCCTTTACCCAGACCTGATGCTGGGACTCGGAAGGACGTGGGCACACAGACTGCTGGCCTGTTCTACCCATCTGGCACGCTACTAGCCAAAAAGGAACAGGAAATGGCTTCTCAGAAGCAGAGGCAGGAGAAGATGAGTGACCATAAACCTCTCCTCACAGCTGTCAGCCCAGGAAGAGGTGAGGGAAAAGGTACACTTTCTTGTCAGTAGGGAACTCCCTCTTTCTTGGAAAGAAAATTGCGTTTTTTCTTCCTTTAGATTTATTTCTATACATAAGTAAATTCCATTGTTTTTCTTTAGGTAATTTTCCTCATAGTATAGCTTTTAAACTTGTAGTATTCTGATGTTTTAATTTTTAAAAAAAGATTTTATTTATTTATTCGAGAGAGAGAGAGAAGGGGAGGGGAAGAGAGAGAGGGAGAGAGAATCCGCAAGCAGACTTCCCACTGAGCACAGAGCCTGACATGGGGCTCAATCCCAGGACCCTGAGATCATGACCTGAGTCGAAATCAAGAGCCATGTGAGCCATCCAGCGCCCCAGTACTCTGATGTTTTGGTTCATAGCTCCATTGTCTAGTCTGTAAATCAAATAGCATATATGGATTGCTGTTATTACAGTAGAAATGTTAGTCTGTGTCATTATTGCTATCTACCATTATCTTTCTCCTTTTACCATTCTAAAATTCACATAACAAAATCCACCATTTTAACCATTTTGAAGTGTATAGTTAGTGATATTCAGCCCATTAGGAGCAGTATAAAAGCATCACCATTCTGTATGTCCAGAATGTTTTCATCACCCCAAAAGTAGACCCAGTATTCATTTTGCAATCGTGCCCCACATCTCCTCTCCCAGGTGCCTGGCAACTACGAATCTTTCTGTTTTGATGGATTTGCTTGTTCTGGACATTTCCTATAAATGCATCTCCTGCCTGCACATGAGAAACCAGAAATCCAGACTCATGCAAAATCTCCCAAGTGTTAAGTGGTGGCAATGATTGAATTCAAATGCGTTTTAAACCCTGTGCAGACTGCAGATGGGCACAAGGGAGCTTTCTGGAGTGATGGAAGTGTCCTTCATATTGATCGGGATATATACGCTTGCTGAAAATCAAACTACACTTAAAAGTTATTTATCTCAATATGGTTAATTTTATTTATTTATTTTTAAAGATTTTGAAAGAGAGATAGTGATAGCATGGGGGGAGCAGAGGGAGAGGGAGAAGCAGACTTCCTGCTGAGCAGGGAGTCTGATGTGGGGCTCGATCCCAGGACCCTGGGATCATGACCTGAACCGAAGGCAGATGCTTAACCAACTGAGCCACCCAGGTGTCCCTCAATATGATTAATTTTAAAAGAATAAAAGAAAAAGACCCCATGTGTGGCCATCAAAATATATTTTTTTGAGATTCTGTACTATTCTGTGATCAGTCATGTGTAAAAAATAAACCTGGGAGCAAAAATGGAACTTATTCTGGTACCTAGTTGAGGTTCAGTAAGTAAAAACCATCACAAAGTTTGGCAAAGAAAAATAACCTGAGAATGCATGTTGCACAGGAACATTTTTCTTTCTTGGCTTCAGAAGAGTTATCCATGAGGATGGGTTTCTTGTTTTTCTTTAGGGTACTGGAGAAAACAGTTGGATCATATCTCTGCCCACCTCAGGTCTTATGCTCAGAACAACCCTGAATTCCGGGCCTTGATTGCAGAACCCAGAATGGGAAAGGTGGGTGAGCTCTGGATGGAATTTCCACTCCAGAGAGTCCCATGGGATCAGGCTGCAGGTTCCCTCCACTGACTTCACCTGAGACTGCACTTTGCTTGGCTCTTCTCCCTTTCATGTCCTGTTTTCCACACTTCCTTATGTCCTTCCCTGCAGGCGCTGCCTTAACAAATCACTTGCACACGAGCCTTGTCTCCGAGTCTGCTTCTGGGCACCTGACCTAAGATAGTAAATTGTGAACATTCCATGCTTTTAGATCCCACATGCTATGGAGACTCTGGTGCTCAGAGCTAAAAAACCCAGAAGAGTTTAGTCTTGCCAAATTGTGCACTTAAATCCAGTCTATATTAGCAGCAATAGTAATCATAAGAGTTGCCATTTCCCGATGCACTCACTATGTGCATTGTGTTCATCAGTCTCTAGGGCTCATAACAAACCTACAAAGTAGGAATATTACTTTTGCAGCAGTTTGTTGTTGTTTTTTTTTTAATGGCCACAAATTCACTGGTAGTCTTCCCTTCAAAGAGTGGAGTCAGTGTCTTCTCACCTCGAATGTGGGCGGGCTTGTGGCAGTTGGGCTCACAGAGTGTGGTGGCAGTGATGCTGTGGGACTCCTAAGGTGTGGTCCTGCGAGGCCACACTGCTTCCTGTCTTACTGGGCATGCTCCCCTCCAACAGTCCTTCTTGGAGCCCAGCCACCCTGCTGTGAGAAGCCCAAGCCCCATGGAGTAGCCACATGTAGGTGCACCCCTCTGCAACCATAGCTGCACCCAGTCCTCAGGTCATCCTGGCTCAGGAGCCAGGCAGACGAGTGATGAGAGTCCAGGTCATTCCAGCCTCCGAACATGCAGCCACCTCTAGCCGTTTGAGTTTTCCCAGCTGAGGTGTCAGACGCGTGGAGCAAAGACAGTCTATCCCTGCCGTGCCCTGTTGGAAGCCATGAACTTCATAAAATGGTTGTTTAGTGCCACTAAGTTAGGGGTGGGTTTTTTTTACACTGCAGTAGATAATCTGAACAAGCCTTATCTGACACCCAGGAAAACTGGCTCAGAAAAGTTTGGTGACCTGCCCAGGATTGCACTGATGGGTCTCAGGGTATTCAGGATTTGAAGCAGGTCTGTCAGACCCTGTGCCCCAAGCTCTTTCTCTAGAATTACCCCATCATTATAAAGAGCTCTGTGGGAAGATCTCTTCTTCCGTTTGTATGACACTAGAAGGAACCTTTGAAAATCAGCCTGTTTGATCCTCTGCCACCAAATAGGCCAACATTGAAGCTATTTCATTGTCAAGTACTGTTCAGTTTCCTTTGATAATCTATTTTGGTGGCTTATTCATTCTTTGGCCTAACCCAGGGGTCTGTAAACTATGGCGTGTGGGGCGAATCAGGCCTGCCACCCAGTTTTGTAAATCAAGTTTTATTGGGTCGTGGCTACCCTCATTCATTCACTTATGGTCCATAACTGCTCTTGTGCTAAAAAGGCAAGCACCATATAGCCCACAAAACCTCAAATATTTACTATCACCGCCATATAGCCCATAAACCCTCAAATATTTACTGTCACTGCCATATAGCCCATAAAACCTCAAATAATTGCTATCTGGTTATTTAAGCATTTGCTGACCCCTGTTTGATTGAAATTCCTCCGGCTACTTACAGAAAAAGCTGCTCAACTCTGAAACTGGGCCCTTGATTGCCAAGGCCTGGCCCCTCAGGACACCCAGGTGATGACATCCAGCCAGGTGGCTTGATTAAATTTAAAGTGTGTCTCTTTAGAGAGTATAAATTTGGGTCTTGCTTTCTCATCCAGTCTGGCAGTCTCTGCTCTTTGATGGGAACGTTAATTTCGTTCATTTACAATTTATAGGATTATAGATATGGCTGGATTGGTGTCTGCTATTTTGTTACTTATATTCTATCTCACTTAGCTTTTGTTCCTTTGTTTTTCTTTTCTTGTCTTCTTTTGAGTTCATTAAATATTTGATTAAATTTATCGTTTAACATCTCAGGATTTCTTGGCTCAGGACATTAAGCCCATGTGCGTGGTTGTGAATTCTCTCCAATGCTTTTTTTAAAAGCTTATCTCCGCTACTGTCCATGAGGATGGCTGTGAAGTTAGCATCCGGCTGAATTATATTCAAGTATCCAACAAGGTGAGTAAAACCTTTAGAAACTATTCATTTGAAAATCGACCACACTAGTAAATTGTAGCTTACACTCTATCAAAGTGCTTCTGTGAAATCCATAAAAGGCATAAATTCCAAATGTTGTAAGACTTGGCTAAAGGCCAATAATTTCATAGAAATAGATAAATAACTGTACTGAACCTCAGAGAAGCCAGGTCTCGGGCACATAAAGATGTAGTAAGAACACGGGCGCCTGGGTGGCTCAGTTGGTTAAGCGACTGCCTTCGGCTCAGGTCATGATCCTGGAGTCCCTGGATCGAGTCCCGCATCGGGCTCCCTGCTCGGCAGGGAGTCTGCTTCTCCCTCTGACCCTCCCCCCTCTCATGTGCTCTCTCTCATTCTCTCTCTCTCAAATAAATAAATAAAATCTTAAAAAAAAAAAAAAAGATGTAGTAAGAACAGGAATAATTACCCACCCTATCTGTCCTTTGGTTCTCAGGCATACTTATATGCACCAAAGTCTGAGCATAGGTGAAAGACTGACAAACATGTTTGCCTGTATGTACTTTCACCTATTTACCTATAAGAAATAAACCAAACTTTGTGGCTCTGCCTCCCTTGGTCTGCCCTCTTCTATGGTGACTGGAACTCTGCTACAGTGCCTGCAGTGTGTGACAAACATTGACTGATTCATACTGGCAGCTGTAGTTTCACTGGACCAGAAGTCAGAATATACAAAAGAATAAGGAATGGATTGAGAAGATGGGTAAAGAAGGCAAGAAAAAGCATGGGGACTAGTGTCTATCAGGCCCTGACCATGTGCCCAACAGGGGGCTAGCGGTGTCTTGAAAATTAGGACAGGCACATGGGCTCTGCCTAACCCAGAGGCTGGGAAAATGCAGTCCACTGACACACACGAAAGTGTTTTGAAATCAAGTCAAGCGCTGAATGCCATGTTTTCAGTTGTGTGGCTACAGCAGAACTTGGGTCAGGGAGGTACATGAGGAGAAGGGGAGTGAGGGACATGAGTCAAGGCAGGGGGAGGAGCTGAGTGGTCATACATAAAGTCTAGCTTCAGCCTGATCCATGAGGAGCTCTGAAGTGTGGCTCACACCATGAAGTTGTCCCAGGTGAGGCAAGCAAAGGAAGGATGTAACCTCTAGAGCAAGGCAGCACCCATCTGTAGAGGCAGTTGGCTAGCTGTGAGGTGTTAGCAGCCCACCCGGCAGCTGGGAGGGATATGCTAATCAGTTAGTGGAACTGGGTGGGCACCAAGAGCATCTACAATACGCTGTCTATCAGATAGAAGTGGAGTAATTATCCCCAGGTTTAATATGTTTTTTCTTAGCCTGTATGTTCTAGTGTTCAGGCAGTAGCAGGTGGTTCCCTGTGGTGGGAGATGCAGCCACGTGAGGGTGGGACAGGATGCCATGCTGTGGAATGGATCCAGGTGGAATCAGAATTCCAGGTCTGGACTGTGCATCATCTATCCTAATTTTATAGACCTCCATTTTCCTTGTTTTACTTTCCCAACATCCCTTTGAGGTAGGCCATGATATTTCCACTTTACAGGTGAAGAAACTGAGGTACAGAGAAATTTAGCCACCTTCTTCCAAGGTCCCTGAGCTAATAAGTGATAGAGCCAGGGTTCAAACTCTGTAGCCTGAGCTTCCCCATCTTGCCACTCTTATTCCAAGACATGGAAGGGTTTGAAGCAGGGGAAGAACACCATTACTTATAAACTGTAGAAAGGTGACTGGAGCAACCCACGTGGAAGGTGGGCTGGCAGGAGCCGGTTGGGAATCGCTTGCAGGGATCCTGGTGTATGAAGAGGGGGCTGTGGCTATAATGACAGAAAGGAGGGGCCAGGCTGAGGAGCCACTTAAGAGGCAGAACGGACGAAGCGTCCCAGTGAGGGGATGTCCAGCTTCCGGCTTGACTATATGTGTAGACAGAGTGGTCGTTAATGAAGAGAGGAACAGGTTAGCAGGGAGAGCACTCCTTCTGTGGGGACACAGCAGCCTCATCAGTCACGGTGCCTATGTTTTTTCTGTTGCCCAGAACCTTTACCTGAGCAAGGCCGTGGATTTCAGCAGCCACTTTCTGAGCAGTGTCACCAAGGGTGGTGATGGGCCATTTGGCAGCAGGTCCAGCTTGGGTGAGTTGTACCCTTACAGTGATTTTAAAACAGTCGACCAGGAACACACTGACCTGGCAAGGACAGCAGGGAATTGCTTAAAATTTGCCAGCCCAACCACACATCTTCCTTTAATGTTCCAGCCATTTTATTCTTCTGGTGTCTCTGAAGTTAGGAGTGAGATTTTTGAAATCTTTCACAGGCTTGGGGAGGTAGGTTGTGGGGGGTGTTTTCTTTTGGGCTTAAAAAACCGTAGTCCCCTTTTCTTCCCCTCCTTCCCAGTCATCCTCTGGTCCTGGACTGAGATGAGTGGCTTCAGGAGTCCTTTTGAGAGGGTCAATAAAATAGACATTTCTATACAAGCCATTTTATTCTTCTGACCTCTCGAGGGGCATGATAGTAGGATAGCTCTTTATATGTGGGAGTGGCAGGGGGGCATCGTTTTAGTCCTTGATTCTGTCATTTCAGTGAGTGACTACAGCCAGAGCACCTCAGACACCACTGAAAAAGTCAAGAGGACAAAGAATTTCAAGACCAAAAAGTTTCAAGAAAAGGAGCAGCTCACAGTATGTGTACTCTTTTGTCCTTATAGCTGTCTTCTTAGGCCTGTCTGTTGAATGTTTTTTTTTTTTCTGTTGAATGTTTTACTTTGAGATTTTTTTTTTAATTTTACTTCATTTTATTTTATCTTGTTTATTTTAGTCCATTCCATTCCATTTTTTAATTAATTTATTTATTCATTTTTTTAAATTTTTTTTTTTAAGATTTTTATTTATTTGACAGAGAGAGACACAGCAAGAGAGGGAACACAAGCAGGGGGAGTGGGAGAGGGAGAAGCAGGCTTCCCGCCGAGCAGGGAGCTCCATGCGGGGCTCGATCCCAGGACTCTGGGATCATGACCTGAGCCGAAGGCAGACGCTTAACGACTGAGCCACCCAGGCGCCCCAATTTATTCATTTTTTAAAAAGACTTTATTTATTTGACAGAGAGAGACGGAACACAAGCAGGGGGAGTGGGAGTGGGAGAAGCAGGCTTCCCGCAGAGCGGGGAGCCCGACGCAGGGCTCGATACCAGGACCCCAGGATCATGACCTGAGCCGAAGGCAGACGCTTAACGACTGAGCCACCCAGGCGCCCCCATTCTATTTTTTAAAGTAGGCTCTATACCCAACATGGGGCTTGAACTCACGACCCTGAGATTGAGACGTATGCTCTACTGACTGAGCCAGCCAGGTGGCCCTCCTTTGAGATTTTTTAAATGGAAGAATACTTTTTCATTTTCTGTTCCTTTTTTAGAAGTGTATTTTTATTTTATGGAATCCTTTAAAATATGTCGAGATTATTAATTAGAATTATTTTAAAGTTCTTATTAGTTCCCGGAATCACCTCTGTTTCCTCTGGGGTCAGTTCTGTCTGTCCATCTTTGTCTGTCTTGTTTTTGGTTGGTCTCAAATATGTGATGATGCTTGGTTGCCAGGTCATGTTGACAAGTGAAGGGCTAGTTTGAGTAGTGTCAGTGCCTGCCATGGGTGTGTGGGCCTCAGGTCCCCATGGGCATGGATGGGCATGCTGTGGGGCCAGCCTCCCTGGAGGGTATTTCGGTGGAGGGCAGGAGAAAGCCTTGCGGTCCCCTAAGCTGCCTTTCCTCTGGAGGTGAGGATGGTGCTGTGAAGGGCTCTAGCATATTTCATTCCTGGATGGAGCTGTCCTTCCTTCCTTATTCTCCTTCCCTGTGTCTGTCACAGAGATCTGGGCTCTGCCCTTCTTGGGCCCAGTACTCCCAGTAGAAGACTTTGTTAGGCAGATCATGAACTCTCTGGAAAAAAAAGTAAAGGAGGAGAGAGAGGAAGACACCACTCATCTCAGCCACTCACCAGCAAAGCCCTTTCATAGAACGCTCATGAATCCAGCCTGCGCCCAACACTGGCCCTCCTTGTTGATTAACTCAGCTTCTGCAGGGCTCCCTGGAGGGAACAGACTACTATCTCTGGCATCTTCAGCTGGTTTTTCTTTGCTTTGTTTTCCCTCTCAGCCAAATTCCAGCTACTTCCAATCTTTGGAATTCCTCACAATTCCCGATCCACTGATGGCACCCTTCCAGAGTTTCCCACAGCTGTTAAGAGTTTTGTTTTTCAAAAATACAGGCCATGAACACTGAACACTTTTAACTGGAGCTTTGGAGAAAGAGACAGTGGGTGCCCTTGTTCAGCCACTCACCTTGCCTTTCAGTCAGTCCTCTTTGGCTGTAGTAGGGAGGACAGATGTGCTTAGCAACAAGCCCAAAGCCTGGGTCTCCCCCAAGATGAAGATGGGCACGTGTGGGTTCTTTCCTCCACCTTCCATGGAGCCAGGCCCTCAGGGCACCCTCAGGGGTGTGTGTACTGGTGTCCAGCTTGTATCATGATTTCTCCAAAGGCAGGTGACTTCTCGCCTCATCTTGGGTTTTCCCACCACATGCTTTGCATCTCATAAACACCAATAAATTTGGGAAGAAGACCTTAGAATTATATTAACATGTATTGTGTATAATTCCTTGCACTCTTGGCCTTCTCTCAGTTTAAAATATTGAGTAGAAGAGAAGTATAGTGTTGCATAAACTTTAACAGTTTTGGAGACTACACCCACTTACACTGTATGTGACCCAAATCTCCCCATTGCTATGTGCCTTTATTTTCTCATTGGTGTTTAGGGGATAAGTATCAGACAAATAATAACAGCATCCAGTGGTTCACTCATTCAGTGGTTATTTGGAGCATACATATACCAGGCACAGTTCTCAGTGGTGAAAATAAATCATGAACAAAAGCTATAAAGGTCTCAGACCTCATGCGGGTGACATTCTAGTGCATTCTAGTATAAATTTCCATAAGGAATGGAATTCAGTAAGAACAAATGTGCCCCCCCAGACTTTCTAGTGAACCCCTAGAAAGTATTAGAGGTACCTTGTTCCAAGCTAATCACCTTAGAGTAGGGGGAGGAAGGGACACAGCCTGAACCCGGGATCTTCTTCCAGAAGGCTCACAGGCTCCCATCCTAATGGCTCCCCAAAAAGACAGGAGGGGGTAGATATATTATTTCTACTTTACAGACAGGAAAACGGGAGTCCTGGGACCTACCACCCCGGGTCACCCTCAGATCCAGTGGTGGAAACATACTGAAAGCAATGTCTCCAGCTTTCTGGACTGTCTCTTCATCTTTAGCCTTGTAGCAACCAGCATTTGCAATCCTTTATATAAAGAAAGATTGCATAGAAAGGGGAATTTCATCACATTTTGAAAACAGAGCATATAATAAATTCTTCAGATTTCTGATGACAGGTGAGAGCTTTTTCTTCCCCCAAACAAGATTCGACTTTATCAGTTCACTCATGCCTCAGGTGAGCACGTTTTCTGAACACTCTGATTCTGAACACTTTATAGTGTTCAGAGGCTGATTCTGAACACTTTATAAAAGTGTGCAGAGGAAATATTAGGATTCACCTGGTTGCGTTTCTTAGGAATATTTATTTCCTTTGTAATAAAACTAGTGTGGGGTTTCTGGGGTGGTGAGGTTTCTCATTGTATCCCTGTCCTTTATAAAGATAAAACAGTGTCAATGTGGTATCCTTCCCCGAGACAAGATTTCAGAGACCAGCAAGATTTACATTAGCTAGGGTTTTTTTGTGCTGCTGGTGTAGAAGACCACACACACGCTCACACACACACACACACACACACACTCACACTCACCTGTCCCTGGAGCTCAGAACTTAACCTTAGAGAGGAAGTGTTTGCCTTGGGAATTGGGTCTGGGCAAGGGGGACAGTGCTATTTCACGGCGGTGGAAATGACCTTGTGTAACCCTGCAGCCTGAAAACAGGCTCCTGCTGAAGGAAGTCGGACCTACAGGGGAAGGGAGAGTCTCTGTGATTGAACAGCTGCTTGAGGAGGTAAGTACAACTCAAAGAACAAGTCTCTCTGAGGATTTCAGCCTTGCATTTCACCTCTGTCTCTTCCAGATGCAAGTCTTGTTCAGTATTGTGATAACCACAGTGCCATTTCATTTAAAACTGCCTGGAGGTGGACTAAATGGCCAGTCAAGAACTTTTCAGTAATTGTTCCTGGTTGCTAGTTTTTATAGCAAAGAGAAAAGTCATATGAGCCCAAATAATGTGCATAAAGGTGGACAGAATCCCTGGCCTGTGACCCCATGTGACCTTCATGTTTCCTAAAGAAGTGAGGCTCGGGGGGTGCCTGCCCCTCCTGATGGGGGGTGCAGAAGTTTTATCACCCGAGTTAGGGCGGTTAGATCTTGGGTGTCCTGATTCTCTTCTCTTTTGATGTAAAGCAGTTTAGTTCCGGCAAGCATGTGCGTTACACTTCGCAGGATGGCAACTGCATGCTGCTGAGAGCAGGGTTTGCGGCAAGTCTGTCCTTTCCCTTATGCTGCAGGGAGCAGACCCCAACTGCAGGGACAGTGAAGAGCGACCCGTGATTACCGTGGCTGTTGTGAACACGCGCCCCGAAGTGATTCCAGTTCTCGTGCAGAGAGGAGCAGACACAGAGCAGCGCTGGGGCCCGTAAGTAAGACACCGTCAAAGGAGAGTCCTGGTGTGGCCAACTGCCGCCTCGGGGCCTTGCTCTAGCAGCGTCCAGCCACACGTACGCCCCGATCCGCTGGCACTGCTCGGGAACCATCTTAACCCATTTGGGCCTCAATAAGAGACTTCACTGCCACTATTTTTCAAACCTGGGCAAAACAAAAACTTTTTAAGTGGATTATTGGATTGCCGAATTTTTTGTAGGTTTTATAAATGATGATAAATTTTGTTAGCTCGCGAGTTTACACTGAGCGGGGGCCGGCAAATCCTTCACTCTGGGGATGTTAAGCCACATTATTTTCATCATGATCTGAACTGTTGAGTTCGCTAAGAGAAGAGCGGGCCCAGTGTAGTCCCTATGGAAATGTAGCCATGAAGTTACTGTACAAAGAAAACCTTATCCAGTTGTCTCTGGATGTTGACACACTGGGGGTGACACTGCACATCTAAGTTCACTACATGATCTGATGCCTTGGTTTCCACAGCTGGGAAGTAGGATGGGCAGATACCAAGTCCTGTTGGGTACTTCTGTCACTTCCCTGGTCTCGGGCCTCTCCTGCCTCTTGACCTCTCGCAGCCTTGGGATTCTGTTGTTCTCTGAAATTACTTTGGAAACGTGGGGTGGACAGTTCCTTGAGGATGGGTTCCACATGTTAACTGCTAATAGCCTGCCAACCAAGTTGCCAAACTGGGAGTTCTCTAGGGGTCCTGCAGCCATCTGACCCTGCTGCCCCTTGACCTACTTCTGAGACCAGATCAAGGCCCGCCAGGGAATCGTGCTGCTGAGTGTGTCAAGCCAGCACGCGGAGCCAAAGTTAGATAGCTTTGCTTCTGTTTTCCTCCGTCTCAACTTTTTCTCCAGTGTTTTTATTCACAATATATGCCAGTTAATTTTTCTGTGTGCACTGTTATGTTTCTGCCCAATAGGACAGCTATATCAGGTAGACACCACCTCTTTTTAGTTTTATTTTAGAGCAGAACGTTTGGCCCATTTGGTGGACGTATTTGGTGGCTGGAATTTACTTGTTCACCTTTCCCTGGGGTTCACATTCTTCATACTCTGTCAGCTTCTTCATTTGCCCCACACTTGGGTTATCATTATTCATAAAAATAATGCCACCATGTTTGGCATGAAGGTGTATTTTATTTTTTTTTTATTTTTAATTTTTTTTAATTTTTTTATTCTTATGTTAATCCCCATACATTACAACATTAGTTTTAGATGAAGTGTTCCATGATTCATTGTTTGTGCACAACACCCAGTGCTCCATGCAGAATGTGCCCTCCTCAATACCCACGAAGGTGTATTTTATATTTGTACAATTCAGACAAGCTTTTCTTGGAGCACTTATGTATAATGTCTGTGGTTGATACAGAATCTCTTGAACAGATTTTGAATTGATACTTATGAGAAGTCCCGCTGAGAGGAAGAAACTACTCTGGACTACTCTGGACATGGAACAGATTACCTGTTTTTCCTTGCTGTTCCTCAGTTTCCATTCTTACTTCATTACCATTCTATAAATTGACATTTACCCACACGTGATCTTTACTAAGTCTAACTCTGCGGTTGTACCATCTGTCTGAATGGTGGGTAATAGCCTGTTGTCACTCCCACTGCATTAGCATGGTTAGCAGAATCTAGCTCACGTGGAGGGGGAGGGAGGAAAGCTAGACCAGAGCCCTCCCTCAAAATAGAGCACAGAGATCTCTTCTTCCCCTTTAGTTTATGCCAGTAGAAGAAAGCAGATTTCTCCACTGAAAGCCAACTCTGCTGTCTGCTTTATATTTGTTAGTTCGAAGTGTTTAGACCTGGGTCAGCCTGGCCTCTACCCCCTGGCTGAACCTCTGTAGATCCAGGAACATGACCTCAGGACTCCATCTATCCTACTGCTCCTCACATACAAGCCATCCAGAGATCTGGCTTTCCCATAAAAAAGGTTCAGTGAATTGTTCCTTAGCAAACAACGATTAAAAAACTCTTCCTCAGGCGCCTAGGTGGCTCAGTTGGTTAAGCGACTGCCTTCGGCTCAGGTCATGATCCTGGAGTCCCGGGATCGAGTCCCACATCAGGCTCCCTGCTCAGCAGGGAGTCTGCTTCTCCCTCTGACCTTCCTCCCTCTCATGCTCTCTTTCTCTCATTCTCTCTCGCAAATAAATAAAAAAAAATCTTAAAAAAAAAACAAAACCTCTTCCTCCCCGCATTCCCAGCTTGTTTGACTAGTGGAGCAGCGTCTACACCAGGTAACTTCTGTCCACTGGCTTGGCAGGTAGCAGAAAGCCCCTCCCTAGTGTTTCTGTTTCCAATGTTTGTCTCTTTCCTACCAGAATACACTCATATTCAACCCAAAGGGATGGCTAAGGAAAGGTACACATCCTCCACCAAAGCTGATTCCTCTTATTGGCAGATTTCAAGAACACAGATTCAAGGTCTTGCTAAGAGATGGGCAAAGAGAAGTGCCATTTGCTTTTGGACAACAGCTACCCTCCTTCACTGGCAATTTCAAACATTCTGTCTCTTAGTTCTGCCCCAGTAGCCAGGAGGGGTGGATGTAACCATCAGTCTGCTTCTTAGAGGTTCAGCTGTGGAGAGTTAGTCTATTAGGTAATTCATGATTTACAAAGAGAGAATGTACCTTCATCTACCGTGATACTTAGATTTGAATAAACCGTTTGAGTAGTTTGTGCATTCATAGTAGAGTTTCTTTAAAACACAAATTCACAGAACACCGTGGTGTACCTGCTGTACAAAACACGTTCTAGAAGGTCTGGTGATATAACACCAAGCTACTAAGAGGAACAGACTCACAGGTATCGCCTCTGCTCTGAACAGAAGAGGGTGTCCCCTCTAGCGTCCTTGCCCTGTTGGAGTCAGAGCAGTGTACAGAGTTAGAGTCGGCAGTCACAATTCATTACTTCCGCAGACTGAACTGTGGTTACACAGAAAATCCAGCCATGGTGCCCCCTCCCCACCTCATAAATGGAAGGTGCGCTCTGCTCTCAGTTTAGAGGGAGTTATGAAAGAAGATCATGCGTCTACTCAGATGTGGCAGCCCCGGGAATACATGTAAGTTCCAGTGGTAAATGCCTAATAAAGACCCAAAGAACATGAGGGGTGAAGTAACAAACAGTTGTGCTACCAGGGAGAAAGGAAAGACGAAAGATAAAGGAGGGTTGGTGTCATTGGTGTGACTTTGTTCGCAGCCCACAGCATCCTGCATTACAACTGCTTTAGCAGGATGATTTTCTCCCCCCTCCCCCCCCCAAACAGGCTCCAAAATACACCTCTTCATGAAGCAACTCTGCTTGGCCTGGCAGGAAGGGAGTGTGTCGCTGCTTTACTGCGGTATGTTTCCGGCCTCTGGGAGAGACTTCTGAGGGCCCCTGCTGACCTATGATGCTTTCAGAAGGCCCTAGTTCCTGAACAGTTAACCCTGTGAATGGGGGCCACCATCCCACTGTGGGTCCCCAGCACTGAGGGCTCTTAAAAGCACAATGCAGATGTTGTCCCCCCACCAAACATACTTGGTTGTAGGACTTCGATGCAATGGGAGCCGATGGGCAGGATTGGCAGTTGAACGTGTTGAAATCACAGAGCCCCTCAAGGTTTCAGGGTAGAGCCTCCTTTGAGAGTGGGGGTCATAGTGGCCTCTTGGGGACAGGTTTAGGAAGGTGGGGCCAGGAGGCTCCCAGACTGGCCTCTGTGTCAGGGAAGAGCCAGGCCCTCAGGTTCAAGTGCCTGAGTCCTTCTATTCATGCCCATTCCCTTGGCAGATGCAATGCAAGCATCCAAAAGAAGAACATGAATGGCCAGACACCGTATGACCTGGCTCTGCAAACTGGGGATGATGTCGTCACCTCGCTCTTTGCTGCTAAGCTCAGCCTGGATGACTCTTAGACCCAAAGGCCTGCACAGGACCATCCAGTTCTGGCTCTTTGTTTCTTTCTGAGATGTGTATTTGTGGTTTGAGAATTGAGGTTGAGAGGAACTCATAAGACTTTTTTTTTTTTTTAATATGACACTGTAAGCCACCATGTGGGCATTTCCCAATATGCTGTGGATGGTGACGAACTTAACATGTATTTTTTTTAAGGGTTTCTTGCTGCTTATTTTAGAATTTTCTTTTAAATTTATTTTCCAGGGGACGCCTGGGTGGTGCCTTTGATTAAGTGGGCAACTCTTGGTTTTGGCCCAGATCGTGATCTCAGGGTCCTGAGATAGAGCCCCGCGTTGGGCTCCATGCACAGCACGGAGTCTGCTCATAAGATTCTCTCTCCCTCTCCTCTACCCCTCTCCCTGAACTTGTGCAAACATGTGCTCTCTCTCAAATAAATGAATAAATCTTTTAACAATTTTAAAAAATAAATTTGTTTTTCAGTAGATAATAATTGCACATGATTCAAAGCTAAAAAGTATGAAGTGTTATGTAGTAAAAACTCAGCCATCCCTGTCCCACAGCCACCCACATCCCCTCCTCAGAGGCACCAATGATACCAGTGTCATCTGTGTCTTTCCAGAAATAGGATAGGATTATATAAGCACATGTATATAATATATGCATCTGCACATAGAGGGTTTACACAAAATACAAATATAGATAACAGATACGTTCTTTGCCCTCTTTAAGACAAGTACTAGCAAACCACACACTCTTCCGATGTGTTGCATCTTGTTCTTTTCCTTAATATATCTCGTAGGTGGTTCCAAGTGAGTACATAAAGATCAAGTTTATTTTAAAAATGTTGGGCGCCTGGGTGGCTCAGTTGGTTAAGCGACTGCCTTCGGCTCAGGTCATGATCCTGGAGTCCCGGGATCGAGTCCCGCATCGGGCCCCCTGCTCGGCGGGGAGTCTGCTTCTCCCTCTGACCCTCCTCCCTCTCATGCTCTCTCTCTATCTCATTGTCTCTCAAATGAATAAATAAAATCTTAAAAAAAAATGTTCTTTCTGATGTTGAGCTCATCAATATTCCTATTGTTATGGTTTGTTCTTTGGTTGACAAACAAGCCTTGAATCAGCCATCTGCAGGAAATGTGTCATTTTGACTTACGTCTTTTTTCAGATTGTTATTTCAGTCCTTGGGTGATAGCGCTGCAGTAGTGTAGTCCCTAAATAGTTTCTGTTAAAGTGTGTTGATGGAATATTTATTAATTCTGAATGATTAATTCCGCACAATAAATAACCGACTTTGCTGAGTGGTTGCTATCATCACTACCTGCACTGCTTTCCTGCGGCAGCGACTGTCTGCAGTTGGGGCGTGGGGCGGGGACAGGCTCAGAGTCGCTGGAAGCGATGCCCCCACGCGGGGTTGGGGGGCACTGGCCAGCCCCCGTCCCACCCGGCCGTCTGTGTTGGAGGGCTGCGGCAAGGTAAGCAGGGTCCCGTGAGTCGGGGCGGTGTGCGCTGTGTCAGCTCAGCCGGTGCAGTACGACCCCTCCCAGACTTCTCTGCCTTTATGGTTTGATGCAGGGTGGGCCACAGGAGTGACGGCACGAGGTTCCAGATTCCAAAGGCGGAAGCGAAGTGCGGCCCTCACGCTAGGAAGGTGGGTGAGGGCCCCAGATGGTGCTGCAGCTCACCCTACAGGCTCTGGATTTGACACTCAGGGAGGAGGGTATGGAGTTCAAGACCATTTTGCCCAGAGCTCAGGGAACAGGGGAGGCCCCATAGGCCCATGGGTTCCAGAATCTCTCCTCTTGGAGCTCTCAGGGGTAACTTCCATGCCCTGAGTGCAGGAAGCACATCTCCACTGTTCCCTGGGTTTCCACGCTTCCTGGAGGCAGGGCCTGCCCTTGTACCTGCGAGGCAAAGCGCACACCCGACATCTCCTACCAGGGATCTTGCCTTTCGCTAAAGGCCGCTGCCAGCAAAAATCACCTTTGGGCTTCCCTCAAGCCTCATGTACAGAGTGAACAGGTGGCTCAAGATGCAAGAACATAGGTTCAGATCCAGGAACTCTCTGATGAAATCCTGGAGGGTTATGTAAAGCATTATATAAACATTGAACTCCATGTTTTCAGGAAAAGTAAAGTTAAACACATGTTACAGGCAAGATTTCAAAATTCATGTTATTTCTTGTCCTTCGTGACGTTTTATTTTTCTTTTCCTCGGGTCCCTGTATCAAGGCTTGAAATGGGAGCAGAACCGCCATAGTGATGCTGAGTAAGGGGCAATGAAAGGGACTGGACTGCATGCAGTCGTGGGAGTAAGTGAGTGAGGCTGGTCACAGGCCAGGAGCCCCTGTACCTCAGCAGGGCCGCAGTGGGGAAGGAAAGGTGGGTGCCGAGAGTGAAGAGCGAGGACAAACCGGAACCTGTGGGCCCAGTCTCCCTCCTCCCTCCTCATGGTCACAGGTGACCTGCAGGAGACCCTGGTGCCCTTTGGCATGGAACTTGTTCCAGGCATCCCAGGCTGGGCTCTCCAGAAACAGACTGAGACAGCTGGGGATGGGGGAGAAGAGGATGCGTGTTTATGGGGGATTAGCCCTTGTGGAAGGAAGAAGGGGGTGGTACGGCAGGAGACATCAACACAGACACAGCCCCCACAAAGCTGCAGCCGGCCCTGGGGCAGGGCGCTGGGGAGGAGGATTGCCCATCATCCCGCTGTGCCCGGACAGCTGTAGCTCAGTCACCGGACCACCACTGCCCTAGGACAGCTGTGACTTCAGGCCAGGCAGCTCTCTGCTAATGACTGGAGGCAGTCTGCTGCCTTTCCTGCTGCCCGCATTCCCTATCCCCAGGTAGTCAGCGCTGCCCTGAGGGGCGTGCGGAGGATGCCCCTCTGTGTATACCACGGAGTGCACGGCATGGGTCCCTGACCCAGGCTGCCGGAAGGGGGAAGTCTGGTGGGAGCTGCCCCCACCCACCAGCCAGCCAGTCCCGGGATGCCAGGGAGGGCGGCAGTGACACTGACCTCAGAGCGCCCACCCTGCAGGCTCAGGGTGCCGGGTGCTACATGGAGTGACAATTAGCTGAGCATCCGGTACCTGGTGGCTCAGGCCACGGCGACCTCCCTGCATCTAGATTCACCGTAGACTTCTTCTGAGGCTCGGCGGCAACTCTTGGAGGAGCCACCCTCACTTTGTGGCTTCATCCCACATCCCCACAGGGCTCTAGTGGCCTTGGAGTTTGCCAAATTCCCCCCACTGACCATCCATGTGAATGAATTCCCATGTGTTTATTGGCCAGTTGAGTACCTTATATTTTTCTTATTGATTTGGAGAAACATATCCTCTAGAATCAGAATATTTTCTAGGATCTAGAGCAGCAGTATCCAGTAGAAATATAATGCCAGCCACATATATGTTTTCTAGTAGCCAAATTTCATTTCCACTGATTCCCAACTTACTACGAATCCTGATGGGATAAAAACTGTATGTTAATGATTTTCAGCATCCATTAAATTGATTTTTCCCCATGAGTGAGTTGCATTGATAGTGTCTTTTTAAATAAAGCCTTCATTGCTGGGATAAATAGAACACATTCTCAACTGAATTCCACTCTCGGATTTTATTTGCTAACAATCTGCTCAGGGTTATTATGTCTTTTTATTAATTGAAATGGAACTCTATTTACTTTTGCTATTTGTTTTGGAACCAGGGTAATGCTAGACTCACAAATGTTATAATCTTCTATTTTTTCCGAGTATTTTGGAGTGCTTTATAAAACACAGGAGTGAAATATTTCGTGCAGATTTGGGAGAAGGCTTTCAGTATAACTCAGGGTCTCATGAGTTGTAGGCATAAATCTTGGGGCTCTGTATCAGTCAGGGCTCAGACGGAGAAGCAGGACTCGCAGGAGATGTGTATCAAGAGACTCACTGCAAGGGACGGGCGTAGGTGGTTGTGGAGGCCAGCTGGGCAAGTCCCCAATCGCAGGGCGGGTGTCAGGAAGGGTGGGCTGGCACTGCTCAGGAATGGCCGGCCGAAGCTGCTGCCCACCAGCAGAACTCCTTCTTCTCCAGGGAGATCTCTTTCCTTCAGGGCTTGCAGCCCATTGAATCAGGCCGACCCAGGCCTGCTAGGATGATCTCCCTTTCTTCAAGTCAGCTAAGAACTTTAATCACAATACAAAATACAGTTCTGGCAACACCTAAATTAGTGTGTGAATAACTGAGGACCGGAGCCCAGGCAAGATGACGCATAAAAAAAGGACCATCACAGCCTCTGTTACAAAGTCATTGATTATTGATTCTTTCTCCTACCCCCAACTTGAATAAAATCGATAATACACACACGTACATTTTGTGTCCTTTTTTTGCATAAGGCTACACATTTTTTTTCGGCCAGTTGCCTGGATTTTGGGGTCATACAATTTTCATCATCCTTCTTTTGTGTTTTTATATTCAGATCGGTTGTTAACTTCTCGTTTGGCCGCCACTATTTCAATTTGTGTGAATGTAGAGCTGCTCGGAGTAGCAAGAGCCTCACTTCCTGCAAATGCCCAAGTAGAGAGGGCTGAAGATAACTTTCTGGCAAAGCTGAACCCCTTTCTCCCCACTCCGGCCCACCCGGTCCCCAAACATGTCCTCAGAGAAGGACCAGAGTGACCTAACATTCATGTCTGCTTTGCTATCAGACCCCTAACCCACCACCAGGTCCCTTCCCAGGATAGGGGAGGGGAGGGTTACTTTAAATGAGGTGGCCTGGGGGTTCCTGGGTGGCTCAGTCGTTAAGTGTCTGCCTTCCATGATCCCAGGGTCCTGAGATCGAGCCCCGCATCGGGCTCCCTGCTCGGCAGGAAGCCTGCTTCTCTCTCTCCCACTCCCCCTACTTGTGTTCCCTCTCTCGCTGTGTCTCTCTCGGTCAAATAAATAAAATCTTTTTTTTTTTTAAGATTTATTTATTTATTTATTTGAGAGAGAGAGAATGAGAGACAGAGAGCATGAGAGGGAGGAGGGTCAGAGGGAGAAGCAGACTCCCTGCCGAGCAGGGAGCCCAATGCGGGACTCGATCCCAGGACTCCAGGATCATGACCTGAGCCGAAGTCAGTCGCTTAACCAACTGAGCCACCCAGGCGCCCAATAAATAAAATCTTAAAAAAAAAAAAAAAAAAGAACCCTTCCCTTAGACTGCTTTGTTAAGGGAGACGTTAGCCTCATGGAGTATGAGACACATAACTTCTAGAAACTTCTATCTCTGGACACCCCTTGCTCTAAAATTTGAATAGTGTGAGGTTTGTGTGTGTGTGTGTTTTTACTTATTTGCTCATAATTTTGCTGTCTTTAGAGAGGGCTTGCTCTGAGCTCATTTAATACCACCATCTTACCTCAACAGCCCTATTTGCTCAGAAATTCTAGACTCTTCACCCCCTCCCTGCTCCAGCTGACATTTTGACATTTCCACCATGGTCGGTGCCCACAGCTCACTGGAGACCCTCCACTTCCCTTGCAGGAAAATTGCCATCTGCTATCTCTTGACCCAGGGCCTGGCAAACAAGAGATGCTCAGTAAATATTTAATTACATTAGGTTTTTATTGCTGCACAACTAATTACTCCAAAACTTTGTTAAAATAATAAAGCCTTACTATCTGGCAGTTCTGTGGGTTAAGAATTCAGAAGCAGCTGAGCTGGGTGGTTCTGATTTGAGATCTTTCATGAGGTTGCCCTAAAAAAGCTGGTCAGGGCCTCAGTCTTCTGAAATCTTGGCTGGGGCTGGAGGATAGGCTTCCAGATGGGTTGCTCACATGCTGCTGGTTTTGTGAGGAGGCCTCCAATCTTCCTGGTGTGGGCTTCTCCATGGGCTGCTTGAGTGGCCTCACAACACAGTGGCCCACTCCCCTCAGGTGAGCAATCTAAGAGAGACCAAGGCAGAAGACACTTGTTTTTTATCACCTACAATTGGAATTACACACCATCAATTCCGCTGCTTTCTATTGTGGTCAGCTCTCTTCATTGTGAGAGGCAACCACACAAAGACACGAATACCAGGAGGTGAGGACCATGAGGGGGCCATTTTGGAAGTTAGCTGCTTCCATGAGTAAGTAAACAGAATGAATTGGTAAGAGTCAATTAGTAGACTGGCTAGAAAATAAGTGCTTACATTCCATGGTAGTTGTCAATCAGCTTCAGAAAACACTTCCTTTTTTCATTCTTGGCTACCTGGAGCAGAAGGTTATGACGTAGATAAATACACAAATGTTTAAAAAGTATGTATCAATAAAGTATTAAGAGTTAAATATCGGGGCA